CTCAGGTAAACCGTTCAATTCTGCTAGAGGAAGACCGAGTGAAAGATGAAACAGAGAATGCAAAGGCGCCAGTGGACTTTACGACCCTACAACTGCACAATCTGACATACGAAAAGAATCATTACTTGAAGGCAATCAAAGCCTGCAAGGACTTTCGGTCAAAGCACCCCATCATTGAGCTCGCGTCTGAGGAGGAGTTCTTCAGGGAAGCTCCAGATGATATCAAAGGGGGTGTGCTGTCCAGTGACGGAGCACAGGATCTGATGCTAAAGAGGTTGAACTATGAGCTCCATCAGGTATGCGTAATGAAATGGAATATAATGCCCGAAACTTAGAGGGGATTTATCTTCTTTTGTGTAAGCAGTTAGCTCGCTTCACTGTCTTTTACACTGGTGAATTGGTTCATATGTCTGAGCTAAGAAAAAAAAACTGGCCTTAGCTGTCACTTCTTTGCCATCACATATCCATCTCATTTACTTGGTCATCAGTTTTCCTTAGTGTTTAAGATTTCCTCAGATTGTCTTGATTTGTTGTAGTATGACATTGGAAAACTCTCGAGCTAGTGCAAATGGGATCACAAGTTCTCACGATTTTGTTGTAACATCTTAATTTGATATACAGCTTTCATATTTGAATACTTTTCTGCATCATGATGGGCCAGAGCCAAATTTATCAACCGTTGGTCAGTCGTATACCACTGTCACTTTCTTTTCTAGTTAACATTGTTCTTAGTAGGCCAACCTAGTCTTGTCAATGATTGAGGGAAATCTGCTAGACTGCGATAATAAAATTCTTGGAATTTATTCATATCATTAAATGGAAAATTCCTATAAGTTATTGGGAATTCTTCAAATAACCAAAAATATTGTAGGAACACTGTTTTCAGGAAGAGAGAACTAAAGAAAACTATAAAAGATGACATGATCTTAGATATTGCCAAAGTATTTCTGCTGTTGACCTAGTCTTCTGTGACTGCATGGTGAAGATTGAATACGGTATGACAGGAGATAAGAAATATGAGAACCCGAGTGGATGGGTTCTGTCAAAAGAGAAGGCATCTCAACTTTAATTATAGTGGTCCTAGGGTTGCTCAAATCAGCTTATGTAGAGGCTGTAGGATTTACTTTATTGGCTTATTATTTATCTATTTCTGTTTGAGTGTTAATCTATATGTAGTTAATGGCATTTGTCTGCACAGTAGAACTGTTTCTTGCGCTGAAACCCTGCGAACCGAATTGAAAAAATATGTATTTTGATGTGCTGTCTTGTACTTTGACGCATAATAAACTTGTCTTTAGTATTTCTGTCGCTGAGACGTAGATGGCTGTTGAGAGACTAGTTTAACTATTATGTTGAATGACTTCGCTAATTGCTTAAATATTTTTCCTCGGACAATTTGTTGTTACTTTCATCAGTTTTTTTTACTTTTGATATGGATAACTATTAACGGAGTGCTTTGATCAGTGTGATGAATGACGTCTTAAAACGCTATATGATGAGTGGGGAAACTCTTTAAAGTAGCGTGTTATTTTACATTGTTCGTCTAATTTTTGATTAATTTTTGAGGTATTTTCTTGGATCAGAGAAAAGAACTTTGTAAACTTCGTGAGAAATTGGAGCAGCGCAAGAAGGGTCTTCTTGAGATAATTTCAAATCGAAAGAAGTTCTTATCAAGTCTTCCTTCCCATTTAAAAGCATTGAAGAAGGCATCATTACCAGTGCAACAACAGTTTGGGATCCTCCATACTAAAAAGTCAAAGCAGAACTCTGCAGCTGAGTTATTACCACCACCTCTCTATATAGTATACTCACAGTTGTTATCTCAAAAAGAGGCCTTTGGAGAGAGCATTGAACTTGAAATATTAGGTAGCATCAAGGAGGCTCAAACTTTCGCCCAACAGCAAGCAAGCAAAGATACGGGTAACCTACTCATTTGTTGAAACCTATGTAGTTTTTGAGATTATCCAGTGTTATCATATCTATTGCGTTGTCTTCTTTTTTCCTTCCTCTTCTCATCAAGGAAACTGAATATGCTTCCTAGATCCTAAATTCAAGCGCTTTGTGACGTGTAGAATTTTGTTGAATTGGCATTCATCATTGTCTGGCTCCATGTTGATGCATTGAGGAAATCTTCGGTGTTGTGAATTATATTATCTCTTCCTATACATTAGATCATGTGTTTTATTGATCGTGAAAAGCTTGAGATTTTGGGTTTCATATTTTTTTAATAATAAAATGTGCTTGCAGCTACTTTTCAAAATAAAACATTTACAAGCCGGTGTGGCCACAGATTTATTCCTGGGTTTCTTCATTGATCAGCAATTAAAAGCCACACTAAATCCCGTAATGTTTGCTCCTAGAATATGATGCCCTTGTGACAATATATTGGACTGCTTTGAAAACAGGTCTGCAATATTACTTGATGCCTCATGGCTCCCCTGGTCACAAAGGACAGTTCCCTGTCGTTAGATGGATGTGGTTTCTGATTATGTTCCAATTATAATTTCAATGCCTGAATTTCCATGTGTTCAAGAACTGTGCTTTAACCTGTTTAAATTGTCCTTTGCGGTATTTTAATCTGTTTATGCGTAGTGTACAAATGCTAGAGGGAAAACACATGAAAGCATTTGATCCAAGTGTCAGCTCTCTTGTCGATTGCATTGCGAACAAGTATCCAAACTTTTTATTATTTTGGGATCTGTTGATGGATGTAGAACCATTCTAAAGATCATGGTCTGACTCCAGTCTTGAATGGGACTTCAAGTGTGTGCAATGATCTTTCTCCTTCAAAAGTGTTTTATTTTTTCTTTTTTTGGTCCCATTGACACCGATAGGATTTAAATTATACGTACCAGGGTGACGAAAAACTTATTCTTTGTCGTTGGAGTTCTCTAAATCTTCATTCATTTACTTTTTCTCTTTTATTTTTCTTTTTTCCCCTTAAATTCTTCTCTTTCGTTACGCAAGTTGGTGTGCAAGTTTGAAAATAGTCTTTGTCTGTTACTTGCATCCGGTTCTTAATGTTGGATAGAGCACTTCTGGTGTTCCTGTCTTTTTCATTTATTTCCGAAAATAGTAAGTGTGCCTACATGAGTTGGCGTTATGGAGATAATAACAGTTTTTTGAGGTAGTTTCCGATGGTAGGTTTGACTTTTCTAATGTCTGATGCAAGCTTATGGTAGCTATGAAACCTCTAGGAAGGTGGGATGGGCAGACATTTGATGGGATGAGTGGGAGGAGGGAAGGGGATGTCTCAAATCCCTTTCTTTCCAAGGTTTAGTTGAATAACAGCTTTGAGATAAGAGTTTTTCTGATCATCTGCCCCTCTCTCTCTTTGAAAAAATTCTTCAGCCCCCTCCTCTGCACGTCTCCCTTTCATTTAATAATGTAGTCACCAAGTTATACCTGCACAGAAAATGATGAAAAAGGAAACGTCAGTCTTTGAGTTTGTTGATGTGTCTCACAGCTCAAATCTTTTTCACAAGAAAATCTTGATGTTGACAACTGTTTATCAGGTGTTTTCATTTCATTCGTAGTTTGGTTATGTAGATTTTTGTGTTCCCAGTGATAGGAATTACGACGTCTTTTCCAGTAAAAACGTGAATCTGGCGTATGTTGGACTCAGAATATTATGTGCAGCACAATACACAAGCATAATCGGAACCTTCAATTAATTGAACCTAATGTTGGAGAATGAGGTGTTCGCATGTGATCTCATGTCTAACATGATAGGCAACTTTTATGGCTATTCTCTCTGTCTTTTGCATAAGATCATTTTGTGCACTGTAAGCTGAGCACCGAACGAATCTTCATCAGATTGGAGTGCAGAAATGGATAACTGTCGAGTGACAAGATCTATCGGAGTGGTCTGGATTTATGTTGTGTCCTACGGACAGATACTTACTGAGGAATGGTGAATGAATCTTTGTTAGCATTTATGGCATGTATTATGCGAGTCATGATTTTCAGTTCTCGTTAAGAAATCAGTTTCTGATGTCGGATATGTCTATTACCTAGAGTGCTGGTCACGTGGGAGAGTAAGGGGAGAAACCACATATGAATCACATGATAGGTTGAATGCAGGAAATGGCTCATTGTTGTCAGAATTATATATAATACAAATGTTAACATTCAAAACAAGTTAAGAGCTAATTTATGGGTCACCTGATGGCACTAATGTTGGCAGTCATTTTTTTATTGTTTTCACTGGTGGGCATCTGTTTTAGTGCTGGGAAATATCTATACACTGCTGTAATATTGGAATTTTGTGTCATATCACAGGTACAACAGCCCGTATAGAGGCCAGCAAGTTGGATGATGATGTGCCTGATGATGAGGATGAAGGTCAGAGGAGAAGGAAAAGGCCGAAGAAGCCCGTAGTCAAGGATAGCGTTGACAACTCAGGAATTTACCAATCTCATCCACTTAATATTGTCCTTCACGTTTTTGATGACGAATCTTCTGGCACCAAACCTTTGAAACTGCTATCTCTGAGGTTTGAGTTCTTGGTAAAGTTGAGTGTGGTGTGCGTTGGAATTGAGGGCCCAGATCAAGGACCAGAGAACATTTTGTGTAATTTATTTCCTGATGACATTGGAATCGAGCTTCCTCACCAGGTACGTTCATCTTCCCTCTTCCTAGCCTATGCGATTTGACTATTTGATTTGTTCTAGTTGTCTATGATTCGTGGTTTGAGGATTCTTTTGAAGTTCTAGAAACTTGTGACCTTTGATGGAATTACTGTGTTGAACTTAACCGGACCATAATCCTGGTATTTTTTTTAAAGTAAGAAATGATAAAGAGTAACCTCGCCTCATATTAAGTTTCTTGCGACTCTGATGCTATTTTGATTTTAGGTTTCAGCTTCTTTTGAGGTTTGGCCTTGTTGTCATCCCTATGTATATTTGATGTAATTATAGTGGCTCTTCATGTCAAAATCGATTTTTTGTACATTTGTCATTTGTTTATCTGCGTTTTGGTACTTGCTTTGAAAGGCATAGTGAACATAATATATTATTCATCATTCTTGTTTGGACGACCATTTTGGGGTTTTCAATGTAACTTATGAAAAATGAAATGTATTTTTCTTCATTATTTCACACTTTTGTTCATTTGACAGAATCTTTGAGCTTTGCCTCTCCGAAAGTCCCATGATTGTCGTTATCTTTTGATGCATAGTTGCTCAAGGGATGATGTAATCCATAGTTCGTGGACAGGCTTTTAATCCCGCTCAATCAGTTCAAGTAGTTTGGGTTGCTTTTACATGCTTGAAATCTCAAGTCAGTTCAAATGGTTTTTTATATTTCTGATGCCAATTATGATCAACATAGTTGGATGATTAGAAAATGTTTTTGTGAATGCATTATTTTGATAGATGTTTTAATGTGCATTTGTTTGACCAAGAGCATAAATTTGAACTGGATTGATCTCATCTGGTTCTTTTGCTCCTCTACTTCCTGGGAATCAATGTGATGCCTGGTTTCGAATTTTTAGTTCAACCGTAGCAGAAACACATAAAATGTTGTGTATTTAAAATGATAAAAGGATTTGTTCTCCCATGTTTATCATCACCCACTTTCTCAATTCTGAGCAATAATGGCATCAGCATAGCTCCTGATCATGCACCTGCTACTTAGCATCTTCCTCCCAGAGCATCTTCCATGGAGCCTGAGACTCATTTGAAAGATGCAGGGACGATGCTGGTGTCCATGGCAAGATAATCTCTTAGATTTCTCTGCTAGACCAAGAAAGATGCCATTTGTCTCAGTTGGATAGCATATCATCATAAAAAATACTTAGCCTTTCAGATGTTATTCTCTCAATTTTTAGTACCAGTAAGTTCTCATTAAAGAGGAACACATAGCATAAGCTTCTCTTAATTTATCTGCACCTTGAAAAGGTAATGTTGTTGTTTCCATTTATGGGAATGTAATTGTTTGCTTTTCTGATTAGAAACGTTTTGGGTCTCTTGCAGACTGCAAAGGTTTATGCTGGGGACTCTATACTCTTTGACAAGAGAAATTTACGTCCTTATAAGTGGGCGCAGCATTTGGGTGGCATGGATATTCTGCCGGAGTTATCTCCTCTGCTTGAAGTGACAAAAGGGGGCTCTGCACCTTCTGGGCTGGCGCTCTACCGTCATCAGAATCGCGTGCAGACATTTCTGCAGAGGATCCGATCCCGGAAGAAAGCACAGATGGCTCTTGAGTGAGTCGCTGCTCAATGAAATTCTCAGATCTTGCAACGCAAAGAGTAGGAAGAATTGGGGGGGGGGGGGGATTTTCGGAAATGTACCATCCACCAGCAGATGTTTGCTCTCTGCATCTCCACTCTGCTTTCTGCATTGTTCTTTCTGTTCTTAGTACAATCTCTGCGGGAATTTTTACTGTGTCATAATCAAGGGTTAATATTTCATAAAGTTGAACCAGTAGGGTTAATATCTTCCGATTTCCAATCTATGCAAGGGTCTCAATGGAGATGCCCTGGTTATACTTCTATCTTGAAGGTCTGCATTCTTTCTTCTTTGACTTGCAGGAAGCAGCTTGAATCCCTGGCAAGGTTGAAGTGGCCTCCCCTCTCCTGTGGCGATGCTGTTCCATGGGCTCTGCATTCTCCGGCCTGCACTCTGGAGCAATGGTCACTCATAAGGTCAGCAGCAGACGCAGCCTCTCCTCCTCAGACAGCAGACTCCTCGGAACTTGCTTCAGAGGGGAGATCCATCAGGGAGGAGGTGGAGAGCGCGAGGGAAGATGGAGAGCTCCCATCAGTCATGCAGCTCTCAGAGGACCTGAAGCTCTCTTCTCTGAAGGCATCTGTGGAACTCAAGGAGCACTCCCGAAGCTTGGCGCTTATGTCGAAGAGCTCAACGCTGTCAAGTTTGGGTAAGTCCCCCAGTTTCAGGAGGTATGATGATGGCGTAGACCTGATGGTGGACAGCGAGAGCGAGACAGAGCAGCAGGCCCCACTGGTTCTTGATCCGGAGGAGAATTCACGTGTGCCCTGGGAGGAGTATGCGGCCAGAGAGTTCCTCATGGTGCTCTGCAGGGTGGCTGGTGGGGAGAAGACAAAGCTGGAGGCGAAGGTAGCAGCACCTCGATCTTAGACTGCTTCTCCATTCTAAATTCTTTGCTCTTAATGACCCATCAATAACATCCATCCTATGAACAACAACAACAACAACAGGTTGAGATTAGCGTGGAGTACCCTCTGAGGCCGCCTCATTTCAGACTGAGCATGGGGGTTGACTCCTCTTCAGCAGATGAGAGGAGCAGCGCCGAGTGGTTCAACGAACTCCGTGCAATGGAGGCTGAGGTATCTACCCCCCCAGCTCCTTGTTTTGGAAGAATCTAGCCGTTGACTTCTTTTTCGAGATATGGGTGGCGAGATTTCATGTCAACCTTTCTATGTATAGTAATCTTTTTAGAAACAGAAAAGACTAATGAGTAAAAAAAGTTTTTTTTGGGAGTGTGAGATTTTAAGTCAACGGTTCTTTTTTTTTTCCCTCGAATTTTCACTCTTTATAATAAAAAATGGGATGTTTCCATGGTGTGCTGGTTCCAGGTAAATCTGCACATCCTGAACATGGTGCCGTGGGAGTGGGACGAGGAGATCTTGTCCCACCAGGTCCGCTGCCTGGTCATGCTCTTTGACCTGCAGATTGAGCGGCGACAGACGACGACCCCACTCACCCAGAGGAGCATGTCGATCATTGACATCGGTCTCTGCAAGCCTGTCACAGGGTCAATGCTAGCAAGGTCTTCCAGGGGGAGGGACCGCAGGAAGATGCTCTCCTGGAAGAGCATGGAGTGCGCCGCCCCTGGCTACCCCTATTGAAACCATCCCCCCAGGTTTGACTTTTTTTATTACTTTTTTTTCTTCGTCATCATCATCTTGATTATTGCAGGGGAGACTTCTTCATTGTCTCTCCTTGTCTGCGACTTGCTCAGCTCTGTTCATGGGGGAAGCTGGAGATCCATTGTGGATGTTGAATTGGGACTTGTTGGCACCGTTGACCTGGTCTTCTTGAAGATGGAGGAGGAGATACTGTTCAGATCAGGGCCCACTGCCAGGTTCGTCTCCCATTGTTCAGATCCACTGGGTTAAGTACTTTATGGTTCTAAAGCCCAAATATTAATTCTAGAGAGTTACCCCTTACACAAATAGAAGGCTAGTTTTTTTGTTTCTCTCACTAGTTTTATGGACACAACAACGTCACAGATGTTGACACCCATGAGGTAGGAATTTCTGTGTTGTATGGGTAGAATCATCTAGGTCTTAATTTTATTTCCATTACAAGTATTGATACTAAACATAGGTCTGCCACTTTGGGTAGTAAGCATCCACAAACATGATTATGTTTCAAAGTTTTATATATATATATATATATATATATATTTTGGTGTGATCAAGTCTCGTCTTGTTGCCTTTAGTCATCATAATAAATTTTTGGGTTTAACAATTTTCACCCCTTTTGATGATGAGACGACCTATCTCTCCCTTTATGACATCATTTGAGAAAGTGATTATTCATGTTCCATGAAAATATGGTAGTAACTAAAATTTTTCAAAGTTATCAATCATGTTTTTTGATAAATATGCCTTATGTGAACTATTTTTCCAAAAATAATAATGAAATAATCGTAAAAATGACTATTAGCTCCTCCCTCAAAAAAAATTGACTTTTTCTTGAGATGATTATTAATCCTCATGACTTTAAATTTCAACAATATATTGAACTAGAATTTCCCTATCATTATCACCTAAATTCAACATAATAGTTTTTGGTAGATGTTAAAGGGCTTCAGAAAAACTTATGTGAAGCTTGTGGTGTGGGGGGAGGTGAATGGACTTTAAATAATGATTCTTTTTTCAATGGATTATAATATTAATGGCTCTACAACTTAGTTTAATATACAAATTAATTTGTAGCCTACTTTAAGCCTATGTTCAGAGATATATGAGAATGAATGAACATAATTTATTTACATTGTACATGATTAAAATAAATAATTTGCTTGACCTAATATATTATCTTATTATAATTCATTATGGTGTAATAGAAATTTGAGATGAACACATATTTTATAGTGGTTTGGGGTCTTGCCTACATTTTAAATTTTGAGAGTTTTTGCTCCTTTGGTTTCAATAATTTTTTTAAAAGATCAGATTCAAGTATTATATTGGATGTGGAGGCAATAAATCTATTTGTTAAATTAGTTATATAATTTTAGAGCCACTAGTCTCTTGCCAACTCATTGGGCTCTAGATAGTTTATAATGATACTATCACTATGACTCCTTTAGTGATCTTCTTTGAAAATTACTTTGAATGCTTATGACACCACTAACTAGTGCAATTTCTAAGCCACAAGTATAAACATTGAATTTAACTAAAAATATCGATGTGGTTCTTGCAAGGGCCCTTTGTTTGTTTACCTGGGTAGATCTTTTCTTTGGTTTCTATATCAGCTCTTGTTCTTGATGATGACCTCTCCCTTGAATGTGTTGGGTACTAGGTTATCTTTCTATTCTTTCTAGGCTCTTAGTTGACTTGTAAGGTCATGGGGACATGTTGACTATTGGATGTAGATGTAGATGTAGATGTAGATGTTGTCACTCTCCCTCTACTCTTCTTTTTGGCATGGGGTGAAGTCCCCCACTTAATAACATGAGTTTTGTGGTGTCAAAGGGTTATTCAAAATGGCTGAAAATTGGATTATATGTTACCACATTAGTGCTTTAAACAACTTTAAAAAAACCCATCAATCTTGTAAAGCTCATAAAAAAAATGAATTCTTATATTTTTTTTTGTTTTTTTGTTGCATCATGTACCTCTTTGATATATTTTTCTAATGAATATAGCATGCCTATACATAGGATATAAATTTAAATTTAAATCTTTTAGAATGATTGTGTTAGATTTCACATACTCTTTGAAGCATAAAAACATTTCAAATTTTAATTATGAAATCTTAATTTACCCTAATCATAATGATCAAGTTAGTCATAAAAGCATCTTTTTTGTGATTTTAGTGGTAAATTTAATACTCATTTTGTACTGGATTTGTCAGAATTGAGTCCACTTTTTCTACAATTTTATTTCACATAAAATTTTATTTTCCATCTCTTGAGATTTTTGTTCACCCATACTAAGTGAACATACTTCTCACTCTTCTTTTTCTAGGTCGACACTCGGGTTGACACATTTCCTTCTCATCAATTTTTGAGTTAACTTTTTAAAGGTCAACACCTTTATCTCTCCTCTGCTTCAGCTAGGTTGGTGCAAGGGTGAACTCGTTCTTTATAATTATGTCTATAACATAGAGCAGAAAACAGAGGTTACGATCAGTTGACTAAATCTAGTAATTTAGATCTTCATTCTAACATCAATGCAAGAATAAGATATCAAAGAAGGATATTTATTTTTATCTTTTTTTATTATTTTTCAACATTAAAATTTTTCAACAAACTCAAAATATTTGTTTATGATAAATATGTTAGAAGCTAAAACATGGAAAATGTTGATATAAGTTTGGAAACTTTTAGGATATATCCAATAAATACTTCGTAAACTGGACAAAATTAGCAAATGTATAAATAATGTTTCAATATTTGACATTTGAATAATCATTGTCATTATTGAAATATAAATAATGACATTGATTATCAATGTCATCCAAATTATGCATACTAAAATAATGTGTTAGCATATATAAATAATGGTTACAATGACATTGATTATTCAATGGCCAACTTACCAAAATGCCAAAAAAATTACCATAGACTGATCATTAATTAGCTGAATAAACCCCCTCCTCTCCTCCTACTCGAAATCATAATCATATATCAAAAAACTACAAGGTGGGCTAGATCGCCAACTCCATGGGAAGCCCTAAATTAAGTAAAGAACTTAGAATAATTATTAAATATTAATTTATTAAATACGCATGTGGATACATAAATAGCTGGATATTAACTGAAAATGCATAGAGGCAAATAAAATGAGTGACCTAGTCACCGATATTGACAAGGAAGGGCTGATACGACGTCAGACAATGGAGACGTTGGCTGGAAATCAGACTATTAGTTGTCACATTAGTGCTTAAAAATATAACTTAAAAAAATCATCAATTATATGATATATTAACTAATTAATTAAAAATGCATAAAAGGAAATGAACTGGTTGACGATCATTATCGGATGATACGGTCACCGCGTTGACTGGGGGAGCCTATGCCACGGTGGATAATGGAGACAGTGGTGATGGTATCGGCGGCGGAGGAATAATTAGCCGACAGATCGCCAGAACACGCACGTCAATTCCCAAAGTGGACGTTCCACCCACTAGGTGGACTAAAGGGCAGCAGGAGGTGTTTTGGGCAGTGAGTGGTTGCTTAGAAACACCGCGTCAGCCGTCTAGGGTAGTATGCGAAGGTGAGGACCGTTGTAAGCGGTGACCAGACCGCCGCAAGTTGATTGTGAGAAGCAAAAATAGACACGAACAGCCCGAAGCCAACCCACACATACAGCCCAATAAAGTCCCCTCCCCCGCTGCCGCCGGCGGCTACCACTAACGCCGCCGCCGTCCTCTCTCTCTCTCTTCTCTCAGTTCGCCGGCGATGGCGGAGGGCAAGAGGAGGGACTCCCTCCTCCCTCCTCCTCCGGCGCTGGCGGCGCTCCACAAGCAGCGCTCCTGGTCCCCCGACGTAGAGCGGGAGGAGGCCTGGCAGCGGCGGCGGGATATTCACCGAGCGCGGCGGACGGCGACGGCGGCGGCGGCGGCGGCGGCGGCGGCAGCGGGGTGGGGTGGCCGCCTCTCCAAGAGCGTCTCCGATGAGGACCTCGAGGAGCTCCGGGGCTGCGTGGACCTCGGCTTCTGCTTCGCTCTCGATTCGCCGGCGTCGTCGACTACCGCCTCCTCCGACGACGTCAGCGACCGCCTCTCCGACGCCTTCCCCGCGCTGGATCTATACTACGCTGTCCGCCGGAGTTGCTCCTCCGATTCCCTGGAAGTCGCCGGAGTAGATTCCCCTCCGGCATCGTCGCCCGTCGGGAGCTCCTCCCTCTCCATCTACTCTCCAGGTAATTAGTCAGATCTGGAACGACAATTCTTCCTTTCTGAGATGACTTCTCCTAAGAATCGAATTGCCAAGTAGAACTGTTCGAAGATCTCTCCTCTTTCCTGAGACAATGAATCTTTCTTTCCCTCTCTCCCGCTCATGGTGGAGGAACCCTAATCAAACCATTCTTTCGGATAGAACCTTGTTGAATCGACAGACTGGTGAATTTGATAATTTTTTTCTGCATGAATTCATTGCATCTTGCACAAACAACGGGGAAAAAAAGTCGGCTGACTCTGGTTTTCTTGTTGAAGGCGATAGCCCGCGGCAGGTGAAGACGAGGCTTAAGCAGTGGGCCAAGGTGGTGGCTTGCTCTGTACGCCAACATCTCCCTTGAGCTCTCTCTCTCTCTCTCTCTCTCTATCTCTGTGGCCGGAGGAGGAGGAGGAGGAATGTCAGAGAGCACATTACCGGCCATGGGGGACTGCAGTAGACGATGATTGGTCACGAAGTGACGAATCACCGCAGCACCCGACGATGAGTGAGAAGCATTGAATTGGCTAAAAAAAAGGAAAAGGATTTCGATTTTTTTGGGGTGTGAAATTCTTTTCTGGGTGTGAAATTCTTGTCGAGGTTCTCATCCCAAGAGATGATTTCCATGGATTTCTTCGCCATCTTCATCTTCTTCTTCCGTGCGGACGGTGAGAGGAAATAATTTTTAGAGTTCCATCTGCTTTCAATTTCTTCGCTCAGAATATGCATGCCCAGCTCAATCTTCGGCCAGTGAAAGACTCAGAGAGATAGAGATAGATGAAGATAGATAGATAGATAGATAGAGAGAGAGAGAGAGAGAGAGAGAGAGAGAGAGGACATAACAATAAGGAATGGCTGCACTCCTTATTGTTGGTTTTGTAAGCCATAATAATCTTGATGAGCAAAATGGGTAGAAGGAAAATTAGTAATTTTACTCTACTATGATAATTTATACAAATATTTTCAGACTATTTCTCTAGCCCTTAAATTGGACATATTACGTTACAGGTGCAGTGGTCTTTTTACACCATTTTTCTAGGCAAAATTAAGCATTAAATTGAAGAAAATTGTTCTCAAGGGTAAAATGGTACTTTTGCATTAAATGCAAATTAAATATCCTTAAAATAGGCTTCAGAACAAGCAGCAAATTGGGGAAAATGTACCCTAATTATAAAAAATAGTGAATTCACACTAAAAGGATATTTAATTACCTTTGTGTCCCTTGAGAGTGCTTGATTAGGTTGAAAATGTATTGTTCATATAATTTTTGATATAAAAAAATTAACATATTGAGAAAAATATACTAAAAACTTTATAAATAGTAATTTCACAGTATAAAGGTAATTGAATAGCTTTGTGGCCCTTGAGAGTGCCCTAGTATGGTCCATAGAAAGCTTCAAGATAAAAAAAAAGCAACATATTGAGTAAATAGTGATTTTACATCTCAAAATATTAAAGTTTCATTGTGGCCCTTGACAACTTTTGACTATGTTGAAAGTGGGATAAAATAATTATTTCATTTTTTGGTAAGAGTAATCAATTACAAGTCAAGAATTGATGGATATTCTTTACATATACATAAATAGGAAGTGGCTTGTGTAGAAGAGTCCTTCGAATTGTTCAAGGTGAGGATGTTGATTTCTGTTATTGAATGATTTTTAATCAACTTGAGATTTCAGGAGATTTTTTATTATTTTTTAAGAATTTTACTAGTAGAGAATAAGGCTATATTCGATAGTATCCCAGTGGCTACAATTCATTTCCAACATGTACTTTCAGGTATTGTTTTTAGTCTTTCCACATCTTGTCACATAATGCCAGATATTTTCAATTTTCTCCTTTTTATTGTCTTTAGAGTCAACTCACTTCTTACTATGAATAGAAGACGAAATTTTAAGAAAAATATTCTCAAATTTTATAAAAAAATATATAGTTCAAGTTATAACATTTGTAGTACAACCAAGTAATTTGAAAATTTTTTGAAAACTATATTTTCATGAAAACTACAGAAAAATATTAGTATAATGAGAAAAATATATTAACAAATTATAAATAGATTATATGATTCATATTAGGCCATTTTTAATATAATGAAACATTTTCAAGAGTAATCCAAGATACTCAAGTATTTTACCCTTGAGTACATTTTCCTCAATTTATTTATTTTTCATTTAAGAAAATTGACATATTATTTCAGTTATAATCAGTTAGATTCAAGGTCACAGTGATATTTACATATATGTTCTTCACACAACTTATTATTTCTCCTCTAGTACATTAATGGCTACTTTTTTTTTTTTATAAATTCAAATCCTATTTGTAAATTTTCAACGTGATCAAGTATGTTCAAGCATCACAAAGATATCCAAATATTTCTTTATGATTTGAAAACAGAATTTACCCTTACTCCCATATTGTTATCATTAAAGTGATTAGGGCTTTAGAAGCCAAATAAATTAGACAACAAGGTATAGAACATATATTGTCAACTGAACATGAGGTTGTAACCAGCAAATGATTGATAAATTCAATGAAAAGTTGAACTTTGGGGTACTATAAGGTATAAAACATGAGGTTATTATTAAAGATTGTTAGTCCCAAGTGAACTAGGATGAACAAGGGAACATTGGTCTTCATTGCTTGAGCCTTAGAGTTTACAATTTATGTATTGACTATATATAAGTATATATATATATATATATATAAAGGGGAAGAGGATCACAGAGAAAAGAGTACCATAACCAAAGGCAGGCCTTCATAAAGGCAGTTTATTTAACACGGGACATTTGACTTTCCTATTAACACATAGGCTTCGCCTTTTGAGAATGCCCGGTCACTACAAAAGAAGAAGCCGGCCACATAAAGATCCACTGATCCAGGGCTATGAGGGGGTAGGGGCTGGGTTTTAGTCGGTATTGCCTCTTCTCCCGTTGGCAGAGGTTCCTCCAGTCCCTGCCTGGTTGTTGAGGGAGGAGAAAGACGGAATCCATACGGGCTACGTGAGTGAACTCACTGCATTTGATCAGCAAGTGCCACAGACTAAGTTTATTAACGGAACAAACAAGAGCCTTGCTACCTATATATCGTCTCTCTCAAGACTCATATAGGTATTTGGACCACTCGACCAAACAGGTTTATACCTGAAACCTAAGCGCAATGGAAGAGTGAGATACTTTGGGCAATATGCTTTCAAGCATTGAAGCCGCTCGCGTCAAACGTTCAACGCAGAGATCTTCAACGCTCTGACCATGCTTATATCCAGGGACATGGATAGTCTTCGGGGTCACTTTAGGCCATACCAATATCCATTTTGATACAGAGCAAAAACTCAGTATCAACTTGTTCGGGTTAGTACGCATTCGTATTTTATTTTTATAATACGAAGAAGGTATGAAGCGCGGTAGCCCAGAGCGGGTTAAGGAGACAAAAGTCTTCATACTCGCCCTCTGTGACTGAACCCCACCCCAATACCACATGAGACATAAGCTCACATGTTTAAGGTACTGTCCATTAAAGAGAGGTCTTGACTTCTTTTTATAAAGACGTCGGGTATCTCTTAGGCTTAAGCAAAGCCTATCACTATGCTCTTTGGTTAACTTACCAAAGACGCATAGTTGAGCCTTCATACAAAGACCCAAGCCGGGTACTTTACTTTCATTCATATCCCGCCAACCTCGCGTGCCTAAACGCTCAGTAAGTTTCAATAATGAATTTAAGTTTATACTTTTAACTTACTAAGGTTTAGCTTTTGCACTGAGGTACTCATCTTAACTTGGGGTGAGAGGGTCCCTTAAAGAATCATCAGAATCATCAGAATCATCAACACTTTAACTTCGGGAGGAGAGGCGCTTGGTCGTGAATCAAGTAGTATAACATTCCCTACTTACATAAGGTAAGTCGAGGTAAGGTTTAACCTCACAATAGACCCGTTCCTTTCGGGTGCCTCTGGAGCAAAAGAGTGCCTTTCACCAACACATTGATTACTACAAAGCACAGGTACGCCGGGGAGGTGATGAACTCCCCCACCACTGGGATGACCCACCACCCTGTTGGTGTCAACTTATAGTTCAAGAAGAGGGTGCAAAGGCGGATACTTTTAGGTAGGACCCATTCATTATCTCTGAAAGAATGAATTTGGGTTGTTGTTCCATCAAAAAGCGATGAGTTAAACAACGTTCCAGAGTCATCTTCCATTCATATCGATTTTGGTCTTTCTGCACCATATTTAGATCTTCCCCTTCTTCGATCCGGAATTCCCAGCAAATCCTTGACTCCTCGAATACAATGGGATTTCACACCTGGCGAATCTTTCACTCTACCTCCCCTGATTAAGACTAAAGGATGTTCCTGCGAATTATGACCTTCGCCTGGAATGTGAGCAAATATATCATGTCGATTGCTCAACCGTACTTTGGCTATCTATCTTACGTGGAGATGAATTTGGTTTTTTTCGGTCTTCTCGTCGGAACACGCGGGCGTACTCCTTGCTTCTGGGGACATTGATCCGAAGCTCGAGTACGGTCCGTGCGCCGTTTTTCTTCTCTACCATGACGAATCAATTGATTTTAATGTAGGCATCGCTCTTTCCTTTGTCCTTCTCCCCCCTTTGCCCTCTAACGAAGCACCCCTTTTCCATTCACAGAGAGATCCAATCGTCAAAATCAATAAAAAGGCCATCATGGACCAAGATCCAAACAAATCAATCTTGTTGGGAGGTACTGCCCAAGGAAAAGAAAAGGTGACTTCCGGATCAGATAAAATCGTATATCGAAACGACTTCTCGCATCACCGGAGGGATCGGAACCGCATTCGTGGGCCGACAATTTTTCTGGATAGGTCAAACTATTGGAAGCAAATGGAAAAGGAAGACCGAGTGGGATCAAAGAAACTAGCGGACTGATCACTAAATAGATACAAATAGGTGCAAATTCTGACATCACCACAGCCCAGTTGGTTCTCTCGCTCTGCTCGCGTCGCTCCTTGCTCGCGGAGCGGCATACCGAAAAAAGAAAAAGACTATATAAGAATATCTATGGCCCTTTATGTATCCCACCACTCATACTCATTCACAAGGGTGGATACTATGTGTTTTTTTGTTAGTTCCTTGAGACCTTCGGATCTTATCAAAGGAGTTCCCGTTGGTTGTCGTATGAATAAAAGTAAGCAATCTGTCGACCTGGGGACAGAAGACGTTACCTGGAAACGCTAAGCTGACAGATCTGAAGGAGGATAAGTTTTTTTTTTTACAGATTAAGCGTTGATAGCCTCTTTATTTCATTAAGACACAACGCTATCTGATAGGTTGACGGGAGTCTTACCCATTCATCCCTGAGGTGTACCAAACAGAACAGACAGAAACAGCATATTAAGGAATATAGTTGCTATGAACTAGTTGTGGGTAGGGATGCGGATATATACCCTCACCCTCTATACCAGTCAATGACTATGTCCCCAGGGACAAGGAATTTTGGCATGACTAAGCCAGCTGTCGATAGCCTCGGCCATAAAACTCTAGATTCATTCCGGCCGGGAGCAATACCCGGGAGCAATACAGGGTTAGAAGCAGACAGGCAAGAGCAGGTCGGTCTGTGCTCAAGAGACCACGTATAGCCTGTTGCCTGCTTTCTAGGAGTGACTGAGCCTGGAAGACATTGCTGGAGCTCAGAGTGATTCAAGATCAGACAGAACGAACCTACCCCAGCACAGACCTCTGCAGCACCATCAGTCAGGGAAAAAACCTACCGGGCAAGTCACACTGAGTTTCCAGTCGACACCCATGCACCTCAAGAAGCAAGTCAGATTCCTTCCAACAAGGAAAGGAGCAAGCATAAAAGTAATGGAGTTTAAGATATTAATTCCATTCACCAACCCAATCTCGAAGGATTGATGAAGATCGTTCAGTTCCTATAGAACTATAACTCAAAATACCCCGGCCCAACTTTTCCGTGAGATGATTAATGCGTAATATTAGCCCCAATTGAGCTAATCCATAACAACAACAAAGACCTATCGTATCAAATTGAGCTTCGCATTCTGGCGCAAGCGCCTTTAATGTAAATAAATAAGTGATGGGAATTTCTCTGTAAACCGTAGCTCATGAAGTCTTGCTACTTCGGTTTCGGAACAATTAAGCAGTGAATTGATGAACAAGCTACTACTACAAGTGTCAGTCGACATTCAGTCCCCTATAAACGTAAAGACTTGACTTCAGAGCGATCACTTTTCACCGGGGTTGGTGAATCTTTGCACGAATAACCTTTATAAGAAACTATGTGGCTTTCAAACTCATTTGTATCACGCTTCCCCTGTGCGGTGTATTATTCTTCACATGGGAGCCGCGCGGGTGTCCGGTTTCGGACAGTTGTGAGCGGGACTGACAGAGCATCTTTCTAGGCCCTCACAGTGCCAGCAAGGTCTTGGGATAGATAACTAAAATCTGTAGATGGTGTTGGGGCTGGTGTGACAAGACGGAATCAGGCCCTTTGTGACTTCAGGTAAAGTATGGGTTCCCTTTAGGACAGGAATCTACTTGGCTGCATGCATTCATTGCAGACCTGACAGCTAGCAGCCTTTGGAACTTGTGTTATCAGTCTTGGGACTGTCAAATTTCATGTGCATGTGTAGAAGAGCTAGGATCATTCTTCATGGGATCTTTAGCTCCTGCCAGTCAACTATGAAGAATAATGGCCCATTGGAAAGTGTGTAAAAGTAGGGCTTAGTGTTAAAATTTTCAGCAGTTGAGTTGAGAGTTGAAAGACAATGGCAGTAGCATGTTGTAGAAGATGAAAGAGGATGAAGGCAGGAAGAAAGGAAGAGGTGTTTGTTGTTTTATCCATTTTTTTCTAAGTAAGCAAGAACTATATTAAAAGAAATAAAAAAAAAAACGAAATTAGGAGGGTCCAGGGGCTATCTACAATAGATCAAAGAGGCCAAATCACGAGTGAATGAATCTCAAATTCGGAAGGCCTAAAGGAGCCAATTGGAGAGCTAAGATAACTGGTCTAGGCAATTCCGAAGCTAAGAAAAAGACTTGATCCGAATTCAAAGTCACCGGATATTGAAGCCAAGTTCCACACAATTCCCTTCTAAACACGTGGCTTCAAGTCCAGGTGATCCGCCGGAGAGAGTAAAGAATATCGAACCACAAATCCCGAACCTTCCATGGGACATTCCTCCTCTTTACACAGCCTCCACTGACGAAGCGATAGGCGAGAAAGATGGTAATAACCCGTTGTTGTTTAGTGAGAGAAGGGCGACCGAGGGAATGGCTTGACTTGGCAGAACGGAGATGGCGCATATACCGATCCTTTTCAGTCTTTCGATCCTGTCTTCTTCCTCCACATCGTTTTCCTCCATCTCATCCACCCTTCCAGTGATTTATAAAACGCAAGCGCCTTTATTCTCACAAAGCCACTCTAAACAGTTGATTCTGTTGATTCAGTTGAGGCGAAACAACCACTAATAGTAGCATCCATTAAAGACCCATCACCAGCTGCGAGACTAGTGCCAGCATCTCACTTGTTCCTTTCGATCCAGTAGCTGACCCAGTTTCCGTTGAGCCGGTGGGGTAGCGAGTCCAGATCGTGTAGGAAGTCGACGACTCCCTAAGCCAGCACAGGTACATTATTGAGGTGCTGAAGAGGTATGGTATGACTGGTTGTCCACCAGTAAAAAAAAACTCCTATCCTATGGAAGAATGTTAAATTGTCTAAGGACACATTTCTTAAATAGGGAAGATCCGTTGAGGATGACACACATTCCCGAGGTGCTGTAGGCAGCCTGATGTATGCTATGTTTTCAGACCAGACATAGCCTATTCAGTAAGTCAAGTGATTGACTATGATTCGTACATCACAGGTACACAGGACCTTTGTTTGTGCTACCAAGGTAAGGTGGTATTAAGGCGCTTGCGGCGGATACACCGATCTTTACATTGATAAGGTTGGGCAGGAGACCTAGATGAGCGTAAGTCTTCCACGGGATATTGGTTTACACTAGGGGGAGGAGCGAAGCTGGCACGTGGAGTCTAGCTACTACTACACGAGTCCCACACATCACACCACTCCACAAGATAGGCTTTCAAGTCAAGCTTCATCAGCTACAGACAGGGGAAGGCTTTGAATCCAATTCAAAAGTGCAGGCCCTCATCAGCAAAAGCAAAAGCTATTGGCGATGCCTTCTTTCCTTCGGCTTGTTCATTGATTTCTTGTTCATAGTAGCTAGCCGAGGTAGGCTCTTTCAACAGCTTCTCTTTCTTACTAGCTAACAGATCTTCTTTCTCCCGAAAGGGCAGCTTCCTCTGATTCGGTTACATCGTATCCAGGGCCGGTGGGCGGGAATAGATAAGTAGGCTTTGGGTCTGGGTCTTTAGTTAATGACCCGTAAGCGAAGGTCCTTCCCTTATTCCTCAATGCTTAGCTTGGCTTGGCGCGCTTGAATCGGCAGCTAGCCTCTTCCTTTCGCGGTTAGGGCTAGTTGGCTTGGATAAGGCTGTAAGCGTGACGGCGTAAAGAAGGTAGCCGTAGGGGAACCTGGGAGAAGTAGGAATGCCACGAGCGTAACGCTTTTAAGTTCCCTTTTTATTCAATGTTGTTGAAAAGTAGGGCTCAAAACTGATTCAATGACTAGAGTATTCAACCATATATATATATATATATATATATATATATGGCATAAGTCAATTCCTTTTCTGACATAGAGATATGCTACATTTAATAGATTTAATAGTGGTCGAGCACTCCTTACCTACTCGATTGTTTAAAAAAACTTTGGCCTTAGGCTCTAAAAAGTCAACGTCCACTTAGGTACACACACCTGACACAAAGGACATTAACTCACCATCCTCTTAGATTCATGACTCTCAAATAATAGTACAGTGGACTTTTTAGAGTTATGTCACAATTTCTAGATTAATGGCACTAATGAGTATAATGCACACAACATTAATTGTTAATTATGAGAACTTTTACATGGAAGAATTATGAAATTAGAGCTTTGACTTTCTATAAGAATCTTTCGGGTGAGTACATTGGAATAGGAGGAAGTGCCTTGGAGCACCTTTGGTTCCTTGATAAATGCTTTTGAAAGCAATTGAATCTTCATGTGAAGGTTCATAATTTAAATAACCATATTGGAGCACCTCTAAGTCATCAAACTTAGAGACTTTAGGCATCATCCCCTTAGAGTAAACTTTCAAAATAACCATATTTAAATTCTTTTGAAAAATAAATAAATGTTATTATCTAATTTTTCTATTTTTATTTTATTTAAATTGAATGTCATAATTAGGTTTCATGAAAACCTTACAGCCTACCTATTAGGAAAATAATTTCTATTGATCATTATAAAGGAATCAGATATTGGGCATAAAATCAACTCTGGTCATCTGCAGCTCAGTTCATGAAGAAATTCAGTCTGCACGACAGACAACTGACTGGAGTTACTAGGATTCCATTCAAAAGGTCCAATATGAGGTTTGCTGGTGCCCATTTTAGCTTGAGCAATCCAGATATCCAGTTTCCTTTACAGTTCATGTGTTCTTGGGTTTCATTTCTCCAATCAAATTCCCCTCTCAAAACTCAACTCCAGTTCTGTGATTAAGAAACCCATTTACTTCTCCATTTATTCAACCAAGGGAGATAAGTTGCCCAACAAATGAAACTCAAAAGTATAAAATATCTGGATAGGATACTATTTTTGGAATTCTAAGGCATTTTTATACAACAACAAAAGAGTTTTCAATTGGGGTTTTCATGCAGAAACCTTGAGATCTCTCCCTAGGTTCAGCTTGCTGCCAGGGATCTTGGGGCACTGAGAGCTCAGTCTCCGTTTCAAGAACAGATTCGCAGAGACCCACTTCAGGAAATATCTGAAGTGGATCTGAACTGATATTGATGAGGGTGCCCTGTTTCAGTCTCTAAGTTTGAATCCTGGGCTAATGTGATTCCCTCCTAGCTGTTCATTTATGCCCCAAACTCAGTAGTACGGCTGTTTTTCTGCCATATGCCGCCATCCGTAAGGTGCATTTCTCTAACACTTACAAAGGGGGGGCTAGTGTGAAAGGGATGCTTCACCTAACATATCATGAGGTACTACCACACATTCTATAAATGCCTTGGAACATGATTTCAGCCTCTCTCTCTCTCTCTTAAGCTCTCTTTAGTGAGCGTACATAGCTATGGAAATTCATAGGGACACCAAGCTTTCTTTACCCCATGGCTAGAGCTGGGTCTGAAGACAGCAGCGTGTCTGACCAAACCATAGGCATTCCTCAAGCACACAGCCAAATGAAGAATCTGATAAGGCTATGAAAATCAGAAGATTTGAAGGACAGACTGAAGCTATCTTTGACTGACAAGATCAAGTGTCTAACCTGAAGCTTTATCTAGAGATAGAAAGAGAAGGAAGAACATTTGAGCGACACCAATGGGTAAGCAGTAAGACCTTCAATGTTAAGTATATTCAGATGGCTAGATAACCTATCAGTCTGAATTTCATCTTGGCAGACTGACCGAGTCCATCAACCTGAACATTATTTCACACTGACATACTTGATTTTCTTGCTTGAAAGGTTTGATCTACCGGTGGACGCTCACTTTGTCAAAGGACTTCTACAAGAAAAATAAAAACCTCTCTAGAACGCATTGAAGAAACAAAAACTGAACCTTCTGGACCCAATTTTGCATTGATCCAATCAAAAAAGTCCAATAACGACCTAAAATCTAGAGATGCTGGGAACCCCTTCAGGTTTCGTTTTCTAGTGATGCATCAATTGCTGGGAGGTTCTGTGCTTCCAAGAGTTTCATCTGTCTCTCCGCATGTTCTCTCTCACACTGGCTGATTCCCATTATGATATCGAGCATTGTGCCAGTCGTACCAAAGAAGACTAATGGTGCCAAAGACTTCCTCTTTATGCCTACTGGTATAGCGATCAGAGCGCCTGCCACTGAGAACACCCAGGTACCGAGAGCACTGCACATAAATAGGAAAAAGATCTTCCTCATCTTCTTTGCATACTCATCAGAGAAAATGAAAGAAAGAGATCAGGATTATATACAGTCTTCAATGAAGGGAGGAGAAGCAGACAATAAGCCACTGGATGAAGGTCGAGTCAATGATGAACAAGAGTGTTAAAAGGGGAAAGATGACCAGAGGGCGCAACTGTAACAAATGCTCAAAATATTACAAAGCATGAGAGAAAAGTAGCCATTTGAGCATATATTTAAGGGATTTCTTTGATGATTGTAGCATAGAAGTGTTAATAAAGAGAGGTCAGAGTGATTGATTAGGACGGAATTTCCATAGTGCGAAAGCTGATATTCCTTTAGCTTCGATCTGTTTCCACTTCCTAGAACAAAAAAATTGAATTCGTAGAAATATAATCAGGGATAGTTGGGTTTGTCTTGAAATAAAAGAATTTTATTTAAAAAATAATGACGAAAATCTAAGCTGTTCTTTCTAACCCCTTGACAGGCAGAGATCATGGCTAGATATGATATTTTATATTAAATCCCATTTTTACTTCTTTTAGATATTCCCTATTGGTGATGATTAAGGATAGATCACGAAAAGGTAAGTTCGTCATTGCTTATTTTTCTTGTGTCTTCCCTTGGTTTATCGAGTACTTGTCTTTTCTTGCCAATCACTTCCTCCACAATAATGGTCGATTTCCCATATTCTTCTGAAACTCTCTCACAAAGCCTCAATTCATTTTCAGGGAAAAGAAGATGTAAAGATGATGTGGTGTCAAGTGGTAGCGAAATTCCGCAATTCGAACATGAAATACTAAAAATTTTCAGCTGTTGGAATGTGGATAGCTTGAAGATTTAGCACCAGATTTGCTCACGTTAGAATGTGGGTAGCTCGAAGCCAATATTTCGTCACATACCTTATAAACTAATCATGTCTGCTGGATTAAGATCTCCTCCCTGAATGTGGTCGCTAAAATAATGCGTGGATGATATGGTGAAAATTGCTTAAGCTTCAGAACTAGAATAGAAACTATATAAGTCAGTAAATTTGGCAATTCCTTCAGCTTTTTCTTTCCAAAGCAAAGCTGAGCGAAACACTTTTCTTGTATCCTTGACAGCCCACGAAAACTAGAGTCAAGTAAAAAGATTGATATGACGATGCATTCAATGTGTAGCGGATTATAAACAGAAATTAAGATTACTCACGCTATCATCAGACGCCAATGAAAAACCATAATTAATAGGTTCACTTCCAAGAATATTCCAACAAGGGAAAATCAAGAAAACCTAGGCGCGGCGCCAGACATCACACTAGAGACAGAGAAAGAGATTCAGGTTCGAACTAAAGCACAGACAGAGAGAACTCACTTTGAGACAGAGCAATCTTCGAGTTGTTTGACCTCACCGTCTCGGGCCCCAACGACTTGATGTCCTCCTCTCTCCATGGGGTTATCTCTCTCCTTCAACCAAGGATCGCAGGGATCCGCTCTCACTCCCCCCGGCAACGAGACCACCCGTCACACCCCGCCGCCACACCGCCGAAGACGGTGGGCGGTAGGCGACCGCGCGGAAATAGTAGAGGTGGTCGAAGATCTCTTCTTAATGTGTGACCCTCTAAAACCAAAGAATTACGGACATACCCTGAAATTGTATTGTGCAGTGTTAGAAGAATACTTTATCCGTTTTATAGAAAACTCTGTTTTTTTCCTTTGAAAGGGTAATTTTTTATTAATAATTTGGTCCTCACCTGTGAAGATAATTTTTTAAGAAATTAATCAGCTAGCTAAATATCAATTTATAATTGGGAGAGAGGGAATAGTGGCAAGGAGTGTGTGAGCACGGGTTGTGGGTTGACTAGATGAAGGGCATAAGGGTTGACTAGATGAAAGGCCTAAGGGTTGACTCTCTAGAAACCAAGAGGGGGTTTGTTTGGGGAGGGGTAATCGGAGCAAGAGTCCCTTTAATGTCATGAGAAAGCTATGTTTGTTATGTTTTTATTTTTTAAGGCTATTTTTCAAAACTTTTAGAAGTTGGGTATCCCTTTCAATCCTTTAGTAAATACAAAATCAAAAGATTAAATTGTGTGGTATGTAATTTTGAAGAATTCAAATGAAATAAATTTAACAATTAATTAACTAGATTTGTGTAATATTTTTATACCTAAAGCATAGATAATTTAAGATGATGGAATTTCTAGCTATGTGTGAATGAAAATATGGTGAGAATAGTGAAATAAAATAATACAATGGCTAGGATAGAAATTTTGAATAATAATATGTCAGATGTTTGACATTAAAGCCATAAGATTGTTCTCATGATTCTCATCATTGAAGTAAATCTGTGTCAACTTTTGATGGTTTAGGTGATTCTATGAAGCATTTTATTTTTAGGTGTTTAAAGAGAGTTAATTGTTTTCAAAATTTAATTGATATCATTCGTTGTAAGCAATTTTTCATTTTTAAAAATTCATGTATTTGAATTTTTTGTATCTTAGATGCTCTTGAGGTGTGGAATTCGAAATGTTTTATACATAGTTGTGATTTTAAAACTCTTATATCTATCCTTTTCAATGGTATGTACTAAACTATAAGATTAAGATTCATGGTACAAGCCCCATAAATTTATTATACATGTTTAAATACTTTACATCAATTAAAATAAAATATTAACTATATAATCTTATGGCTCGTAAGTGAATCGATAGAGTCAATCCTTGAGATTAATTAACTTTCATGCATGGTGAAACTAATTTTGAAATGCAGCATCTTATATTCTATAGATAAGTATAAGAAGTTTAACATCATCCCACATGAGGAAATATTTAGAAACTCATGAAATATCGAAGTCACATATGGGTCTCAAACTTAGAACTTGGACAATGACACGTTGAAAGCTGATGTGAGAAAATATTTTAAAACATGCGAAATATTAGAGTCAAGTGTGAGTCTTGAACCCAAAATTTAAACAGTGACAAGTCAAAAGCTTACATGAGAAAATATTTAGAAACTCATAAAATATCAAAGTCATGTGTGAGTCTCAAACCAATAATCTAAATAGTAACATGTTAGAAACTTATGTGAAGATAATGGGAGATTTTGTGATTATGTGAAGAAATGAATCTGATTCAAATTTCAATTTAAAGAGATGAGAGAATAGAGAGTTTGGAAGTACAAAAAAGACAAAGTTCACTACTGCACATTCTAGATTGTAAAAATTTCTTGACCACTTTTCAAGACAAAAAATGATTAGAGAAGTGGACTATAAAAAGGAGAAAGTTTTAGAAGATATTAGAGAACTCTCTAATAAATATCTACATATCTTATCTCAAGACTCAGCTGCCACATGCTTCAACAAATTATAAAATGATACATCAAATCTTGATTCAACATTAGTGATCTAAACTACATCTATCTCAAAAGTTGACATTGTCCATCAGGCCTAAAGATATTTGGGTGGTGAGAGGAGAGGTATCTAGATAAGGGCATGAAATCTTGGTAGCCTAGTTGTGCCTTTGAAGAACCATGTCTCTAGGGAGACAACTAGTGTGATTGGGTTGCTGATCTCGTGAAGATTGGTGTAGTAAAGTCACACGGGAAGAATCCTCTAGGACTGAAAGTAATCAATTGAGGGGTGAACTAGTATAAAACTTCTTAGTGTTCTTGGTGGTGATGAGAGAACTTTGAGAGAATCCACATTGAGAGAGAGAGAGAGAGAGAGAGAGAGAGAGAGAGAGCCTTGAGAGAACTTGTATTGAGAAAAAGAGAGCCATGAGAGAATCTGTGTCAACAAATCTATAGATGAGTGAAAAACATAAATTGAAAAAAATCCATAGAAACGTAATTCACCTCTCCCCTTTTGGAGCTTCACTTAACTCCTTTTGAACTTACATATTACACCAATTTTAAAACACATACATTACTTTCTAAACTTCATCACAAATAACTGCCTTATTTGAAGATCTCATTCTTTTCTTTATGTGTTATCCTCTCATTTTTTCATCTTATGTTAACATCAATAAACTTGTATTTTAAATTGAGTGTTAACTTGCAGAATAAATATAAGAATATATTGTTAATTTTCGAAGTGTGACATTAAAGGGCTTAATGTAATTTTTGATTTTTAAAAATATAAAGATAAAATAAAAAAGTATCACCACCCGTTGGCAAGCTAGCACTTGGCAACTGACCTAGAAGGACATTGCGCTCGAGTAGGTGGATCTGAACTAGATGAGCCACAAGCTGGGCTCGAGTGGCTAAGGACTCACTCACCTACTACATCCCAAAGGCCAATCATAGAGCAAGAAGTATTGTACACACATGCATGCGTGAGGGCGGACGACCTAATATCTTCTCTCAAGATAGCCCTAGGCATTATTTTATTCAGGAGAAGGGATATCTGAACATGGAACTTAGCTTTGGTATATATTTAGTTCAATCCCTCAAATACTTCTAATGTGGGACTAAATTTTCTTATGTGTTTTAGGGTAGTGGTCTAAGGTGGTTTGATCTAATAGTGCTCAATGAGCTACGTTACCAGATATGGGAGATCTTACAACAAACAAACCGTCACGATACTCAAAGCGTAAAGTAATCCATCAGTGGTTCATGAATCTTACATCGCTCAACTTGCATGTGATCAGAACGGATGATCTTACAGCCAATGAAGTACCACGGTACCATGTACTTAGGTTTTTAGTCAGCAACAGTTCATGGTGGGTTAATCCTGCGTCCCTCAATACGTCATGTGATTAAGCACATCTAATCTAGTGGCAACCAAAGCACCACAATATTGGGAACTTAAGTTGTCGCACGTATCACTATGAAGGATATAGAGATAATAATTGATTATTATCTAGTAAAATAGATATTATCGATTATTTTTAAAAACTTGATAGCAATTGCAAAGACGACATTTGTTCTTTCCTCCTTTTATTCAATCAATGACTTTGATGATCGGCGAGTTTATTACTTCCTCCTTCGATTACACTCAAGGCCTCTAGCGAATGGTGATAGCATGGTCGACCCTCTTTTTAGTGGATCTCAACAAACGGTGCATCACTTTTGAATGATACCTCTGTGACTTCCAACATGATGTGACACATCTAGAAGAAATCAAGCTACCACACTAATGCCTCTAGTTGCCTAAGAGATAGACTAAATTTGGGCAACAATTTCTTTCCTACTTTTGTCATTTATTTACGTAATTTTAATATTTATTTATATTTTACGACAAGTTATTTCTATTTCATATATGTTTTAATTGAAATGAGTAAAACTAATTCAAATCCTAATGAATAATTTTTATTCCTTTTCTAAATATTTTGAAACTTGTATGAAATTAAGCCAAGATAGTGTCCAACTTATTTTCTATTGATTTTTACAGTCGAATCTTGAAGTATTTGTGTTCCCGATGTTCTTTGAATACTGAGTATTTTTATATTTTTGAATGTGAAATCAACGAAATTAAAGGTTGATTAATAAGTGTTGAACTATTCAGATAAGATGAAGACATTCATAGCTGAATTCATGTCGTGCATATAAATTTTTGAGTACACATTTATTCGAGAATTATGGTCACCGTGAAAACAACTTGATCGTGTTTCTCTCTATCTTTATTATTGTCTTATTTCTCTCTCTCCCTCTCGTGAGATCTCTTCTTCTCTCTCCATCTCTCGTGAGATCTCTCTCTCTTTCTTCTTCTCTCTATTGACTAATCTTCCTCTCCTTCTCTCTCTCTTTCCCTCTTATTCTTTGCTTTTTTTAATCTTCTCATCTCACCCTTCTATTTTACTCTTTTTATTAAATATTGATAAAATATTAAAACTATTCTATATATAAACTAAATTAGTTTTTTACGATGGATTAATCAATCTTATTATGTTCGACTTAAGACTTACATCTATACTAATATCTTATTAAGTTTTAATTATAAATATTATTAGATAATGAATATTTAAATACAATGACAAGTGCACATTAGCCCTATAATAAATTTAGGAGAAAGATGCATATGCCTCCTTTTGGTGTGCTCTTTTTTTAGAGTTTCAAACTTGAAAAATATTTGATTAGGTTCTTTCACCTTGATTCTATTTTAGTTGATAGAATAGTCAAATGCTTTATTGTAAAAAAATATGACAAGCCTACTACAAGTTAGTACACTCATTTTCCCTTTTTCCCCATAATTAGAAAGAACCCTTTTGATTTGAGGAACAATATTATAATTGTCATGGGATCTCAATACTTTTAAAGGAATGATTGGGCACTCAACTAAAGTTCTTGGTCATACACAGCCATAAATTTTGGTGAACTAGCAAGATAAGTCTTTGAGTTTCCCTTATTTCTATCAGTTTTCATCAAAATTTTATGAATGCACAATGGTATGAAATATAGTAGGGTTTATTCTTATTAAGTAATTGCATCTAGCATCAACCTTTGGGATTCGTGAATCTTTCTTTGATAGACTTGAGTGAGGTCTTAAATGGGTGTCATTTAGAACATGTCCAAACCCTGTCCACCTAGATATAAGGGAAAAACCTAAGGATGGGCTCTTGGCTATGTTGGTCAAGCTATACTCCTTTGAAGATGTACATATGATTAGTTAGATTTCGCTCCACTTCCTACATGCTCCTATTTGAAAAGTTGTAAGGGGGAACAAAGTGTGAAGAGAGAGCAATGAGATTCCATGTTACTAATTGTGGGCATATGACATGCTGAAAAAGGGTTTCAGACAGCAAAAACAAGGCTGGGCTGGCACCATTATATTAAATATCCATGATTTTGACGCACAATATGCCAAAGAACTATGCTAGTCCAAATGCCTAGCTTATGTCGCTCATTGATACTTATCTACGAATATTGAACATGACGTGATTAAATATGGTAAGAATATTGGCTACAATTTAGTTCAATAGATGCCCAATTCAAACTTCACCTATAATAGAAACCTAAAAGTTTTGAAACTCAAAAAATTTGGAAAATTATAATCCTCTATCTAAAATTCTACACATAAGTTTCTCTCCCTCTCTTCTTGAAGAGAAGCATATAAGAGTACTACACTAGCCTTTTATTCGGATCTTGTTTATTTGCCTTTTATAGTTCACCCTACAATGCACTGGCTAGCTAAATAACACTTCAACTAGGAATACCATTTTTTTCCATGAGTTACAAATAATCATGTTATTAAATTAGTCAATTTTCTAACATTTACTGAATAAACTTAAGTTAATGCACAGAAAACTGACACTTGTACTATGAATTGACATAAAAGGAGAATAATCTAGCCATATCCTATGCTGGAAGACATGAAAAGTCTCAACACCCTGAACATAGACATTTGGAAGGAGCTAATTTTGGATATTTCTGTGTATTTCAGTTCCTAAGAATTCATATGCTTTGGGAGTTGCAAAGTTTTCAACCACAGTGCATGAAGAAAATAAGCTAAATAAAATTTTCATCTATTCTTCGATTCTTCAACAAAATAAAATAATTCAAAATTTATTCACTATTTTAGTATAATACATAAAATCTAGGACTAAATGTATGCATAAATAAAGTAAAATCAATGTTTATCTTGAGCTAACTTTTCCTTTGAACTTTTGACTTCAAAATCAAGTCAAAACATAAAACCGAGCCTTTCTTTACTTTTGGTGTGAATCTAGACTGTGACTTGAAGCTAACTTGACAAACTCTTTCTCTCTATCCTTCTTCATTGATATTTATGTGCTCATCCACGTATGAGGCCTATCTCGGCCAGTGTTCCACATTATGAGGGACCAATTCGGAGCTCAATTCTGAGTCTTCTTTCAATTGAGCTTCAGTAAGAACTGGACTAATCAAGACTCTTCAGAACTAACATTTGGATTCTATAGGCAAATGATAGATGAGGGTAAGGATAAATCGAGGCATAATACTGGTTATTCCAACTTTCAAAACTGAAAAAAGTAAAAATCGAGGCCTTCGGAAGTCTAGCCTACAGCTAAACATAAAGACCAAGACCCACTTGAGAACAATTCAAAATCTCAAACTACATTGAAGACTGGACCTTTTGGAAGGTGGGAAAATGAAAGGTACATTTGTCACACACTACTGTTCCTATATTTCCCTAGAAGGTGGGAGAAGTGTGATACTATCATTTTCCACCCTCTCTCGTTGATCTGTGCGTTATTTTCCTCACCAAGGCTCCATGGTTTTCCATTCCCTTAACTGTTGTGTCATACGTATGTACATTTGGATCCCTCTCTAAGGAGTGATATTCGAAGAATTTAGCTTCTGGCCCAGATAGTCTTATCATCTGTGGCGATAAATATAAGCTTTTTAATAAATTTTTACATATATAAATTGTGTAATGTGTTTTATGAATATAAGATTCTTAGATTGTAGGAGGAAAGGTAGTAATTTGCTTGAGGTCATCCTAAAAGAAAGGTACGTCTCCATTGGATAATGGAGAGACTTGGAGGGTTTTATCTTTCACAGCGCGGGGGGCCATTCTTCTTGAGGTACATGAATGAATGAATGAAGAATTACAAATCTAGAGAATTCTATCTGCTCAACCAGCGTTAGTACTACAGTTTCAGGTGCCTTTCTCAGGCTAATTCACAAGAATATTAAGAAGCTAGCGACAAGTAGGAGGGCGAAGTAGATCAATAGAAGTTCCACAAGTTGATGCCACCTTCTTCGTCCCACTCGTCAATGCGAGGGCTAAAATCATTCCATCCACTCAGCATGGGATCTCCGTATTTTGGAGACGATGGAAGTCCACCGAAATCTGTCAGGGAACCTTCCAATCTGCTCTCGTTCAATATAAGCTCTTCAACACAGGCAGTGACCGTCTCCGAAGAAGACGTCGACGGAGGTGAAGACGGCCGCGGCGCTGGAAATAAGTCTGGAGAAGATGACGAATATGGGGTAGCGGCGACGGCGGCGGCGGCGGCGGCGGCGGCCACCCTCTGAATGGACTTTGGGGACATAACAGCGGCGCTGTGGTGGTGATGAGCGGTGGTAGAAGGGAAGTTGAGGTTGGCGGAGGAGCCCTTGAGGCAGAGAAGAGCAGCGTCGTAAGCTCTTGCCGCTGCCTCAGCAGTGGAGTAGGAGCCTAGCCATATCCTCGTCCTCTGGTTCGGGGCCCTTATCTCGGAGACCCAGGTCCCCCAGCTCCTCATCCTCACCCCCTTGTACTGCCTCTTCCTGCTGCCGCGATCCGAATGGAAGCTCGGAGCGTCATTGATTGTGCTGCCGCTGACTTCCTTCACCATGGGACAGATCTTGAGGGCGCTTCTTCTCTCCTCCTCTCTTTGCACTTCTATGCTGCAGTGTGGGGGAAGGAGGAAAGGTGGAGGGTACTTATATAGAAGGGCGAGGTGGGGGTGCCTGGGAGAGTAGGAAGAGGTAAAAGTAAGAAGATTAGTTCTAATAATAAGTGGGAGGACATATCTTGGTTGGGGGTTTCATGGTGGAATGAACAAAATTATCTGGGTGGAGAACTGGTTGGATCGATTTTATCTGTCTTGGAAACAGGTTCCCCAGAGGCTGCAGCTTCCGGGATGGGGGGATGGAGGAAACCCCACGTCATAGAACAGCTCATAGATGGTCCGCTGCTGCTGCTAGCTGGATCTCTTCTGTCCTAAACCGCGTGCGGAAGACTCGTCTTTTAGATTATAGGACACCTCTCTCTCTCTCTCTCTCTCTTCCTGTCTTTCTCTCTTCTTTCTCTTTCCTTTCTGGCCCACTTTAGCGGCACCACCGTTTTAACCCCTGACAACACTTCTAAAAATGGATGATATTGATAAGTTGGAAGGTACCGTCTCTTACCGAGAAACAGAGAGAGTTTCAGATACGGAGACTGCGGAGACATAACAAACAGTTGTGTTGACTTTGAGGGCACACGAAAGAGAGAGAGAGAGAGAGAGAGATAGAGAGAACATATAATAAGGGGGCATGAGGGAGCCATATATGATATAGGTAAGATTTTGACTTGATATATCTATATATTTCTAGAGAGAGAGGGAGAGAGAGAGAGAGAGAGAATGGGAAATGAGAGCACATATATGCCTCACAATATCCCATTCTCATATGAGAGAGAGAGAGAGAGAGAGGATGGAATAAAATATTAGCTTTGAGACAGAGAGGAAGGAACTAGAAGGGGAGAGAGAGAAACAACGGTTCCTCTCTTCATTTATTTCAAGACAGGAATCCTTCAAGATGCAAAAGTGGACACTTATTTAATCTAGTCAGCGGAAGAGTACGGCCCAATCAGGTACGATTCCTTTCTTGCCGCCCAGCATTCTTGTGGCCCATCTTCCTCTCTCCTTCTCTTCCATATCCACCGAAATATCAATTTTACGTTTGTACTCTCCTCTCTTTGTCACAAGAGTTATCTATATACTCTCAGAGAGAAAATGCAACCCCGTAAAGACTGCTTTTCCGCTGTTTTCACCATTAGAATGGTGAAATCAGATCAAATAGACATTGTCGGCTGACTGTTTGACCACGTTCGCAGGGTGTAACGTGGGTTTGGACGGCTGGGCGTGACGATCTGATCATCGTCCTTCGCAAAACAGGTAATTGTGGGTCCACCGTTTCCATTGTTATACGCGCATGAATCACTAGGGAGGAGGGCCTTCACGTCATTTTCTTTATTTTCTACAGTCTGTCCGTTGAAGCAAGCTGGCCAACATCTCAGGCTTGATCCTCCACACAATGCCCAAAAGCTAACTCACATGCATGCACGCGTCTAGAGCGAGCGAGCGAGAGAGAGAGAGAGAGAGAGAGAGGAGAGAGAGGAGAGTGGAGAGAGGGGAGAGGGGAGAGGTGAGAAAGAGGAGAGAGGGGAGAGGGGAGAGAGGGGAGAGGTGAGAAAGAGGAGAGAGGGGAGAGGGGAGAGAGGTGAGAGAGGAGAGAGGGGAGAGGAGAGAGAGAGAGAGAGAGAGAGAGAGAGAGAGGAGAGAGGGGAGAGAAGAGTGAGAGAGAGTTGAAGGATCTTGGAGAGTGAGGTCTTCATGCGAGGGTTATGGTCTACCAAGCATTGGATACCCTCAGCCTTCAGAGCAGAAGGTGCTTTCATCTCATGCCGTCTTTTATTCCTTCCACAGGCAAAGAGAAATGGCCCCACGTGAACAGAGAATGGAGTTTAGCCCCACCTCCACAAGGATACCCCCATCGCTGGGAAAACCCTGCCAACTCCGCTTAATCAATCCTTCCAAACTTGTCAAGAGCTGCAGGTCAATGCGCGGTTGCTGAGCGTCTGCATCGAAAGTAAGTAACTCGAGAGGTGGAGGTGGAGCCTCCTGGCTACCAATTATTGTTCATGAACCAATGTGAACGTTCTGCCTGCTCCTTCGCCTTCGTCATGTGGGAATGCCTTCCAGTTCCTTCTTTATCTTCCACACCCGGACATATATTATTTAATCCGAAAAGTAAACAAAGGAAACCGTTTCACTTAGTTCATTGGGTGGGTTTCTTCTCTTTTCTGGTGACCTATTATTGTATGCTTTGCACGTGATTCACCCGCGTCAACATGGTTGAGAAGCAGTTCCAAGTTTGACTAATCGCTGTTCGTTCACACACATGAGAACACCACTCATATGGCGGTTGAAATAAAGCTAGATTTTCTATATTAAAAAAATAAAATGATCGTGATATTTTATTTTATTATGGGCTTCGATCATTGCAAAGTAATCATGCAGAGACGATGTAATCCTCTGTGAGACGTAGTGCTTTCCGTATTCGGGTCTGAAGGTACATCTCTGGAAGGTAGAACTGATCTATCAAAGGATCAGAGACTTTGGAGTCTTCTACCCTAGAAACGTATTAACTTCCCCAGTGGTCTGTCTACTGATCCAGAAGGCTCCTCCCCGGCATCCGCCTCTCCTAATCCTCCTACTATGCCAAGACCAGAAGCATCCCTTCTTCCGCTTTCATTCCCCACTCTCTCTGTCACTAGCTCACATGCTGCTGCCATCCAAACTCCGTAGGCACTTCCCCTCCTCCTGAGGCTGCCATCCTGCAGAATCAGCCCCTTTTCCTCTGGAGCGGTGTCCTGTCTTACCCTTATTGCGTGTGTGACTGTACATAAGCTGATTGATAGACCTTCAATGGGTTCCAAGCAGAATAGCGACCATGCATCTAAATTACTCGGACAGTGACTATAGCAACAGTTTTTATTCTCTATAGTTATATTATAATAGTCTAGATAGTTTCATCTTATACGATTTTTCTTTCTGTCTACATGTTATTCCATTTTACCAACTACTTGTGCCATTGGCTTCTGTAAAATATTAGTTGAAGTTAACGTATGATGAACATAATAAATTTAATGCGTTCCTGATTTTTTACAACATATTGATGGTCAATAAGTTGGTTTCAAACAGATCAACTATATACTTTCATCACCTATTAAGTTCTGATGGATAATTATTTATTCATTGAAAGTTAATAATACTTTGTTGTAAAATTCTTCATTCATAATCATCCATTTTGGCTAATTAGTTGCGCCCTTCTCTTGAATCAATTTATAATAAATAAATAAAAGTTATTTTACAAGAAGATCAAGGGCTTCAATGTCACATATCTTAATTTTTATTTTCCTTTTTTCTTAGTCTTTTTGTGTTGTGAAATTGGTTGTTTACCACAGTTTAATTTTCTACTTTTTCTTAGAATTGACACTTGTTGTTACTCAACTATACCATCAAACTCGCATCCATCTAAATGATTCGGAAGTCATGTTATGGACAAACTTGAAGAAGTTAGTTGGGCTAATCTATTAACACTCTATGATCTTGTTTATTTGCTAGCAGTAGTTTTATTAAAACTTGGTGAAGCTTATTAATGACATTCTAACCTATGTTAAAGTCTGAAAATTTCATCAATATGAACATTGTTCTCAGTTAATATTTGATCTGCCTTCTATAGAGTTACAAAGAAAACCCTTCTGATGCTTCCATATTTGTTCAAACATTAGTGGCATAGAAATAGCATTAATGCTACCCATGTTGTCTCATTTGTTGAGCAAAATATATTGAATGTACACTTCAATGATTTTATTTTGTAGAGGCATTTGAATGATACTTACTAAATTTTCAAAAACTCTCTACTCTAAATAGTTTGATCCATGGCATTGGTGCTTCCTCAACCAGCTATATATTTAAATGCATGATTGTTCTTCAAACTATGTCAAGTATCCTATATTCCAAACATTTGATCACAAAACTTGGTAAATACTTATTTGACGTTTATGTTTTGATAGTGCCCTCGAAATTTCAAATATGATTACATTTACCATAGAAATATTATTGAATTTCTTCATCTTATAGAAAATCTTCATTAATGAAAAATCTCTTTGGAATTTTTTTTATAGAAAAACCCATCACTCAATTCTCCTATCCATATCCCAACTGTCAATCTAATTTTCCATTGTCTCTGCCATTTTCATAGTCCCTAGAAACCTCTACCTCTATTATTGCAGTAGGTTCAAACATTTGCTCAAATTTTCAATACACTGACTGCTCCTTGAATGAGGTGAACTTGCATCACACATAAGAAATGAAGATTTTCCATCATACTGGAGTATGAATATTGTCACCCTTCCACATAATTACAAAAATAGAAAAGCTATTAAAATCAAAGGCCATACTATAAATTAGTGAAATATATCAATAGTAGAGGCAAGGAGTGAGCTATCAAGCACTAAGATAGATAAGAAACGAGATTTTTTTGACAACCATGACTATTTTGAATGTCATTTAATTTTTCTACATCGATGGAATCTACAACTAAATTTAGCTATCATGCAAACATTTAAACTTCCTAATATTTTGAGCAATAAGTTGTATGAATACCATACTGACTATAGAGTTTGTTTTCAAGGAAAGATAGATATACTTCAAATTTATATGCCACATTGTTATGACCAGTATTTACAAAAGGTTTTTGCAACTGTTGGGTCAAATAAACTATCTTTTGATGTGTTTAGATATGACCAAACACATTCAAAGGTAGAAGAGGCCATTTTACATTTTTGTATAATTTTTATTCAAACTTTAAAACATTGTGATTTATCTACCAAACTTTGAAAAGATATATTTTAACTAGTATTCTTATTTGAGGATAACTAGTCAACTCATAGAGTGAAGAATTAAATAAACAGCAAAAAGTTTCAAGTGCCATTTGCATGCCATAGTGACATGCCCACACTTCAGAACCCACATTGTGAATGCGTTGCTGGTAGCCATTGAAACAAATATGTTGAAGAACTCTTCATTCTCACACCTCTCTAAAAATAGGAAAAATCATATGCATAAAACTTGAAATCTGACTATTCATGCACTAACCTCCAACATTTTTAGATCATTGCTAATTGAACCTCTCTCTTCAGTGGGCAATTATGCTCTCCAAATTACTCACAGTATAAACTAATTCCATATGAGCATATAGTTAGAAGTGACTTTCTAAGGTAGCTAGTGCCAATGATCCTTTTGACCACATGGATCTGACCCACATGGGCTTGGACAGAGTTGATCAGAAACATGATAGTGGAGAATACATCAGCATTCAACAGTGAAGACCCAAAAAAACCACCAAAGATAGTAGGCTAATTACTGATTAGGAATCAATATTCATTGAAATGTTAGCTTTTCACAGGAGAAAAACTTTACTATTTGCTACAGACACTAGGACAATTTCATGTAGTTCAGTGATTACATGGAAGGAAACTGAGGTAAGATACAAGGTGCAGGGCAGGAAGGAGAAGGAAATGCGCCCATCAGTTGTGCTGGAAGGAAAGAGTTATAGTATCATAATCAATCACTCTCCTCGTCCCCATCTAAAAGACAAAAATTGAGAAAATATGATCAGCATATCACATAATCGTTAATGAAGGAATGTATACCATCATTAATAAGGAACAGTTTACATAAATGAAATCTTGAAGGAATGAATGAATAATTTACACAACCTATCGATTGGATTCCAGACGGATTCCATTTAGTGGCATTCATGACTGAGTCATGCACCCATGTGCAAACAGAAAAACAAAATAACTTCCTTTTTTAGAAACAGTCTCATTGAACATAAAATAGTAGACATTACTGTCTAAGAACTTGACAGTTCCACGTAATTACTATGAATGAAAACATAATCTCTCTCTCTCTCTCTCTATATATATATATATATATATATATATATACATGATATATGTATATATCAGATCATAGAGAAAGAACCCCCCTAACCAAAGGTGGACACCTGATTAGCAGGGCTCTATACCCTACGCTGCTCCATACTTTGCTACCAAAATGACAGGGTCACTATTTCAGTCTAACCACGACTTAGAAAAAATCTTTATCTTGAAGCCTTAGATAGCCTCCAGGGCTTCAGGGAAATCTTTATCTCCGACTTTTCGCAGCATTTCAATGAGGAAAGATGTGAGTTACTGACTCTGCTGCCCTTTCTCCAGGTACCTTGCCTCAGCTTCCACGTACTACCCTTGATACTAATCCATCAGACTCATCTAAAAATCCTCTTACCATCTGAAAATGTAAGGCGCCTGCTGATGTACGTAGATTTTGGGGAGAATGGTAGAAAAGATCAACAGAATTGTTCCAGTCAGTGGCAAAGGGATGGAAGCGATTAATGTTAGACAATCACAATTTCAGTGAGTTTTAGAACTGTTTCAAGAGAATCTTTAGCTCATACCAGCTATCATTTAGCTCTGATGATCTGCAGCTTAGCGTGATCTCAATGGACGTTATAAAAATTGTCTCGAGAATATGGACAATAGTACTTCCTCGGAATGGTGATTACTTCCAAAGGATTATGTTCAAAGCCATGCAACAGTGTGTGAAGCAAAAGAGTCACCATAGAACCAAGGTAATAATATTTAATACCAAAGATCATATCAGTAAGCAACTAAACAGAACTACAAAATACTATGTTAACATCATTGTCAGCACGTCTTTCTGAATCAAGCTAATTTTTGATGAATAGAAGTCGTAGGGAGGAATCAAGTGTGATAACAATGAGAATCTGAAAACAAGCAAAAAAACAGCCCTTAGTAATACATAAATTGCCACTTGGAAATTGAGAAACAGAAAACCATGATACAGTCAAACCCAGAGGCATCTTCACTACAGGAATAGTGAACAGGTAACTTAAGATTGACAGAATTTACCTTCAGCCTTTTCTTCACTGTCATTATTTTCTTCGTCAGACACTTCATCCTCTTCATCCTCATCCCCTTCTTCTTCATCTCCTTCTTCATTCTCTTCTTCGTCATCCTCATCACTTTCGGCTGGGAGCTCAGGTTTTGGAGGAATAGCAAAACTGGAGGTGGAACGCCGACGAGTACTTGACACAATGTTACTTAAGTCGATACCTTCGAGTTCCTTTGCTCTCTCTTTCTTCTTTCTAACAGCCTTGATTTCTGAAAAACGGGCAACAAGATTACAACACAATTATCCATTGACGTATATTTTCCAATTTTGTGTATCCATGTTTGTTAGGAGAGCTCAACTGCTGTAATAAAACATTAAAACATGACCAATAATATGCTCATTCTTCAATTTATGATAATGAAAACTTGATATTTATCTCGGGAAGCTAGATAAGAAATGATAAATCAGAAGAAAACTCTAAAATAAAGAGGTTGACGCTTGTCTTAGCTGCTCAAGACAACTTAAGTAAAAACAAAAAGCCACATATCAAACCACATGATAAAGTTTTACCCAGTCCACTTTAAAGACCATCTCTTTCAACTAGTTCAGTCCCAAAAATAAAAAAGGAAGACTGGAGGATGGGGAGGGGAGGGAGCACTAAACCCATGGAAGAAAACTAACTTATTCCACGTTCTCTTAAAATGGTTCATGCTTTCATTCTATTAAAGAAGACCTTGAAGGTGGTCCTTTAAATTAATGTTTTGATCATGTTACAACAAGAAAGCCGCTTTCTGACCTTTTAATCTCATATCTATTTTACATAAACTTTTAAGACTAGGGATCATCTCAAAAGATGAAGCCGAGTGATTTTCAGGTATATTCGATGCAGTGGCCTATGATTATTTCTACTGAGATCTTCTGTAACATGGCTATAAATGTGTTTATAAAAACACTTCTAATCAACTGTTTCTGCCTACTTCAATGATTCATAGTGTCGATTTTAGGCATAATATCAAGCTTTTGGAAAATATGCATAAGACCTGGATCATCTATTTTGTTTGTCATGATATCTTGAATTGGCGTGATGTTGGGCAGGTAATAAAAACAGGTTCTTTCCTTGACTCCAAGTGGATATAGAAGTACGATATATCAATGTATCAGGCACATTACCCTGTCTGTAACAAATGCTTTCTAACATCGAACTCAAGGGTTCCTCCATATTCCAATGAGATTCAAATGTGCACCAAGAATAAAGTTCTCTACCTATTGGCTACCTGGAAAACCTTCTGCAGTCTAACGCTGGTTTTACCAATTACACTGTGCCAAGTTTAGAAAAGTGGCTTTGGACAGGAGTGATGTGATCGAAAAAGTTACCCTGTTCATAGATCATCCATTGAATCCAGCAGAAATAGGTGGACTGATGATTATGACGAACCTTTAGCTTAAATTAAGCATGAATCCTATCAGCATAGCGATAGACAGGAAAACTAAGCATTATTTTCCTATTTAAACCTATTCAAACCTATTTTCAAGTTCACTCCTTTTAAATTCACGCATTTAAGTAGGTACGTTCCAGAGTTCAGCAGAATGGCATAAATGATTTCTTATTTACAGCAACAGTTCAGGGTCTTTCGATGCATATGAAATGGTATTCTACTAAGATAAACACTACACCTACAGTTGAAAGCAGTGAAAACATTCAGAATTAAGATGGCATGGCTTGAACACAAATGCCCCAGTGACCTCAAGTGCAGGTAGTGGTCAAAAGGAAACAGTTCTGTGAATAGATAAACATAAATAAAGAGACCAAACTTATGAATAAAAGATAAAAGTATAATTAATACAACCCTCGGTATTTAATACAATGATTATACAGCGAACAATAGAATAAAACAAAAATTGTCATGTTTTTGTAAATTCCAAAAGGCGCATTTTATGTTGCAAACAGGAACTGTCGAGAATTTTCAGTCTATTTCATTCATTTTCGCGAGAACTACTAATAAGGTCTTCTCTTCTCTCAACATCAACGCTCCAAATTAAATCTTCAAATAAGAAAGAGATTTTTGCATATTCCACAATTTCCCAAAACTTTGTACATCTCTAAATTTCTTCATTTTACTGACATGGTTACCTTTCTCAGAAGGATTTGTAGATAGACTTTCCTTGCGAAGGATATCCTCCAACTCCTTTATCAAGTAGGACTCACGCTTATTCTCAGGAGCCTGCTTCACTCTCTTGTAAACTGATGGCGGAACTCTGAAAAACAAGAGTAAGCTATATATAATCACTGTTTACGTTTGAAAATTCCAGCACGAGAGAAAAAAATTATTACCCTATTCCACAAGATTTGATTATTGCTTTGAGATGCTCAACCTTTTTCCCAGAAGTTCGGGTAGGAGTTTCTTTTTTATGCTACATATGGAGGGACTTGGTTAAAAGGTAAACCTTCAAATTATCTGATAAAAATCCAGGCAAGGGGGAAAAAAAAAGATTCTTTAAGAAAAGGTTATTGCGTTTGATTACCTTCACAGTCTCTTCATCAGATGGATGTAACTCAGCATCTTTCAAAGAGTCATTACCATCTTCAGTGTCAGAAGATTTTTCCACAGTTGGTTCTCCGTTTATTTGTCTTCCAGCGGCAGATGCTTTGCGTAGCCCTGGAGATTTTTTCTGCTTTTTCTGTATTGCAGCTCTCCTGACATTCTGGGAAGAACGCCTTTTTGATTTTTCTTTCCGATCATCTATTTCCTCATCCTCACTTCTATACGTATCAGAACCTGATAAATCTTCTAAATCTTCACTTCTACTAGCTCTTTTAGATCTCTTGATCCTTGGAGACGGAGTACCTTTTTCTGAACGCTTTTTCCCCACAGTCACAGGCTTGACGGTTGCAGGGGGTTCAAGAACCTGAGAATAAGAACAATGTTTCGATTTTTCTATTTTCAGTGCAAGAAAACCTCCAACATGCAGAGTTTTGGCATCAGAAGTTACCCCGTCTAGTTGTCTGCTAATGAACTTTTTATATGGATCAAGAGTATTCTTTTCAAGCTTAAGATCTTCTTCCAGTAGTCGGCGAACCCCAATGAGAGAAAGTTTCCTAAAAATTGTGAATTGAAGAGTACAGCTATTAAAACTTGACAGATTTACAACAAATGTAATCATAAACTGGAATGACAGCTTTACATAGAAAAAATAAAAGAATTAATTCCAATGACTTAAACTGAAAAACGTAACGCAGAAATAGATGCATACTCAGAATTGGCCCTTAAGTATGATGCTCTTTTTTTTATTGCCGTCTTTATCGTAGCTTCACTTAGACCAATTTTGATCTTGGTACGAGGAGGTTCATCAGTTCCATGGCCATCTGTACCATTGCTCACTGTGGAGATTTCTTCAACTTTCTTGTCATCTGTGGATGCAGAATCGTTTTCTTCTTCGGTTTGTGAGTTGCCATCAGATTTTGTGAGAAGTTTCTGATTTCCTGGTTCAATACTTAGATTTTCCTCAGAATCCTTAGATATAGCCTCCTCTTCAGCAACATCAAAGCACTAATTAGTCAACAAATGAGAGATGATTAGATTTATGTGAACCTGCTAATAATAAACGATGCTGACCAGACTAAAAAATCACATGTGAATGAATCATCCGTACATTCGAAAATAACATCAAATCTCATGAAGCAGAATTTTATGAAACCATAATTAATCAGATAGGTGTTAATGAACCTTCCATCATATGGGAAAAATATTCTGCACATCAAAAAATATTAACAAGATTCTAAAACGTGACTGGACCAAAGGCAAACTAGATCTGAACAGAATTTCCAGGAGAAAGAAATAGCATATCACCAATCTCTAGTTGCAAAACTACTCGAGGTATATCAAATTACACATTCATTTGTATAACACATACATGACAACAAAATAATTATAGAAAGAAAAACTATTCAGCGTCTAAACTTCGGCTTACAAAGTAATTACTTAAAAATACCAAATATGAATCATATATACAATATCAAATCGTTATCCACTGTTCGCATATTGAAAGAATTGAATGTTTGTCGAGCGCTCACCAGTAAATGATGCAAGTGCTTGCATTTGTGTTCCTGGAATTACCCACTTTTGCACTTGCAAGAATATTGGTGTCCACATCTGTGCCTATGAAAAATATGGGCATTTATGTACTCACATTCGTGGAATAGATGATTAGTTCGTTCACACGAATGCGAATTTTAATTTACAAACCAAACTCAGGCTGTTCATTCGCATTTTGTGTTTCCTATGCATTCTCACCAAGACGATTACTTCAGCATTGAGTATTACTAATGGCAAAATACGTTTTCCAACTTAAATTAGGACCACTCTCACCGAGATGCGCGAACAAAAGTATTTTCTTTCATCCAAATTCTTGATTTTCACATGTTAGATATTCACAAATAACAACATCTAGTGTGCTTAGAACAACAAATTAGTTTGTCAACACATCTACTGCAGAGCCACTTCCTCTGTGCCCAGATATTTTTTGACACTACAGTCTGCATCAACATTTTCAAAAAGAATGAACCCATACTCCTGGGTGTAGTCCAAAACTTATGATGACAGCATGATGCATATAAAGAATCCGAGTACTGTTCTTCATACTGAGATGATTACTGGGATACTTGGCATGCCATTGAAGTCCAAAACTTCTCAGATTTTGAACTAGTAGATCGTTTAAATCCAACTGTTGAGGAGCGACTACTTTTGGTCAAATTCATTTTCATCTTCTTCATGGCATCATTAACCATGCAATCATACCAGGTAGTAGCTGTTACAATACCCTCATCAGTCTGAAGTTTTTGCAATCCGTTGTATTTTTAACTAGCACATTATTCAAGCTTCCTATCGCTATCCATTATCGGAACCTTCGCCAATCCTTCCCTTTTGAAGCACTCTGCCATGGCATGGCCATCACAAAAATTCTCAAACACACTGAAATTCACCTTGACAAGGAAACCTTAATTACCCTTAACCGGTTGATATTTACCACTAAAAAACTTGAGTATTAAAAAATTAACAATGGAAGAAATAAAGGGACAAAAATCAAAAGAGATTCAGATACCTTTCTCAAACCTTGCAAGGTCTTCTCAAGGGCCCAAGTTTTAGAAACCAAGTCACTCGGTTGGAGATAAAGTATCTATGGCACGTCAAGGCTTCCTTCAAGACCAATAAAGCATCCAGTGCTCTTCAGTCATTTCTCTAACTTTGCTGTGCCAACTCGAATTTGCTTTATTTCTTTCTCTTTGTTCCGATGATATGAAAGAAACCTTGGAATTGAGTGTGGTCTGGCTTGGGATGTGAAGGTTCACTGACCAACTTGGAAAAACTAGCTTGTCTGTAGAGAGATCTTGTGAAGTTTCCAAGAGTCGCTTGGAGAGAGTAGTTTTAGGGGAAGAACAAACCACTTTAAATCTTGTGTTTATCATCTGATTGCCCCTAGTCTTGCATCTTTTTTATTTTACTCAGGCATTCAGCGTCCAATTCTCCCCTTAATCAACTCATACTACTCCAACTAGGACTTGATAAACAGAAGATATGCAAAGACCGAGCAAGGTTTAATGCAGACTCCCTTTCAATAATCAGCATTTTGTGTCATCCACCATTCGCTATATTATGTTCATAACCTATTAGACACCATTAATGTAATGCCATTTGTTTAACTGATAAACGTCAATTATACCCACACGAGGGAGGCAGGAGAGATCACGTTTTAAGACCCTTTTGACAAGTTGCCAACAAGGATCAACCATGATCGTAACCAACCATGATCATAAACATTTTAATTCGTTCCAGAAGAAATAGTGGACAATGATCAACTAGATGCATCATTGAGTAGGCTAAACTAAGCAGCCAATGTGATCACCCCTTTACCCAGTACTTCTGGCTGCATTATGAATCAAGAATCCCAGGTGTCAAAGCCAGCATGCCGGAGCTATAATCATGAGAAGATCTCCCTTTATGGGACTAAAGGAATTCCGTAGAAAAAGCATCAGAGTTTTCTGTTGGTGCAAGAGCAGAAAGCTTGGGGAGCCTAGAAGATTCGATCTTTAGAAGGCCTTCAGTGGTCTTTCCTGTCACACGTTTCTTTCTATGCAATGGAAGTAGGTCCATGTCAAAGAATGAACGTTGCACTCCTAACAGCAACAGAGAGACAACTAAGCCTAATGCGGTCATCTGCCTTAGGAAAAAAATAAAAGCATGAACGAACCGTTAATAGAAAGCAAAGAAATAGCATGCAATCTTTCAAGAAGTGATTCACATCATTGACAACGCCTCAAAGTTTATTAAGAGAAGCTGTCTCCAACATAATTCCATCAACTCAAACATACATTATACGATTTCATTATGATGTCAAAGGCAAAAAAGAAAAGGAATCTATGATAAGATGAGTCCAAAACGGAGACTTGAATAATCAATGCTGTTAATAGAACGCTCCAGAAACTAGGGTGCTTTCAACAAACATGTTAAAGCAGTTGCATCTCATGAACGGCTAACAGTGAATCTTAGGAAACTGAAATAAGATGAATTGTACTGAAGAAAAATGAAAATACCTTTTCTAAAGACTGCTTGATGAATCTTTTATGCACATCAAGAGTAAATGCACCCATGCCAAGGTCCTTCTCTATCGTCCTTCGAACATTCTCAAGAGTTATTGAACTGCAACAATATGACAGAAGATGAATATGAACTGAAGCAAAATCACAGATCAACGATGCAATAAAACATGTGGCATACCCAAACAAAAAAATTAGAAGCAGATTACAATACCTAGATAAAAAATCTGGAATCACATCTGGAATTCTTTAGCTAAAAATATATGATAAAACTGGAGAGGAAGAAAAAACCCCAGAGATATAGGCTCCTTGGGTAGATATGAGAAAAGATACAAAAGAAGAAAGGAAATGAGTCATATTAAAGCATCACAAAATACAAACTATTCTAGGAATAGCTTCATCTTATTGCATATTAAATGATACAAGACGATATGAAAGAAAAATGATTCTGTCTACAGGATATGAGCTCGTTAGTACTTCACCTAGAAAGTCATCTATTCCAGGATGCCTGAACTAGACAGTCATCTCATACAGAAATTTCACTTGATACGGAATAATTTGGGTCTGAAGGTAAAGTTTATGAGGTTTTTAACTACAGGAAGAGCCTTTAAAAGTGTAACTATCATTTTCAGGCATACTCTGTGACGAAAGAACCATGAACGACAAAAAAGGGAACAAGAGGAGAAACTAAACTAGCGGAAATTTACTCCAAAGAAAATAGCAGAAAAAATCAGAGGGATACAAATTCTCTAGCTTAAGCAAAAAAATCTCCATATTTTCAACCTCTATATCATGTTGAGATTGTTTTCAGAACATATCCCACAACTTCGCCAAAAAGACAAGTGATTCTTCCTCAAGAATGAACCTCCAGAAACATTCTTTCATTTATGGATCAAGTTGTTAAATGAGTTCAAAGAGATGGTCGATTGGTCAAAACCCTAAAAGGACAGTTACAAATATACAATTAGAACCAGGAAGAGTTTAATCAGATGTCTTGATGTGATCTTGACGATGATTTTGACTGTTCGTGCGATCATGCATAGGATGCATTGGTGCCTTCGAAGATGATATTTCTTACTTGGAACCTAGCCAAACTAGGGATGCACTAGAGATTCATTGGCAGCTTTATCAAAAACATACCGTCTACATATTAACATCAACACAAACATTGCTATGCATACCAATCATATAGTATACAAATTAGGCGGTCATTGCTATGTGCGAGCTAAATAGTTGCGCTGCGACAAAATATGGCCATGACAGTGTCCGTCAAGAGAAGATGAGAAGCTATCTTGTATGGTGCTTCAAGCAATGTTTTGCGGAGAATGGATTGAGAGAACATCACAACTTTCAAAAAGCTTTAAAGAGGTTAGAAACTGTAGCAAAAGTAAAAGCAGGGGATGACAAAGAATGATCTGCGTTCTGGAAGGAAGTTTTGATGGATCATCCAACACTGAGAAAGTGAATGCTTCATCGTATCTTTGACCAGACGGGCATACCAAGTAGGTTAAATTCTGGAAATAGGGTCAATTTTTTATTTAGCCATTTCCTCCATGTAAGCTGAATTATAATCACTATGCAATGATAACCCAGTGGATACTAATATGTCATAAATCGAAATCAAATAGGAAAAAACTCCATTTCATTCGAATGAGTTTCTCCTCTCCTCTGCTGTCCACCGCATACGAACAGCTTCCGGAAGAAAAAAGTCAGTGTGATAAGCCATTGAATACCTGAAACGTATGATTTTACGGCAGAATTACCGAGACAACACCAATATATAGAACAAGACCAGCCACTAATCGCAGGCATCAACAATTCTACACCATTGAGCTGGGTAGGCCCCACGACACCATAAACCCCAGCAGCAGATGGAAATCTAGCTTTACTGATCCACAGAAGCAATCAACCAAACCAAAGACACAAGTCTACTCTTTACAGTGAAGCTTAGCACCAACCATGTAAACCACAGAAGTGAAGACGCAAGCAGGAAAGAGAAAACACCCGAAAAACTAGCCTCAAAACGGCCATACTGATAAAGAGGAAATTTATTTCAGAGTGGAGAGTCGCTCACTCTGCCTGCTCCTTGAAATCCCTAACCCTGGCGCGTATCGCCCCGAGTATCCTCTCCTCGATCCCTCCTTCCCCGACCTTGCTCCCCTCCTCCGCCTCCATAGCTGAGCACCCAGTTCTTCCCGCCCTCAGATTCAACGAACCCACGACGACTTCCCCCCGAACAGCAAAACCCTGGAACCGCACGAAGAGGGAGAAGTGAAGAGAGGCGGCAGTGATGATGCCGCGCAGGCGGCGGCCGCCTTCTGCTTCGGAGGAGCGGCGCCACCAGAGGGCCGACCGGCCCAGCCGGTGGTATCCGACCCGGTAACCGATCCAACCGGTGTCACCCAGAGGAGGGAACCGGGGGTGGGGGGTCTTAAAATGGCCACTTTGAGATATGTTCTTCGGATCTCGCGTAATTTTAAAGCCCGTACCTCCAAAACCGTCCCTCACATGAACAGAAGAAAACTGTGGTTGTTTCCCCAGATGGGCCCATTCTCTTTCTTGCAGCCCAATTACAAGGAGATGTACCACGCTGGGCCCAATCCTACCCTTTGATCTCCCTCCCTCTCTCTCTCTCTCTCTCTCTCTCTCTCTCCACCTCAGGATGAATTATCTGATTTCTACTTCTGTTTCCTACACTAAAAAGTGTGACACTTGGCACAAGGTTCTCAACAACAGTTATACATGGTATCTTTATTCTTGCGCTGAACGCATTGATTGAGCATTTAATCTTTTTATACATGTAGTTACATTGACAATTAAATCTCATGAAACTCATGCACTAACATCAAGGTTAGAATGTACTAAATAAGAAAAATATGCATATTATAATGAATAGGGAATAGGAAAATTTTCTTAAAAAATACTTGATCATATCAAACTTTTGTAGGATTGCAATTGGTGATCAAAGAATCTTCAGAAATGAAGCAATGTCTTCTCCTTGCATACATTCTCTTTTATTTGTATATACTCCTTTGTATCTTCTCTTAATCTTTTCTTAAATGATTTTAAAATATATTTAATGTCTATTTCAATTATGAAAATTACTTCACATGAGGTTAGGCATCCAATTTATATAGTGTTCAAGAACACATAAGTCCATGAGTCTCTACCATTGTACTTTAGGGATTTTTCAAGCTTCATCAGAAAGATTGATTGACTCAGTATAATTGCAAGCTATTCTTTTATGTTGGAGCACTTGATATAATATCAACATGGCAACACCAGTATGGCTTCTCTTTGATGACCTAATGATTTCAACAAGATCTTTCAAATTGAGTTGCTTTCCACCATCTTGTTGTTGACTATATTCTTTCTTATCCAATAGAAGACATTGTGTGAAATCTTGCAGCAATATATGAATACATAATAAATTTCATAAATCAAATTTCAAATTCTAGAATATATTAGAACTTGATCAAGGGTTACATTGATATTCAAGTGCACTTGTAATATAAAATACCATTTTACCTTTGAAAGAATTAATCTCCCTCAATTTAAGGCTATTTTCAGCCACTGTTATTTTGATCATCAAATAATATAATTATTGTGTTATAAGATTATCATTTTACATAAACATACATATTTTCATTATCAAAATTATTTAAGCTCTCAAAACTAACATCAGCATCCTTACTTTTATATATTTTGTTATTGCTCATTACCTTCCTCATTTCATATTTGACTTTAGTTATGTCATTGAGAGGAGTTCTATAGTTTGGATTTGAGATTTCTCAAGGACTTTGAATAGAGAGCCTGGCCCATCCAACTTCTCTTTTCTCCTTCTTTGTCACACGCCCTAGATTCTTATAACCTATACAATCCATTTACTATTAATTTCCTATCTCACACATCACTTCTCCTAATTTTCTGTCTAACCCACAACACATATGCCGTCCACAATTATGTACACACTTGCACTTCCCTTTCATGCATGTGTGTCCCTCATTCATCTATATCTCATTGATACTCTAGTTACAAAACCACTCCAATGGGGCATGGTGGGTATCCCTTATGACTGGTTCAAATTAGTATCTATTCTATACATTACCCTTGACTTTGCTATAGTTTTATGTGTGATTTTTCGTCTCCTAGGTGGGCTAATAGGATGCCCTTTGTAATCTTCTTGCCTTACCATTAACTAGCATACTCTAATCTAGTGCTTACTTCTCTGCAAAGAGAAGGACAAAAGCCTAAGCTTAAATCATCATAAAGTCTAGGCCTAATTATCTTAAAGAAAGGAAGATTTGTAGAATAGCATCTCTAAAACTCATATTGACAGAAGAAATTAATTGGACCATAAATTACTCTCTATCTATCTCTCTCTCTCTCTCTCTATATCTATCTATCTATCTATCTATCTATCTATCTATCTATCTATCTATCTATCAATCTATGTGTTTATCTTTCGGACAACGGGGAGGGTCAGGGCAAGCTTGATAGAATCGGGTTCTTCTAACCGGGTTTCGTTTCCCAGACTGTCCCAAACAGGCCTCTGCCTGGCTTGCTCCCTTCCATGGCAGGAAACCTGCGTCGCATCCTTCGTGGCCTGGCAACTGCATGCTCGATAGAGAAGGGATAGAGAGAGAGACGAGGGAGTCAGTGAATGAGAACGACGACGTAAATGACAGAGGGAGAGAGAGAGAGAGAGGGTGGCAGGGAGGGAGTAAATGAGAGCGAGGTAATAATAAGCTAATGATGCTGGAGTGTGCAGTAAATGCCCGTGCAGCAGAAAACGACGACGAGAGGTCGAAATGGGGACACGTTATCTCCTCTCGGAAGGACCGAAGCCCATGATATTTGGGGCTCAGCCCGCCATGAAAGCCCGAAGGATGAGCTGACATCCCATAAACGTGCTTGCAGGCGAGAGATATTCTCTCCAAGGAACAAAATAGCTTCATTTGCCCTGAAGTTTGGGCCCTCATGGCCCGCCTGAGATTTACGGGCCAATTTCGGGCCTCCCGGCCCGAAAAACCCGGGGAAGGGAGGTGAAAGGATGGGTCTTGTTTTCGGTGTGACATTCTTGCGGACACCTCGGGAGAGAAACGACTGCACGTAGGCCTACGAACAGTACCCTTTCCCAGCCCTGCCGCCTACTCTGGTCTCTCTCTCTCTCTCTCTATCTGTCTATCTATCTCTCTCTCACGTTACTGCATTCTCTTCCATGGGAAATGTAAGCGTCGTGGAGGGTGTTCAGGTGGGCCAGGCGGCTTTGGTACCGTGTGAATATGGACGGTTGAGAGACGCAGAGAGAGAGAGAGTTAAAGCTGATGCTTGAGGGAGAGGTAGAAGGCAGGAGAGTATTAGATCGACGGAGACGAAGCAATGAGAATGAGAGAGAGATAGTGGATACGCAGAGGGATAAAGAGATAAGAAGAGAGAGAGGTAAGGGACAGACATGGTGCCAGCGATAGAGAGAAAGAGAGAGGAAGAGATTGGATCTTTGTGATTTAATCGCGTGGGTATCACAGTATGTTTGGTGGAACTTGTTTCCATCCATTTATTTTCAAGATTTGAATGGCGGGAGCAGAGGAAGGGGGCGGCGGTGCAGTTCACCTGGTTACCTGGTTAGTTCTTATTTAATTGAATGGCACGAGAGGCCTTCTTAAGGACCCCCTCGCCCTTCGCCCTAGCCCTGCCCTCATCCCTAACGCCCCGCCCCCATCTCTCTCATTCTTTCTCTCTCCCTGGCCTCTATGATGTCTATCTTTCCCAAGAGGAAGAGGAAGAAGGCAGTAGACCCACCTTCGTTCCTCTCTCTCTATCTCTCTCTTACACCACCGTCCTTGGGTAGGTTTCTTTGTAGGAAGATGTTGAAGTTGTTGTGGACCGTAGTTCCCTTTTTCCCCGGAAGGAGAAGAAGAGAGAAGAAGCCAAGGCTCTAGACCAGGCTCCATTCTCCCCTCACTGTCACTCTCCTAGCTGCGGCGGCTCGTGGGCATCGGCTGTTGAGGCCGGCTTGTGGGGAATGTTGTCTGGCCTGAGGTCATGCGGAAAACAAAGCTTGCGAGTCTCTTTCGCACCATATGATCTCGGACCAGGCTTCATTCCCCTCAGCCGGCATCTACACTCTCTCTCTCTCTCTCTCTCTCTCTCTCTCTCTCTCTCTCTCTCTCTCTACTGCACCCTCCTCATCCGTCGGCCACTTCCTCTGCATTGGAGGTAGGATCGGAGACGTCGTTCTTCACTTTCTCTGTCTAACTTTTATGATGCTAACTCAGATTGCATGCAGGCTTCTTCAGACGCTGGCATTTCACTTTTGTATTCAACTTATTGTCTTTGAATCGTTCTTCCTCTTCTTCTTCGGGAAAATGGAAACTCTGTTCGTGGTATCGCCGTCAATTCGTCTCCAAGAACGCTCTGCGTTGTTTAGTACGGACCTTGCTCGACTTCTCCAATGAGAAGGGCGTCTACTTCAAGATCTGGTCTGAGCTCGTCCCTGAGAAAATCTAAGGAAATGGGATCCTCGTGGAGCACTTCTGAAACCCAAGTTGAGCATCTGCACCAATGATAGATAGATGGATAGATTGATAGATAGAGAGAGAGAGAGAGAGAGAGAGAGAAAGACAGACAGACAGACAGATAGATAGATAGAGAGAGAAAGACTGCCACATCGGGTGCCCCAGAGGACGGGTACGTAGCAAAGAAAACGGCTCTTAAACCTACAACGCGCATCCAGAGGTCTCAAATGGGATCGTTCGAATCTCCTTCAGCTAGGTTTCAATGAATACACAGTTATTTTCTGCTCACCTATTGAACTCTCATTCAACTAAAAGTTAATAACCAATAAATGGATCAGGCTGATATGACCAGTCTCATGATTAAAACGGCGCTTTTTTCTCTGCAAAATTATCCCATGGTTTGTCTTTTGCTTGTGCTCTATAATTGGATCATCCGACTCAAGATCAATGAATAATTACTGCGGCGGACTCATCTGTCTGATTACAGCTCTCAACCACTATGAGTTGGCAGAATCTAGCTAGGAGCATCGATCGGCATGGTTTTATTCAGAATCCATCCGGCGAAAAATGTTTTATCAGACCAGCTGGATGTCCTTACACGGAAGTCCATTGCTTAATTTTCTTATCACGACGCTGCTCTATAATTATCTTCACGACGAACGCTCTCTCTGTCCCTCCCTGTCCCTCTCTCTCTCTCCCTCTCACTCTCACTCTCCGAAGACTTGTCCCTAATGTGCCCTTTTTACTTGGTTCGGTGCATGGCCCCCACACACCCTGTTCTGTTGACGCTTCAACAGTCTTCCTCCATCTATTGCCTCTTACTATAATTCTGCCCACACCTACTATAATCTTCGCATACTATAACACTAAGTGACAATTTTTACTTACGCAACTCAATGTTTCTGCCATTGTCGCTATCCTCTCACTACCATATTCACCACAGCCACTGCCAATTTCCCCCTCTGGCAATGAGTAGATTTAAACTTATGCCTAATTGCACCACTTGGATCATTCCGGTTCGGCATTTTTTATGGCTTCGCAAAATCTTCCTCAACCTCTTTCCGTGTGATCTTGAAGTGAATTTTATTATTATTGACACGCTCTTTGCAATTACTTGCGAGTTCGACGCCAATTTCGTCGGCTAATTCAGCTCAATATTTAGAACAACCCATCAGAAGACCGTTACATGTTATATATATCGAGAGATTTAGGTGCAAAACCCAGATTACAGGCCTTTCTCCAAGTCTCGTCGTATAAAATACACTTTGGCTAGTGATGTAATTAGATTATATTGTTTTCTAATCATGGAAAGTAATTAGGCCAGAGTGACAACAAGTTCAGTAACTCAAATCTCTTCAACCACGAGATGATGAGACTAGCATAAGCCCGGATTAGCAACCTATAATCAAGCCGTGTTTAAGAATCGTTGCTACTTTGAGCTTGTTGTGAGGATAGAAGTGGTGCAACGGTCTGTCCGCGGGGGAAAAGCCTCGGTGCGCTTAGACAAAATTCCGTGTTCTTAGATGTTTATTCGTAAGGGTGTGAACAAAACATAGGTCTTCCCAGGCCTGGTCTATGTCCAGACGTCTTTTATGATGGATGTCTGGGCCCCCACAGAACTTTGATTGGGTTCACATCACGTACCCCCCCCATCAGAGAGAGAGAGAGAGAGAGAGAGAGAGAGAGAGAGAGAGAGGGCGAGAGAGAGGGTATGCCTTAGGAGTAATATCTTGGAAGGACCAAAAGTCAGTTAAAATCGGGTTAATGATTCTACGCGTTAGATATCATGTGGGTGCAGTCTATTTTTCTTCTTCAGCTTGAGTTTTACGCCCAGACTTTCAGAAGCGGAGGGGACTCCTCCCTTCCGAACTCGCCGTTACGCATATTGAAGGTCATATTGAAGGTACCATGGGGGTTAAAGAACCAGGAAAGCAGACGTGGCCGACGGCATTAAATTCGGAAACGTTCTTTTATGCAGTCATGGCAGCGTTCAGTTAAAGGAGCTGAGACATACGTAGCTCAGCTGAGTCGATGTCGGGGAAGTTAATGGTGAGGAAAGCCACTGCAGACTGACAGTTTCTCGCTCTTACCCCCACCCCCTCAGCTTCTCTTCTTCCACCTCTCTCTCTCTCTGTCGCTCTCTCTCTCGCTAGAAGTTAATAGACAGCGCAGACTGACCCGTCCTCACTATCACCTCTCTCTCTCACACAACCTTTATATCCCCTTCTCTCTCTGGGGTGTTAAAATGGTAATCATAATATGACTCGAAGGCAATAATAGCTACAATGATTCTGAGGATTTAATGTGCTTGGGCGTGGGGTATGAGGAGGCTTATTTATTAAGGGCCTTGAGCGAGGTCCATGGCTACATCAGACCATCTTCTGTCCCGGACTGTAGAGGAGAGAGATAAATCTCTACCTCTTCGATTGGCCTAAAATGCTGTTTGGATGACGAATGGAAGGAGATTGATGAGATGATAAGGCCAAAGGAAGGCATGAGAAAGAACAAGTGATTAAGAGAGAGAGAGAGAGAGGGCAGATGCAGATACGGAGAAAGGGATGTGGAGAGAGAAAGAAGTTACAACTAGATACAGAGAAATAGATGTGGAGACAGAGAGAGGGGAGACCACAGACGCAGAAATAGATGCAGAGAGAGAGAAAGAGAGTGGTGACCACAGGCACGGAGAAAGAGATGTAAAGAGAGAAGGTACAGATAGATACGGAGGAAGACATGTAGAGACAGAGGGAGAGAGACGTAGAGTGATGCTAGATATAGATACGGAGAGAGATGCGGACTACTACAATCTCGGAGAGGATTTAAGAAGAGAGAGAGAAAATCCATGTAGGGTACTGCCCCAATCAAGGGGCGAAAATTAGCTTACGGTCCGACTTTTGATAGGATGAGAACGGAAGAGTGGGTCACGGTGGAGGGTGCAATGACGCCTACCCTCTCTCTCTCTTCGTGAATGCTCTCTGTGATGTATCGGGGAGAGAGAGACACACAGACAGAGCTATAGCGAGAGAGAGACACACACACACACAGAGAGCTATAGCGAGAGAGAGAGAGAGAGAGAGAGAGAGACAGACAGACAGACAGACAGACAGACAGATGAGTAGTGGTGTAAGGACCGGGGTCCAGCCCAAGCCGGAAGCCTGCATGAAAGATTACGACCAAGTGAGGTCCCCCCGCCCACGACGATGCCCACTGAGCTGCAGTGGACACGAGTTCTTCTCTCGTTGGTGCCCTCTCCGAAGATGAGATTTGTAAAGATTCGGATTTTACTCCTTTTGACAAGTCTTCGCATGGTTTTATTACAAATGACTTGAAAAATAGTGCTTTTATATTATTGCATCTTATCTTATTTTATTTCAGTTCCCCAAGACTCCTGCATCAGCCATCAAAAAGCATTGTAATAATCCCCATACATTAATTAGTCCTCAAGTGGATGCGTTCCAGGCATAGCGAAGCTGTTCTTGAGAGGATTAACTCGTTGGCACCCTAAATTCCTAGAAGAGCAGTAAATTTTCGTGAAAATAAAATATAGTCAAACATTGCTATCCAGAGAATCTTCAACCGAAATAACTTGGCTGAGGGATCTTAGATGTGTGTGGACGGGGGGGTTGATCTTTGATGGTTTTATCTCACTTGGCAGCTAAAGTAATGTAATTTAGCCTTACTAATTAGTTTGTGATATTCACAATCACCCCAACAAAGAAACCAACCGCAATTAATTATTTTACCTGATGGGTTCAATATCTCGACTATAAATGTGCATTATTTGCTCGATTTTCTTCAGGGGTTTAGTTTGTGGGAAATACAAATCCGTAGGGTAGAGAACAAGCTCTCACTCTAATTAACGTTAGTCTGCACGTCCCAGAAACTAGCGAATCGTGATTCTCAGAGTGCCTTAGCCAATCGTGATTCTCAGAGTACCTTAGCCAACCGTGATTCTCAGAGTGCCTTAGCCAATTTATCCTAGAACTGGCGTGTTAATCTTTGAATGATTGCTGACGTAGAATGATTATTTTACCCCATCATCTAAAGGATATGGAGGCTCAAACTATACGTCAGAGAGAGAGAGAGAGAGAGAGAGAGTATAGTTTCAATGAATTGAGAAGTAATTTTGGGAGTAGTCGACCATGCATGAACATTTAGCATCATTTCATTTTTCCTAACATAGTAAAGTAGCTACATATTTCCTAACAACATTGGTGAGTTCTTGTGGGGGACCTAAAAAGCCAGGACAAGTAAAATGACTTTACTCAGTATATTAAACTTTTTGAAGGATGCAAATACCAAAAACCCAAGATTTGTATAGAATCATGATGCAAACTCGTCATCCATTGAAGTCGACTGTTAAATGAAGTTCTCATGGATTCACATGGTTCTAGCCCCATGAAAGAGAGAGAGAGAGAGAGAGAGAGAGAGAGAGAGAGACATTTTGATTCAATTATTTAGAAAGGAAACGAGGGGTGGCTTGAAACAATGTGAATCATTTCGTTTACGGAAGAACAAAGAACTTCCACACAAAACTTTTGGTAATTCATATACTTTGCAATAACTTCTTTTTTTTACAAGAATCATTGCTTTTATGAGACGACTATCTATTTAGAAAATGGAATTTCTATAGGGAAATCGGATGCGGTATCTATTAATTTGATCCAAAAGGCAAGGGAAAGAATCAAAATGTCTTCATTGAGGTAGATTACTATCTAAAAATTTACATCAAAGAGGGAAGCATTAAACACCTAAAATTCACAAAGAAACTGAGATATTGATTCACGTATTTGGTCCATTTATCTCAGTGATTGCGATAATATGGAAGTTTCGGAGCAGATATACATCACAAATGATGTGCATATGAATATGTACAAGGAAGAATAATGGGGGCTTATTAGATACAAAGCTCAGCCCTCAGCAGGAAGGGAAAAATGTCAGACATACGGATAAGTACCAGCACAAGTAAAATCAAATGATGGATCAGCCTCCTTGTGATCTCATATATACTCAAATATGGCAGCTGTGTGATTGAATCCGCAAGACACACGCACTGCTCTCACATTCTCGCCAAAATTGACCACCATTGGCTCACACAAGTCCAAATCATTGCCATGTCCCTGTTGGATTAATGGCCATAATTTATGAACACTCAAGAGGGTTCAACAATTTAATCACATAGCAACAAAGAAATGGAGATGCTACTGCTGTTAAAATGTAGAAAAAAAAAACGAGTCATCACACTAACATTTCACAAATCAGGATTGAGAGTTAGTCATCTATAGAGACTAATGAAACAGGCTCTTTCAAATTTATTCATATCCGATGAAAGTAATGTATACTCTTGGAGTTCAAATTTTTAAGTTATCATAGTTATTATGTTGGAATCGAGAGAATCAGGCTTGCTATTGCATAGTCATAGTTAGTTTGCCATCTCAAGTATCCATTGGATAATGAGTGCATCATGATCATGCATTTTTGTACCATGCATTTCTTGAATATAAGCATCGTGATCATTGTTCACCTGCAGACAGCAATAACATTTGATGGCGTGAAAAACATTTTCTTTTACTATGGCAAATAAAGCAAGATGAAATCACATTTATCTAAAAAAAGAAAAAGGAAGCAGCAGCAATGATCACTGCTGAAAAATTTTGCTCCTAGCTATTTGACGAGCATGGGAATTGCATGGGCACTTCTGAACAGACTTTCTTCTCTGAAAACAATCTGCTTCCTCTAAACTAAGAACTAGGAGAGTTTCCGGCGTCAACAAAGTAGCCTGGTTCAACTAATTTTATACTTCTAGTCCATTCAATCTCTTCAAAGGGACGAAAAGTCACAAATGTGGTGATAGATTCTGCATAGAAGTTGTCAAAGTGTGGATCCTCTCATCTGATTTTCAGTATCTCCAACTTCACTAAAGTGCATGGTCGGTACATCTATCCATGCTCCAGTTTAATTTCAAATACTGTTACTTTTCTACATTTCTTCAATACATTTTCCCCTGAAAATGAAAGAATCACTGAAATCTCCTGTTTTTCGTCATCATACACTTTTCAATCAAAACGAACTTCGTAAGCTTTTAATTTAAAATTATTTCCTGGGCAAGGTTACACAGGGAAGGAGGTTTTATTTATCCATGCCAAAACCAAATTATTGTGCCTCATATTTCAGCAGAATAATCTACTTCCACAAAACCCTGATCAAGAAAACATACAAAAACCCATCTGCCAAACAGTAACGAAAACAGTTGGCCCTCACAGAAGTGAAATTAATGATTACACGGATACCTGTATTTGATAAAAGTAACCATAAAACTCAATAGTGGATTTCAGTAGAGTTGATTTGAACGAACCAGTTGTCCTCCAGAAGAGAGCCCATCTTCAAAGAATGTCCCGTTTGCCCCTCCCCAGCCCCATGTAAAAAGATTGCCACCTGCAGGCGTATCAACAAAACTGAAAATTAATAGGGTAAAAAAGAGATCAGTAGCAAATAATGTTTTTTTTATCAAGAGAACTAAGAAGAAATGATTGATATAAGTAAACATATGTGCCTTATCATCCGAAACTCAATACTTCGAAAGGATACTATACAAGTCTGAGACATTCCCTGGTAGCACAAACCATGGATTAGGCATATGCTCAATGAGGCTAAGCAGAATTCATTGCATGCATCACCATTGTTTATCAACAGTTCAAAATTATCCTTGAACCTTCCTAAGCTTCATCCAAGCCTCTTTGTGTTCAGCCTTTCAGCCCCAAGACCCATGGCAAATACATGACTCCACCCAGCTAAACTTTCTTCGTTGAAATAGACACTAGGTCTAATAAGTATGGTTAGTGTTTGTGATAAACGAGATTAAGTCGGGTTGTAATAGATGGGTATTCAGATGAGAATTTAAGAGAGAAAAGTAAAGCAAACATGAAAAATGAAACCGATCCATAGTGTTGTTGCAGGTTACACTATTCCAGGAGTGATTGACAGGGAGGGGTGTTGACGACAGGTGGTTAAATCTTGGGACTTATGGGCAAGCTACCGGAGTGAAGCAATGAACAGAAGATCGAGTCTGAATCATGGTAGAAGATTGGAGTGGTTAAATCATGGTGTGCATACAATGCCTAAATTTCTCATTCTTGCTGCTGGTCTGAATGACGGCTGTGTTCCTGACGCCAAGGATGATGAAATCAAACCAAAAAGGGAGTGAAGCAAGGAATAGAAGATCGAGTCATGAGATAGGGGATTGAAGCAAGAGTTCAAAGTTCTGATGTTTTCAAGGAAAAAAGAGTGAGCACAGAATCAAACAGACAGAGTGGTCACACACAACATAGAAAACTAAATCCCTGGAACTCCAGTAAACAATTTCCGATTGATTATTAGTTCCAAGACGAAAATTGTTAATAAAAAACAGTGTTTTCCACCTAATATTCTGGACAGTACCTTCTTTGATGGAAACTATACGAATTGTTCAACTTTCTTAGTAGAAAGAATAGACACAGAAAGCGCACCCATTGTGTAAATGTAAAGAGTACCAATAGTTGTCTAAGAGAATCTATCATGAAGACTGCTAGTATTGACGTACTGACTAATTTATGGATTGCTCTGATATAGTCTTAAAAACATAACTTTAATATTCTATGCGTGCAAAAGGAAAATGAAATGACTAAATGCAGTAACATTTTAGCTTTTCATGCTCTATTCGTGTATAAGAATAAAGTGCACTCAAAGACAAACTCAACCCAGTCAACAACATTAAGTCCCAATTTCTTTCAATGGTTCAGTTACTCTATGTCCACAATCATCACTGTAAGAAAAGAAAAATTGGGGTGATAAATAAAGGCATCAATACCATCAAGATTGTATTACAAACAAAAAGGACCTTGCCACACGTGGAATACTATTGCTTGGCTTCAAATTCTCACCAAAAGAGGCCACGACATATTCTTGACTAAAGCTCTAGCTATACCTACGCTAAAGCATCACAAGAGACTTTCAAGGTACTTGGACAGAAGAATAGGAGCTTCTAATGTTTTCATTTCATCTCCATGAATGCTTTTGATGCAGTCTTAGTACTTGAAGCTCTGGTTCAAATAAACTCTATTCTAACTTGATGGCAGAAATAGTCATGCAAACACAAACAACTTCCCTTCCATCAGAATTTTCTTTTCTAATATATTGCCACTCCAATGTGCAAAGATCAACTCAATTTAGACGCGAGATGATTTATTTAACAAGGATCCACCCTCTTCCATGCAATCTAAATCCCCATTTCTGCAATCAAACAACCAAGAAGGCAACCTGGTCAATTCCAATGCAGTTTAAAACTCAGTATGTCGTCCTCTCTGAACCACAATTCCGTCTGATTAAAACCACTGACCAGGAGAATTTTTCACTGTAATGAGGAGGGAGGACCATTAAAGCTCCCCGACACGTCAATTGGAATAAAGCGTGCAGGAGCATGGTGAGGTGAAGACTCAGTTGATCAAATTTCGAGGCAGTAATCAATCCCCCTCGAAATTAACAAAGAAAAACAGAAGATTCATGAGACGACTAGGGTTTTTATACCTTCTACAGGATAAAGAGTAGGGAACAGCAACAGAAACTTTTACAAGGATGAAAAGAGGAGGGCAACAGAAAAAGAAATAAAAACATTTTGTTCACTAACACTGCTCATTGTTCTCCATTTGTCAAGCATCGGTCAAATTCTAAAGTTATATCTTTTTTAACCAATCTGACATTGTCCCTGGAATTGCTGCTTTGGGCAATGGGATCCTTAAATGGATTGGAATGGACCCTTCTAATTCCGCAGTTTATTTGATTTAGAGACCATGGACAAGATTGGTACCCTTCAGCAGATCTTGTCGAGTATAGTGCATTAGAAATTGTAGAGGTGTTATTAACCTACTATACTGGAGGAAAACTGATTTTAATACTTCAGTGAATAAAACGTTTATCGATATCAGAAATTGGGTATCACTATTTCACAAAGGGATATATTCTCATGAGAAAATATGCCATAAGTTTCTCTAATGCATAACTGAAACAGTAAAATCATCTGCTTGTGAGAAGGATCTTTGTAGAAATCTGAACTCTCTCAATCAATAGAGACCAAGGGAAAATCTTCTACCATTTCTCATGCAAAATCCATTTTTCCACAGTATGGGCAAAGAACACTGTATTGTCCATCGTCCAATGCTCTCGCCAAATTAGACAGAGAAAAATAGTTTTAGAGGGAAACCCTCCCAATTGCCAAGCCTTTAAATGTCGGAATTACTTTTGTATGCTATAACTTATGCACAGAAAAATATGTCACATACCTGTTCGTACTCTCTTATTTATTACTACAAGACTACGTGGCACTACCAAGTTTCAAAAAACAACGCCCTATATAGTGATATGATAATTGGTACTTTCCCTAAAAGATTTTCCATCTTTGCTCTGAAAATGGAATAAAATACTTCCCACCAAAAATATAAGGCGTGAAAAATAAATACACGATATTTTTCACTAAAATGCATGAAAAAGATCACTTTCTGACACAGAATTACCAAACCAATTTCCTCACCTGAAATTGCAGCAGTATGCTTCCAGCCACAAGAAACCTGGAGGATTCACACATAAAGCTATAAATTATGTTTTAAGATAAGATGTGTTAATGGCTCTAAAAGTGAGCAAGTAAAGCTGACCTCTGAAACAGGAAACTTCATGGAAGAGCTCTCGACTCTGTGTGGAGTCCCTACTACATTGGTGAATCTAAGATTGCAATAAAAATCACAAAAACTCAGAAAAACAATCTGCATTAATACTGAAAGAAATTAACGACCCTAGCACAAAATCCAATTAATTATTAAAATGCATACCCAAGGCCAAGACAGCCATTTTCATTCGAACCCCATGTATATAGCTGTCCATCTCCTGCATGAAAGCAATTATGGAATTTAATCTAGTTACAGGATATGCTGTATTAAACCCGTCTACCATTCCTGCAAATGTGTTTTCTACAAATAGTGACCTGGAGCACTACGCAATGTAAGTGGATTGTAGGTTCTAGACCATATGTGTAGACAACAGTGACAGCTAACTCTATTCGATAGAAGGGGACTCCCACCTAAAACCTAGAAAAGCTTTCTAAAGAAAGAATAATCTTTGGAAATCAATGTGCTATGATAAATATTCACTTTATTCAAAAACAACGAAAATCAATAGATTACTTGTTATAACGCAGGTGTGATAACCTCCACACGCAACTTCTTCTGAGAAAGGGAGTTCATGAATAACAGACGGTGATGATGGATTTTTTGCCCCCCTAAAGCTCTGCAGCTTCACACACCCAAAATGACAGTTAAAAAACAAAGATGCGATATAGAGTGAAAATCAGACGATCAAATGACCACGCTTCTCCATTTACCAATTTACTTGTTGTCTTCTCGCCAAATATGAAAACAGAACCGTGTTCTGACAGGAGTACAAAAACAACCAAAGAAAGAACTAAGAAGAAATAGAAAAACAGGCAACATTCACCAGATTGTTAAATAAAATTTCTTCAGCTTTACCATCGATGAAGGCTGAATGCAATAAACCAGCAGCAATCTTTCGTACCTGAAAATAAAAATGATCATATCTTAGCATAAACATGTAACTCTGGCACAAAGGCCTGTACATGAAAAATAAGATATATTTAGTGCTATTTACCTTCACCTCTTCAAAATTCTTGATCAACCTTGGGATATATTCACTGCATAAATGGATCTTTGGCTATCATTCTGTGTAGTAAGAATAATGTTATTCGTAAAAAATAATTCTAGGTGGATTCAACTGTCAAATTGAATGAAGAAATCAAAAAATTACAAAGAAAACAAAAAAACAAGATAATCACGCCAGCATCATGCCACCTTATTTTAAGCTTACAGCGTCCCAGAACTGACCGATTTCATTGATCTGACCTGGATCTGGATTAGAACTCACCAGCCAGATTCAAGATATAATCATGTGCAAGTTTTCTCAGTATGTTTTGTGTGAAGGATTGTCCCTCTCTATGAACCACAGAAAATGTTCCATTGACAAGATTACAAAACGAGAAATTTGGAAGATTGACATTCAGAAGATCATGGCCCAAACAACATCGTATTTTTTAATCAAACCATTTTTTTGAAATTGAACAAGTCTCTAGACCATGCTACATAAACAGTGGGGAGATGTACACTCAAAAAGGTTGCTGGGTATGTATTTCGTACAAATATGTAAGAAGCATGAAAGAACTAACAACCACACAAAAAACAGGATCTGAAACAGAATCTACGTCACGAGAAGATTTTCGCAACTCATTTATTTAGTAAGAAAATCCAATTTTCTTGTTCAACAAAGTGAGTTTCATTGACTTAAAATCCTAGGACGTTTAACGTATCAGACAGTTAATCGTGAGAGGAAATAAGACTACTCATGGCACTCGATTAAGTTTACAATAAACACTTGAACCAAGCTCCTTCCTTCTGAGGTAAGAGCAACAGACTAGGCCACAGAAGAGTCTCCATTAAAATAGAAACCCGAATAAGTTCATTGCCATGAACCAATCTCCTTCCTGGCTCAATCAAACAGATAATTTCAACTCGATTGAATTACATAATTATTGAAAAGAGTTCAATAAATGTTCACTAGGAGAGTCATTTGAAGCATCGAAGCAGTAAGTTTGACTCATTGACTTTGATGATCCAAAAAACTCAAATTATTACACTAACTTTGTGAAAGATTTTACAAGGAGAAATTACAAAAAAACGGGGCTGATTATATTAGGAGTTGATTTCTCAAACGTATCATACAAGACATTCGGAACATATTGAACACTGTTGGCAAAGTAGGAGGCCAAACCACAGAAGTTAATACTTGCAATCGAAAGGTCAACACCAATAAAGAAAATAAAAAGGTTAACAACAATAATTAAAACACATAGATAATGCTAGAAAATTATGATACTACTATTTACATTTGAAACTTAGAGGTTCATTAATGAGGAATTAATGACCCTTCCATGAATCCAACAGTTGAAGACATAAGATCTCATCTTCTCCAAAGCTCATATCTGCCCAAGTGTTCTTCTCAAGTGTTAAATGACCCTTCAAAGCAGATTCCATACTACTGAATTCGCCGATTATTCATTAATTATTGTGTTGGTTTGAGCAAAACTACTATTTAACAATGTTTTGTTTTCATGTATGGGTTTTGGTCAAGACCTTTCGGAAGTAAAATTGTAAGAGGCTAAGGATAACCGAATGAGAGTGGAGTAGGTTTGTGGTTGGACCCAACTACCATTCTTGGAATCATAGCTTGATTGTAACACAGGATCGATTGCAGTTCCACAGAATCACTAAATTGTGAAACAACTTATTGACTTACTAGAATTTATCTCCTAAGGCTAATAGAATCATTAATCAGTAGATCAAAACATGGATACATGAGCCTACTTAAGTATTCAAAGTTGAAGTTAAATAGGGTCTAGTTTTGAATTCATTAGCTGAGTTTTGGAATTCAACCAAGTTTCATTTATTCAACTTAAAAACTCATCATTCAGAATTTAGATAATTCCACCTCACAATCATGAATGTTGAACTCTCAAAAAAAATTAATGTTAGAACACATTCGAAAATCGAAAAAAGGGCAAACTTTACTCAGAATCCACATCCTTATCTAAATGCAAATGTTTCAAAATATGCAACACAGATACTACCAATCTTGGAGTGATTGAGATGGGCTCTGATAAAAAAATTACAGATACACTTTGATCTGATTTGCTCCTATAATTGAAAGTCCCATTAAGTAAACACTGGACAAAGTAACTGATTATGATCTAATACTTCATAAATACTTCAGACATTGCACATTTCCAAATATCGACACGTGAATGCACTTCAGAAAAACACATATGATAATTTTCTTCTCAATTTTGTGAATTTAATAATTTTCACAGTTTTCCTTTTTTTTCTTAGTTATTGTATCTTTTAGGATTTTCAAAGTTTTTGCTTCTTCTTCTCGTCATTCCATCCAAAATCAACCAGGTATCAACTGAGATTGGCCGGGGCCATCCTCCTTGGATGGAAGATCTGATCCTCTATTTAATTACATACTTTTTTCATTCTAATTTTTCTAATTTGTCCAGGGTGTGATATCCCTCTAAGGAGATTACCAGTCAACTGGAGGCAGTATCATTATTTCCTGCTGGAGAGTAGTAAACGAATGCAGCTAAGAGCACAAGAATTCAGACAGTAGGTCCTGGATAGTGACAGGACGTGCAATCATTCCCTGGTGTCCTTAAAGGCACAGAAATGAAATTAGAATACACGTACAATGTTACTGGGTCAGATGTCGAATGCAAAAAGTTGACCACATTTTATTCAAATAGGAAACATTTATTCAAAGATATTAGGAAAACAAGATATTCCATTTTAAGAAAAAAAAGGACCCATTCAGAAGGTACCCATTGCAGTCAATGTTAGAAATCCGTTCAAGCGGATCCGATTAGAATGTTAGAAGATACAAAACAACTTTCCATGGGAACAGAAGATTAAGAGGATGTTATAATACATATGGCTTCCTAACTAATATTTATTCAAACCTTGAACTCCCTGAAAATCCAAGTATGCCAGATCGAACTCCATGACCAAGTCTTCCAAAGCCGCCTGCTCCCCAGCTCAAGACATTACCATCATCTGGATGCAAAAAAGGATTGTAATCAGTCCGGAGAGTTCCCTAAGAATGATCTGCAAGAGAAAGCACTCTGTTATAAGCTTCCAAACATAACCTGTAACAGCAATCGAATGCTCAGAACCCAATGCTACATTTTTAACACACACTCCAGCCAAGCAGTCAAGTCTAGTGGGAACAGAAACAATGCTTTCAGCCCCTGCGTTTCAGAGAGCATTGACACAAATAAAATTTCTAGAAACTTACATCAGAAATAAAATAGAAAAATAGAATTCTACATATACTTTCAACTGTATCGCAGCATTGCCTATTCGGTTAATCAATTCTGACAAATGGATTTAGTTTTGAAGGCAATATTGCTCAGAACAAATGAGGATGCAAAGATATACATTGACCATCTCAGAAACAGAGATAAGAAGCATGCTTTCCGGTAGACCAGATTGCAAGCAGAAAATATTGTTTGATATTCTTGTTTCATTGGGCGGCTCTGGCAATTTCAACACAAGAAGAATATTTTTGTGGGTCACTTACTTGACAACACAGGGCACATGTTTTCAATTTGCAACAACAAGAACAATCATCATAAACAATTACAGAAAAATCACCACAAACATTTATTGATTAAACATCAATCTTCAAATAGATGAATGGTATGGATATGATTTGGTATCACATTGGCGGGATTTGCACTGTTGACTGATAGGGAAGCGATATAAATCTTTCCATTGGCTGGGCTCTGAAGTTTGGCAATCCATCAGCCCCAGTCTCATTGTTTCAGTCTAGATTCAAACACAGTTCGCAACAAGTCAGAGATTGGGAATCATCAGACACTTTGATATACACATTTATGGTATGATCATATCACTATTTTCTTTGGGAAAGTATGGCTAACACTTTTGCCTTAATGATGATGTTTGGCCTTATTGTCATTCCCAAGAAGTATTAGCATTAGCAGACAGGAAGATAGACAAAAGCGATATGGCTGGGGCTCAATTCAGGAAAAATCTGGAGGATTGGAACATGGATAAACCAGGAGGATTGGAACATGGATAAACCAGGAATATAGCATGTAAGGTCCACCGAATAATAAGTTTACTACATGTGGAAAAGAATGGGCTCAGTGACATCTCCTATCAGCTTACCCTAATGTAAAAATTGTGGCACCGTTCTTTTCCAATAAATTTGCATATCTCAATATGGAGGATAATTCAATCAAGACTTCCGACTTTTAAGTGTTTGGGCAAGTTTGAGTGCCTTTTCATGAAGACGAGTTGACAAAGGGTCAAATAAGACTTACTAATCCATTCAAACTATTTAGGTGAAGGTCTTCCAAAATGAATACATCTGAGTACGCACATAAGACAGTTTGGAGATGCTCATTCTAAGGTGAAAAAGGAAGACGCAATAAGAAGGTTTGGTGGCTGATCCAGCACGAAACATTGTGGATCATTTTGAGTGGAAGAAATAACTGGACGTTAGAAAGATCATCCGGGTTGACAGTAGTTTAAAGTGGATTGGATTCTAGGGTCGAAATAGCACTCCGACGGTCAATAGTCTTTTATCATCTTGACCTATGTATACACAGAACCTCATAATACTAGATTCCATCACGATTTTTATCCTTATGAAATAATCATACCAAACTATCCACAGAAAATATAATCCAACGAAAAGAGAACAACAGTTGTGACATTATTTTAAAATGATAATATTTAGAAATTGAAACTAAGTATCTTGAAAACACTAAATAAATATCAAAGACTAACCGCCAAGATCTAAGAAATGAAGCATACCCTTGGAGAAAGAAAAACAACAAAACTAAAAAAGCCCATAAATAAGAGTAAAGGAGCCTTAACAAGTTTAACTATTATCATAAGTAATTTACATCAAAAGGAAAAGAAAACGCCATGATGTCTAATTATATTCATATGAAACAAGATGTTACGAAGCAAGTGAGGACATGAAAATGCAGTAGAAAAATAAACAATAAATCCTATATATCAAGTACAGAGTAAAAGTCATTAAGAAAGAAACTTATCTAGAAAGAAGCTCAGTAGTTTTTCCTACACAATATAGAAGCTTTACAGCATAGACATATTAACCTGATGACCCATAAGCTTTCTGAAAAAAACTAGTCATAAATGATACCAGGTCTATAAGAGTTCTTAATCACTTACTTTTTCCGAGGCCAAGCTGACCACTTGAGTTATTTCCCCACACATATAGCTCACCATTTTCTGAGATTAAAAAAATGACTTTAACAGACGTACAATGAAGGAAACTGATCTACTTGGCAAAAACTTTCCAATGAAACGAGGGATTACAAAGGAAAGATGACAAAAAGTCCAAATTTTATTTACTATTTAGAACAGAATAAACCTTTATACCACTTCCATAGCATTTCTTATGAAAAATTAGACAATCTACAACGCTCCCCAAAAAGAACAGAATAACATTGAAGTAAGATTTTCTCAATGCATCGAAAGCATTCATAATGAAGTTATATTTAACACATGAAAGATGGAATTTTCTGTGACAATTCTGTGACCTCCTTCCCTTAAACATCCTTTACATACTTTTTCCAAGCTCCCCTTCTATTCATCCAGTGCTCCCTTTATTAATCTTTTATGTCTACTTCTGCCAGGCTCCTCTCCTGATAATGTCTGAAACCTCTCCCCAGCTCCCTTCTGTCTCTCTTCCTCACTTTCTAGCACATTTCTCTCCACCTTCTTACTTTCCCTATGATTACTTACTATATAGGAGACATAGTTTTACTCTCACTTTCATTAACATCTCTTGCTTATTAGTAACGAACTTGCTATCATTACTCTTAACTGATATTGTTTCAATTTCTGTTTTGATCAAATGATGACATCCGAAATTAAAGTAATAGGAAAAGCAGGCCTCTAGTTTTCTTGGGCTTCATTGAAGCATTTCTGAAAGATGGCAATTTCTATGGCAATATACTGTGTTAATGTCACTCTAATCTCCCCTGCTACTGAAGGCAGTTTTTACAGATATATAAAGAGGACTAAACCTCTTCCTTTCCTCTGCATCAACAAATAACTCATTTCCCTGTATCCCTTTTACTCTTTATTTTTTTCCCTGGCCATCCTCTCAATAGCATATAATGACACTGTAATATTTTTCCAAAAGCTGATTTCACAACAGAAGCATTTTTCTTTTACATCCTTCCATCATGCGAGCTCTAAAATACTATGCCTTGAAGATGAAGCTTTGTTCCAGGCACATTAATCTTAACTAGAGATCATCCTTCAAGCTCAGAATGTAACCGTTCATGAGGTTAGTGTCCTTGAAATGGTATACTTCCTATCATCATAGTCTATCCCAAGTAAATGGTTGATCCACACTGTCAAAGGCAATACTTCTCGGACAGGAATATAATGTAATATTCCAGTATTCCCCAGTAGACAAGATCGTGCACCTGTGACAGCAGCAGAATGATGATAGCCGGCTGAAATGAGTATAATTTTCTCTGGAAGCGAGGAAACCTTAAGAGGCGCCTGAAAACATGGCCAGAAGAATATTACACACGAAAATGTTCAGAAACAACTTATAACACATTGATGCAAAACTACATTATTCACAGCATGTAATACATCAAATCATACTAAACCAAGAACCAAGTTTCGGATGGACTTTCCCTCTGACAATAGCTTTCTGCGGCATCACATGAAAATCAAAATTAATAGGGCCTCTCGCAAAAGCTGCAATTCCTTGATGTACACTTTATTGAGTTTTTCATCATAGAATTCAAATTTAATTCTTCAATGTACTCCATGGTATGTGTTTTTCGTTGCACTGAAAACGATCAGGTCTTGTTCCACCATATATCATTTGATTATTATATAAATATAAAGTTCAAAAAGTTTAAACTCCGGCCATCAAATATTCAGTATTTTGAACTAAGGATATATATCCGTCAACAATGTTTCTATAAAGATTATCCACGGGGTAGATATCTCAGCTAAAAAGAGTTCAACTATCAAAACAAAATATGGATTGGATTGGGACCAGATAATCCCAGAACCCAATGTAGTTCTGCAGACCAAGCACTTGTGTAGGACAGGAGAATTTTGCATGATTTTAACCACAAGTAGTCGTACTATTGTCTGTAGATTTTGCTCATTCTTTCTTCTTTTTGAAGGATGAGGTTTCCCACCGAAAGAAGGCTCACAATTGTTCCAGATTAGGATTAACCAAGAGAGCATCCTAAGTTACTGCGTACAAAAGTTGGAAAGGTGAAAAGAAGCATAGGAAGTTCTACTTGCCAATATCCAAGGCTATGTTTGAAATTACCCATTTAAATTTTAAATAAACCTTTTTTCCATCCTTGTACAACTTTCGAGGGTTATCTAAGCCATTTAGGCCATTATTAAGGAAGAGTATTTATATTTATGTGATCAGTCAAAATTTGCAATCCTGACGTTCTTTTCACTTTCCTGCAGAAGGAAACAAAGATCGGCTAACTACTACCACAGCTTTTTTAGATAGAAACAACATTCCCCCTGCATTACTGTCTACAGGATTTACATGACAAAATTCAGATACGAACAGAAATGTATATACACCGGAAAGAAACAGAAATGTAACCAGATTAATACAATTCCGTAAGCATATATATAACTTACGGAAACAAAAAAACTAGCTACATACCAGTGAGTGAGTAGCACCAATCATAATCCCCAATTGTCCAAAATTGTTTAGACCGGTTGCATAAACATGCCCTTTCTCTGTCCAGGAAATTATAAGTGGAAAAATTCATTAACATAATTGTTTCTAAGTGAGTAGTATCATATTTAAGTTGAAAAGAACCAGCGGATGTACAAGTGTAACTCCAATGAGCTCTCAAACAGACACTCTATAGAAAACATTGCTTGAGTAATAGAAGCCCCATTTTCTTTAAGTATAGGATGAGCAACAGTTTAATATAAGGAGATAATGTAAGTCACAATGATGAGAAGTAGGTGCCTGTTCTACACATTTATTTGAAAGAAGTAACTAAATCCTAAACAGGGGATGCATGTCAATTCAGCTTAATAATTCATATAAATACAATATGAATTTAAAGGAGAAGGTGAATGATACATATTTTAATACTCACTCTAAAACTCTTGAAAGAGAACTTACAGCTGATGATAAAAATATTATTAATGACTTCTGGATTAAATTCTACTGAGAGATCACGATCAGATGGTAAATAAATGTTAAGTCTCACGAGGAGGTTATAGTATCATCGAATAAGTATAGGAATAATCGAGTGAAAAATAATGAAACTATAGACATACCACTCGGTTATACAAAAAGATTATCTAATGACCTTCTACACGATTCTTTTATCGAAATTTGCATGACAATCACACTTGGCTAACCTCCTCGTGAGACTTAACATTATTCATATAATGGCGTTTGATGTAGGAAAAGAGAGCATGTAACATTATTTTTTGACCATTAAAGCACATGACGTGGTCTCACTACTTTTTTTCCCAATGACAAGTGGAAATTACTTGTAGGTATTTTATTTAAGTAAAAAAACGAATTATATGTTATCCCACGGAAACAGACTGTTTTATTTCCTTGTCCAATTACCACGAGGGAAATTGGAATATTCACTCTCAAGGCTAGGTTCTGCTCCACATGACAATTACCGAATAGAAATTAAGCAAGAACATATGGCTGCAGATAACCCCACTCAAAGATGTCCAAGAAGAGGACGCTCCACAATTCCAAGAATTAAAAGGATCTATGAGAAGGGAAAACCATTGAAAATCATACCAATCCGATAATTCTCAGTCAACTTTATCATTGATCCAAAGTTCAAACGCGGCATACTATGCAGCTAATAGAAAAAATTTAACACTATTTCCCCAAAGTAACACTAACAGTTTGTTTATATCCGTATATCAGAAACCATATGTGTCTGGTCCAAGGCATTAAGACATGATTTTCTCAAGGACTGTTAATTAACTCATTCGTATCTTCTCCTAAATGTATCCCTTTTGAGAATAACACTCATTAAACTCGACAACCTTACATAAATCAGCACTCACAATCCACATGAACCACCACTGAAGATTAGTTTCGAACATCAATTTGGTAATTATAGAGGAAAAACTTGCTCCTTATCCATTGAAACTGATCCACCGGAACCCGAGAACTAAACCCAGACCAACTCCATCTACAGCGACTTCGGGCAAAAACAAAAATCGCCGGTCGAACGCTCTTTTCTCTGTAGAGAAGGAAATTCAGGTTCAACGGCCACTAGTACAGCGTAGTTCTCACCTTCTCCTCCCCGATTTCCACGTTAAAACTGAGGAGGATGTGGTTCAAGAGGAAGCAAAATGAATTGACGCAAGATTGGATGGCCAAGGAGAGGCGAGGATTTACCGGTCAGGAAGAGGGTGTGAGCCCCACCGCACGCGACGGAGACGACGAGGTCGTCGTCCTTAGAGAAGAACGGGGAGACGGTGGGCCTCCACTGGGAGGCCAGGTTGCCGAGTCCCAACCTCCCATAATCGCCATTCCCCCACAGCGCCACGAACCGCCGTGGACCCGGTGGCGCCGGCGACGGAGATGGCGCCTGTCCCGGCGTCGACGAGACTCCCGACAGGCGCCTGCAGAGAAACCAGAGCCGCCGCGTCGCAGAGACCCCAGCCTCTGTGGAGGCTCCTGTTATCGCCTTCATCAACATGGCGGAGACTGCCTGATCGCCTCGATCATGAAAGAGGAAGACGAAGAAACGGAGAGGGAATTTTGGAAGCGCAACCTGTGCATAGTCATACTTGAGTCCTTACCCAAGTATACTATATATTTATAAAAATGCACTTTCGTTGCCTAAGCAAAGATTTAATAGTCAGCTGAGCTTCAATGAACCTTTGACAAATAAGTCCTCGGAATTAATTCTATAACGAAATGCTCTCTCTCTCTCTCTCTCTCTCTCTCTCTCTCTCTCTGCGCGCACGAGCTTTATCTAGGCTAAAGTACGAGTAGGATCTTGTCTTGGCAAGAATATCCTTACATTTGACCCTTTAGTAATTATTATTAATTAATATGTCAATATTTTTATAACTATTTATCTTTATTTAGTAAATTAATTACATTTTTTAATGAATTTTATGTCTTGCTTTGGTCACAATTATTGTCCAATCCCATATGTATCAATGTGCTATTACCATATTTGAGAACAAGAGGTTTCCAACTACGGGATTCTTTCTTAGAGCCTGAATAAGAAAATATTACTGTATTTTCTTGTTCTCAATTATTTTATAAAAATATTTCTACATAAGACAACCAACTATTTTCAAGAATCTCTTTCTATATGCAAAAAGGAAAATAATTATGGAAAAAAAGTAATTATGTAACTTGTTGTGAATTGAAATCACAACTTTGTGTTGAAATTTATTTAAGCAATCTACTACCTCTCTCTCTCTCTCTCTCTCTCTCTCTCAATAGCACTCAGATCCTCAGCTACCAAGTTCATCTTCTACACAAGCTTGATCTTGGTCCTGTCCTTATCACTTTGTAAGAGTATAACCCTTGATAAATTTCACTACTTAAATATTATTTACGTAGTGCTAACATTATTTAAGTTCTAGAGGGAAATTTATTTGGAATTTATGTCCAGAAAGTGTGGGGTTTTTGTTAGTTTATAGTTGCATTATATCAATATCTAAATACAAGTTATATGAGAAAGAGAAACCTAAACTTTATCCAACCACAATGAAAATTCTCATATATTAGCAAAATCACAAAGCTGGTATAGCACTCAAAGTCAAAAAAATTACTTGAAAGATACTAAACAATATAATCAAAGAAGTACTCAAATGGAGTTAGAAAAAAACATCCTTAGACTCCTTTATCTCACATAAAAACTTATGGGAATTGAATGATAGGAACCCATGAATGAACCACAGGTCATTACTTTTGGACACATGTCCATCAAGGATTTTGGTAGCACGCAATATGCTTGCAATTCTATGACTTCATATGGTGATAATGATATTCAATTGACATCTAGAAAATGAAGATAGATTTTATACAAACACTATTGTCAATAGCCAAGGTACTCACTTTTGAAAACACATTCACCAAGGATTTTTGTGATGGTGATGGTATATCATTAGCATCTTTACCATGCAATATGTCTGCCATTCTATGAATATTACAAAAATTATTCTCAATAGCCAAGGTACGATTGTGCTAGTTATACAAACCTTGAAGAGGAGAACGATTCAGAATGATGGTCAATAAGAGCAATGAGTATAAGCCAAGAAAAAGTTACTACTTTATGCCTAAAGATAGAGGTATTTATCTTAACACATTCAACTTAGAGATGTAAGAGTCATCAAAAAAGAACATTTTTGTGAAAAATCTTTGTGATTACGTACAGCCATGACTATTGTGTGTTAAGTCCTAACATCTAGTGCCTTAAATGATGTCATGTGTAAGAGTAATGAGGATTGGTATAAAATTCCCTTCGCAAGTTAATAATTGAGATACCAAGCTATACATGCCCCATAGATTCACACATTCAATATTCTAGGGACATTCCTAGATCATTCTCTAGGGCCAAAACTTTCACACTGTAGTTAGGTGGATTTTGAAATAGGCCCTTTAGGCACATTCCTAGATTCTAAACACTAGAAGCCATATTATGTTTTTTATTTGATTTCTTATTGTGTTCTATGGGCTTGCTACTGACCAAGAGTTAAGGTGGTAGCCAAGAAAGTATAATATAGTGAAGGGGAACTAAAATAAATCATTGAAGAAATAAGGTATATCATTTAAATGTAATACCCAAAATACAAAACCCATAAAAACTCCCTTAAAAAAGGCAAAACACATCAAAAGATGTAGTCATAGTTAAAGAAACTCAAAATGTAATTTGGTTCAAGAGCAGTGTTTAAAAAATTAATATAACATATTTTTAGGGTCTTCATTTTTTAGATTTTATTTTATTTTATTTTATATAATAAGATCTTTGACTTGGTTGAATAAGTTTTACTAAGTAAGTGTTCAAGACATTGTAATAGAAGAATGGTGAAGCTCACTTTCTCAAAATATAAGTTAACGTAAAGAAACTTGTCATATGAGTATTAAACACATTCATTGTGAAGATATTTTACATATATCGCAAGACCTGATGAAAATTAATTGTTATAAAGACCATATGGCCATTAAAATAAAAAATAAAGCACAAAATTCAGTTGTCAATGTAATTAATTAGAAGACTCTCAGACTAAAGTATAAATATAATTATTGAACTATCAAAGATCAAACCAATTAGAGGAAAATTTCAATTGATAGAGTTCTTTACAACAAATAGGTTTTTAAATAAGAATAATTTATAACATTTTTCAAATAAAGAGGGTTTTACTTGCTAGCAAATTTTAAGAATCCTTTAATAAATCTTAATTTTCAAGAAAATTTTACACATTTTTATTATTATTATATTTTTAAATACTTATTCTACATCACAAGTCGTTAAAGTACGCTTCTTGTCAACAAAACCCTTTTGAAAGAGATTTGACAAAGCATTTTGAACATTCCTTTAAAGATTTGGACAATGTATGTATCCTTGTGACAACATAATTTGTATGTCATACAATCCATGATGTGTACTTTCATAACCCAACTACAATAGATCCTTAGTATTTACAAGTTACCTTAGTCAACCACCCCATATACTTCACAACCAAAATAAGAAAAACCTTATACTTTAAGAATTATATCTGATATTTTCCTAAACATTTTGCATGGTCTCATTCCCTCTTCACTCTTTAACCACAGAGAGAATGGTAACTAGTCTAATATAAGTTTTAGTAGTTTTTTTGGCATCTTTTATATTCCATTGAGTTGAAACTATGATAACTTTGAGTCAATAATTATTGTAATATATTAAAAGGCATACTAGTAATGCAGAGTTGTTAATCTAGAGGTAAAGGATGAGCAAACACATGATTTTTAGGAGACCTCAAGAGAAACCAAGAGAGGAAGTAAATTGATCATCTTTTAATCACTCATGGATTTTTTATTTTTTTATTTAAATTATACAATCTAGATTTATAGTGGTTCAACTTGTCTAGACTACTCCATTCTCTAAGCACCATGTATTTTATTTCTTCTATTTCGAAGTGATATAAATATTGAGTTCAAAGGCTTTCATTAACCTTGACTAAATTTCATGACTCTAGCCACATAAATGTTTCCTAGAATCACTTCAACATTTACGACTCTAGAGGACAAACCAAATTAGGATCTAGTTAGTCTCTTCTATCTTCACAAATCAAGATAGTCTGGAGGACTACTAATTATTCAATAACAAACTAAGAATAAACTAATATGCTTAAAGATTTAGCATATAATTTATAGCAGTGTGAATGCTCAGCCTAACTTGCAGAAACATAATGAATGCTCGAGATAAATATTGATTTCAATCCTTTAATGATTTTTCTTTGCCCTATGAATTCCTTTTATTTGTCTTAATTTTTATATGATTTTTTATATTTGAATAAAGTGACAAAAATAAGCCTAGTTTTCATGCCTTTTAGTTATTATTTAGTATTTTCCTTTTTATATGACTATTGGAATGAATCTACAACATATTCTATGGTATGATTAAAATGTACTATGATTCTTTTGTATGATTAAAATGTACTATGCTTCAATCAACTTGGCCTACCCCACTATATGGACATATATTCTCTATGATCTACTATCTGCAAATATTATAATCACTAAAGACTAAGTGCTAGTTCACCTCTATTAAATTTGCAGCTCTAACAACCCAAATGATTATAGCACTTGTTTTGAAATTCGTAGTTCTAAGCAATCAAATACAAGATATACTACTAGCTAACTATTCTATAACTTTAAGCGTGCTCTAATACTTCAACTTTAAAATTTTGATCTTTCCATTATAAGATGGTATTAATCCCAATAGATTTTGTCATTCAGAATTATTAATATCTACATTATTATATTATTTCATATGTAGTGCAAATTTCATTTACCAAAATTTTGTTATTTACATACTACATTATTGTTTAATACAATTCTAATGTTCTAAATGATTGAACTAGATATATGGAATTACTTATGTACGACTCTTGAGTTAAAAGCTATAATAAATTATTTATCTTATTTTAAAAGGTACACCTGTACTAACTCCAATACGCTCAGCTCATTCACTATGTAAATCAAATTAGCATATTAAGTTTAATATGCTTCTTCAATTTGCAATATAGTTCGTCAATATTCTACAATGTATTTAAAAGTACTTATAGTAGTACACTGTATATACTTGAGATATTTTTAAGTACAACTTTTTAACTCTGATAATTATATTTCAGAACATAATTTAGTGTCTTGAAATACTATTTTACAACAGAACTGTTTGGAATATAAACATTCATTTTACTTTGAAGCGTAGAATGGAGTTTTAAACAACATTATATAAATTACGATGAGGGCACATTATGTGTGAAACCGACATCAATAGATGTTAATGTAAATGAAAGTTGACCAACAAAATAAATATCCTATTTGAATGGTCAAAGCAGGGTGTCTTGCTTTCAGAAACCATAGCAATGAAAGTAACTCTAAGCAAGATGGATTGGACTAAACGAGATTTTATACGAATCATGGGGAGATCAACATAAAACGGCGATCTAAATAGATTTACAGGCACATATTAATGCACTAGATCAAGTTCTGAGGCCGAGGCAGGCAAGTAAAATAAAAGAATAGGATGTGAGGTACCATTGATAGAACAATTAGTAGTTGCTGATAGCGGCAGATTTATTTTACCTTACAATGATACCTGGTGATGTTCCCTGCCATCTCATCGGTCCTACTGAGGATCGTGTTCTTGGCTGATGCAAGATTTCTCTCTCGTCGATGCTAATTGTTAGCGAGAGCTGTTATCTGGTGATGAGCCCTAGTTTATCTGAAATCCAGTGAACCGAAGCAGCCATACCCAGCAAAAAGCTCCACATCTTCGGGAGTCAATGCCCCAGGGAGAGAGCTCAAATAGTGACGAGAAGCCTGAGCCCTGCAGACCAGACCCAGATCAGGAAGTCAAACACAGATCAAGATAAATGCTGGACGAGAAAATTCACCAGCTTTTCACGACCCCAATGTGGCTAAGTTCCAGGCATTATATGAATACCTTAGCATATTGGAAGTACATACTGAAGGGCACACATAGACACTAGACAAAAAAGCGTACCTTCGATGTGATCGAGGATGATCTTTGCCTCCCGAGAGTCGGGAATTCTCAGTCTTGGAGATAAGACTGAGGGATGAAGCATACTCATGCAAAGCCTGACTTTGCAGCGTCATCAGGGATCTTGTGGGGATTATGGGACGCAGAGCATTGCAGAGCTTCGATTCCAGCTCTCTGCAATAGACGAAGGGGACAGGAAGCCAAAACTATCAATTCTTTGCTATTAATGTTACATACACCGATCTAGGACCCAAACCATAGGCAATGGAATATATGAACAGAAGTATATGGTCTACAGTAAATATACTAATTGATTAGGAATTCATGCAGAACAGAGAAAATATCAAACAGAAATTTAAAAAAAATTATGATAGAATTAAGAAGTCTATCAGCAGCCATTTCTTCTCCGAAACATATCTGGAGACTCGGATTGGGCCTTTCAATTTCAAATTTGTTACATGTCATGTATTTCCTTCCCATGAATCTTTCCGCCATTTTTACAGACTAAGGAAATGTTTTAATGAAAATCTCATTCGCTATAGGATGTTATCTTCGCAAGGCACGAATAGAATCCAAAAGTGGACAAGGTCCTGAAGAATAAGCCCACATTGTGCAATTATAGGGTGGTGGGAAGGCTGAGAATTCAAGCAGTAACTTGCATAAGGGACAGGTTAAGGAATCGAGGCAGTTCATGGCGTCGGATGCCTCTCTTGTCCACTGAAAAAAAAAAAAAAAAACAAAGTCTATGATGCGTGCTCCAAGATGCATAGAGAAAGCTAGATTCCTTTGATAATCCACAGCCTCACATCATGCAGTCAATAAAATGAGAAAGAGAAAAGGACCGAAGCAAGAGCGTTGTAGTATGTCTGGCTGGTGATAGGAAAGTTCAGCTCCTATCATTAAGAGCTTCTCAAGTACAAGATAGGGATCGGTGATGATAAACTGAACCTGGAAATCAGCATCTATAATCTAATACCACGTCAGACTAACTCGAGCTAAACTAGCCCCAGTTTCAGAAAGAAGAAAAAGAAGAGAAGACCACTCACTTCTCATATTGGAAACCAAGGGAAAGAATTAACAGCCTCTTCTGATTTGTAATGATCCCAGAATGCTAGAGTAGCTTAAATAGTATATTCAAGAAGGGAAAGAATCTTATCTGCTTACTGAAGCAAATCATTTTGGAAACGAACGAACAACACCACATGTTAAATTATTGGAACGCCTATGGTCAGCTTTGATAGATTGGTCGGTTAAAGCAGAATACGACCGAAAATTAGGCCAATATAAAAAAATGCAGCGCCAAGTCATTGAGTGAGACCCCCCCCCCCCCCTAAAACTAAATTCTTTAAATAAAAAGGAAAAGCTTGATATGAAAAATTAATCAAATTAGTATAGGCCATTTTTCATATAGGAAAGTGTAATGATCAAAAGTAGATGCTTCAGGAGATGAGTTATGCACATATTAACGATGGAACCGTTAAGACTGTTATGAATCGGACAACTCTAACCCGAATTTCTCCTAAAGTGAACGAGAAGATCATGCCCTACTGAGAGTGTCACCTTGATGCCTTCCTCTGAAAGCCTCTTTGTCCACACGTAACACTTAGAGTGTTCTTCAGAGACAAACGCTTTCCTAGAGCCATGGAACAAGTGTTGGCAGCCAGCATCTCCTGTGCTAGATGCAGAGGATTTTCATGACGCAAAGTTGATGGTGATCTCATGGCTTTACTTGCATACAAGCATAGACCATGTTGCGAAAACGTGGAAGCCATTTCCAAATGCTCATCGTACCAAGAGCTAGAACATAGTTCATCATGAGGAGTTTCAGACAGCTCCAGAACATCCTGCCAAGACAAAATATCCTTCAAAACAAGAAGACGCGCTAAAATTCAAGGAAATAAGGAAAACATCAAGATACTATTTTAAGAGAGGAAATTCTTCAAAGAATCTTACACTGGTAAGCAACTGACAGCGCCCAAGCAAAATATCAGCATCAGAAATCAGATTGGTAAGACCAGAAGTAAGATCTAAGATGTTCAAAGCATCCTTCTGAGCAGAAGTCATATGCAATCTTAAATCTTCTTGGCAGGAGCGCAGTTTTTTCCACTTTTCATTAACTGAGTGAATAATCGGATGGCTTAAAGAACGGTCAACTGGCATGAGTTCCAAGCTGAAGCCAGCACAGCTACACTCATCCATTATCTGATATCCTCTGGATAAACCCACATCACCTTCTATTTGAGAGGCATCAGGTTCTTCATTTCCATGAACTGATTCACGGTCTAGTTCATCTATATTTGCAAACTTACTCATTGGATCTTCGTCAGCAACGAGTATAGATTCTTCAACATGGTCAACGTCCTCTTGAGAAACAGGTAGCTCTGATCCGGAATTATTCAACGAAAAATCCACCAACCTAGAAGAAAAATCAGGCGAATTTACTGTTGTAGACGGAAAACCATCCCTGTTACTGATTTCAGTCTCCGGAACTACTGATAATTCAGGGGTGCATGTCGATGTGTACGTATTGCAGACATGTGAACTGGAAGCAATTTTGTCAATCATGAAAGAATCGCTAGATAAAGCAGCACTTTCAACAAACAGATCGGCACATGAATTCGTGCAATTTGCATCCTCCATTGGTTGAGGAAATCGCATGACATGGGTATTTATATCTAAGTTTGTATCAGAAGCATACAAATCTGCAGATTCAGAAGAAAGTATAGTTCCAGACTTGTGCTTAAAACTTCCATCCGGAGAAGTCAACAGAGAGCCCAACGCATCAGAAAAGCCCATGCTATCATTTATAGGAGTTGAAGATTCATTATACTGGAAAGAGGGGCAAACATTTTTCATCATAGCATCCTCTCCCGTCCCGGTGGCAATGTTACGTGGAGTGTCAATTGATACAGTAATGTCCTCTTTGGTGAAAGAATGTATTATCCCTTGATTCTCCAAAAGTGAAGACACTGTATTTGAGATTTCCTCTTCAACTTTCAGTGAAAGTTCACAGGGGAATGACCAAGGAAGAAAGCTTTCTATTACCCAATGAGCTGCATCAAGGTCAAACTGAAGGGGGCTGTACGTAAGTTGCATGTTCCTGTCTAGATAGTCAAAGGGAATCCAATTAGCAACCTTTGCTGACTTTGTCAACTAAGATACTCTCATTTCTCTCCCGTCAGAATGTACAAAGCAGAGGCAATCCCAAGAAATATAAAGCAATTAATTACACCCTTTCCCGGAAGCACGAGTAGGCACAAACCTGGTCGACCTTTTTCACCCTGGCACCAAAATTGGAGAAGCAAAATTGTCTTCCTTATATCACCTTGGCATGTGTTGATAAGCTGCTCTAATAGCCGTGGTGATACATGGGCTCCTTCTGCAGAGCAAATCTGTGGACCCCTTAGAAAGGTTAAACATCTGAATAGATCGAAGGAAAAAGATAAAGAAAAAAAAAGGAATGCTGAATTCTTGTACCAGACATATACAGGCAAGTAGCTCTTCTGTTGATGGACGTGTGAATGCCACTACTACTTTGTCCAATGCATGTGGTAGGTTGGGATATTTGCCTAGCAGGTTATCAACAAAATTAGATGAAGTGTACGCAATGATGATTGTCAAATGCCATTCTTAAATGCATGAAGATGGGTATTAAACAATTGAACGGGTTTAAGTCGGCAAATAAGCTCACTATTTGTTGTAAGTATAATGGGTCTCTTTGATGTTTCTGCAAGCTGCATGATAGTAGTAATGAGTCCACGGTCTTCATGAAAAATAGCATCCATGTCTTCAAATAGGAAGAGATTCCTGTTTGCAACTCGGCAAGTAGAACTTTGATTCTCAAATGAATTCCCTGGACATTTAATATTAGTGCTTTCACAAAGCGTCAAGGCCTGTTTGAGATCCCCGTCTTTAGATGCGATCGCCTCAGGGTTAGTTGAAGACTTAATGAATGGCAAACCATCTTTTTTATTCAAACCAGCAATTTCCTCGACTGAGCTGAAAGAAACATCATAACATGATTTCTCTATATTCCTAGAAGTTAACATAGATAAAGCAAAGTGAAGGAAAGACAGAATCGTCATCCAACGTCTGATCATTCTGGAATAAGAATTACACACTTCGTCAAACATCATGGAAAACAGAAGACTTAATGGTGTACCAAACGTAATGTGAAAAACGGGGCCTTTAAGAATTGTTTCCAGTTGTATCTTCATGACTGAGAACATGTAATCAAAGCCATAAAAAAGCCATATTTCCGTCAATTTTCAACATATGAATCATCACATTGAATCTATGAGAATAGGTAAAAAGTCCTGACTTACCATGTTATTGTCCTGACCACATAATAGACAAATAGATCATACGCAACATAGTCAAATGAAGCGGGTTAAGTAACCCATCATTCACCAATTCCATATAAACTTTTGTTAACTGCAGACAAAAGCGATTATATGAATTCCTGCATGAGATGAGTAGTCTGGGAAAACATGCAACATTAACCATCTGTGTAGTCTGGGACAACATGATGACAACGGTAGAAATAATTATGATGATCAGCCATTCCTGTTCCCCAACCTCGTGACATCATGTTCATCGCTGTTCAACCTTACCTCCAGACATCATGTCCATCTGCCCCAATTGTCTCTTCCTACAGATCTTCCCAAACCTACCCACCCTTCCAAAACCCAACCTTTTATACTCTCATGCCTGCCTTTGATTTCCAGACGCCTTACAATCATCTGCTGCCAACGTATGATCCACCAGTGAAATTCAGGTTTTGTCCTCTTGCCTATCCCAAGTCTCCTAGTTACAGAACATGGCACGATCCTAATAAGTGCTAGTTAATAGGAAGGCGAAACGGAATGAGCATTATAGCGGAACTGATGATAAAGGAATGAGTGTATCAACCAAATGCAGATTTAGGAGATAAGTGTAGAAAAAACTTATGCATCCTTCAATAGATATCTCTTGGAAAATATCAAAAAAAAAGGATATTGAAAATATCCAAAAAAGGGCACTGCAAGTTCAGGTAGTGCTTATGCAGTTTTAGAGACCTGAAGAGAGGAATGAATTTGTAAATAAAGATAGGTGGGATGTGTGAAAAAAAGACAGAACGTCGAGAGTCAAATAATTATGGGATACATCCAATGTTTAGGGGCGAATGGCAGGGCTTCCAGTGCACCTTAAGCCTGTGGAACTTGTCTGCGTAGTTTCTGATCCTTTCAGGTATTCTGAAGGTAGACAGTAGACCACTAATAAGAAATTGACATAGAGTTGCTTGGTTTAGTTCAAATCATTTAGAGCGAAGTGATCCAAAGGGGGTTACCAGTTAGATATTGTGGGCAACTTCTTCCCCATATTTATCCAGAGGGAACAGAATAACTTGGAACTCAGAATTTTATCAACGAATATTAATGCTCTACAACTACAAAGAAAGAGGAGAAGAGGAACTACAAAGTGTGTATTAGATGCTGAACAACACAGAGGTAGAGGCATAAGATAGAAGGGGAACAAAGAGTCAAAAAGCGTTCACAAAGAAGCATGGAAACCGAGGAAGGTGATTACAGCAGGCCAATGAGCACCAATGAGCACCAATTTTGATTCAGAAAATGGAAGGGGAGGAGAAGCAATGCTGATTCCTTAAATTTTTTATTGAGAAATAAGAAACGGAAAGATGGCCTGAGGGCGGCAGAATAGGGAAGATTTCTTTACCGTTGACTGACGCATGCGATGGAGGTGAACATGTTAGAGTCCAGGCAGCATAATTGTAAAACGAGCACTCACTGCATGAATATGAGTTTACGAACAAGCATTCATATGGACAAATTGATAATGCATTGTCTATTACATGTTATATATATTGTAGATACTCCATATATTTCATAAAAATCACATACTATATCATTTGCATATTTAACTCATATTGAATAATTTTCATAGAATATACAAGTTAGCAAAAACCTCTTTTTTTTAACTTTTTCGAAAATTACAATTTTCTTTTCTTTAGTTTATGTTATATTGAATCTGAATGCTTATTCATGTAATTTGATGATATGATGGCATATACATTTCATTTTATTTTTACAATTTTTAATTATCAATTTGGGAATAAAAATTTAAAAAATTAGAGATCACACACCATCTTGTTCCTTTCACAGCCACAGGTAATAAGGAGGTAGATAACTATCTTCGTCACCTTGAACACATTTTAATAAGAAAATTCAGCTTTCATTCTGGTTTAAAATGATCTGATGGTGGACCCCAGGAACAAATAGGAACATATGAATCAGCAAGGACGGTCAATATCTACTGGTAAACCAAACCGATTTGGATTATAAATAAATGCCAGTCTGTTACAGCTAGTTCGATAGGTCGAGTCCATATTAGATAACTTATCAATCCTTTGCCACAGCCTCTTCCTTCTTCCCCTGATGTGTCAAAGAGCCATTAAACCCAGAGCTCAAAAAAGGTGACTAAATACAAGTAGTGGATACAACTCCGTAGTGCGGTTTTTGGGGTTATGGGAGGAAAATCATGTCCCAACTAAATTATACCTCCCAAACCGATCTAGTGGTAGGAAAATTTGAATATTCAGAACGGGCAGTGAATCAATTTCAATTAGAGGTCAAGAAAAAATATCCAGAAATTTTATTTAGTACATATAGATGCAGTATAGAAATATAAATTCGTTATACAAACGAATGGTATTAACACCTGAAGAACGATGGAAAGGAGAATGAGAAAAAAAAATCCTATAAATGGTGTTTTCATAAAGATTAGATGTTCAAGGATTATATTCTAACAAAGTTCATATTACTGGTTTACAAAAAGAAGAAAAGATTAGTATATATCCAACAAGCCTATTAATTAATAGATTGTAAAACTTAAGGAATGGGAATTTACGAAGTCAAATGATTGTAAAGAGAGTGAACTGGTTCGATGAAATGACCAATTCTGCAATAAAGACGATGCCAAGTATGATTATGATAGGTAGAAGTTTGAGGTAGGGATTCGGATGGGCGTTTTATTTCTAGGTACGAACTACATGAAAATTTTGATGGATAAATATACGTATGGAGCTAATTCAGCTAAAATCCAGCGATAAAGTCTGGGTGCATGCTGTAGGCATGAGATCACAACTATATTAGAGTCCCCTGGAAAATAAAAGGTGACCCTAGGTGAGACAATGATCTAGCCTGTAAGTTTAAAGAATCACCCTCTCAAAAAATAAAGCTAACCTAATACAATTTTCATATCAAAAACCTAATAGATTTCGGATCCAGCGGAGTGAATGCATACTTTGAACAACCAGAAGCAAAAGGCCTGCCTAGGCAACTTACAGACCATCTACATCAATTAGTGTCCACAAAATCCAAAAGAAAATAATAAAGAGTTTTTGGATTTAATTCGCATAGATCCAGAAACAAATGGACAGAAGAGTTGAAAATGGAGCCAAGAAACCAGAAATCCAATAATCCTCGTTCAAGCTTAATAGTAAGGGTTATAGAGGCAAGGAAATCGTCAATAAGAGGGAAGTAAGCAAATGTACGAGAAGCGAACAAATGTAAGAGGGAAGTAAGATACTACAGAGAAGCAAAAAATGGTCAAAGAAGATGAAAACTAAATGGAAATTGCAAAAGATAGGCGGAATATCTTCCATCTGAAAAGGATACGAAACGGGACCATATTCATGCATTGGAAATTTAGAAGTAGAGGGATTGGATAATGAGTGTCTTAAAAATGCAGATCATAGAATAGAGGACAACCAAAGCATCACAGAGGTCGTTGTGATCTTTCTTCAGAACAGATTTAAATCTGAGAAAACCAGATACGAGACACTACCCAAAAAAGGTTGAGGATCCAGCGTTTCTTAGTCCATCCATGTCCAATTTAAACTGAGCTATTTTCAGGCATTGTCATTCTCTTAAAGAGAGAGTTCTTCTTACGTCATGGCCAATCTTTAGTTTACTTAAAAAAACACAATATGATGCGATAAGGCTAACGCATCAGTGTAACTGTAAACATATTATAACTATAAAATGAAGGAAAATCTGTCGGATTGGAAACCACAAATATAGTACTGCTTCAATCCCCCGAAGTAATATCCTGGAACATGCAAGATTCATTCCACAGGCTCTTTGAAAATATTGGAATCAAATCACAACTGATAGAATTTAATTTTGTATAGAATTATGAACATGAGATCCAGCAAACATACCACAATTCTATTGCTTGCGAGTCCATAGCCTCCCCAAACTTCTGCTTTATGTGTGCTCCATTTCTTACATCAGATGCATTCACCTGTGGCAGAACATTCGAGAAGAGTTTCTATTAATATTTTCTTCTATGAATTATTTATGAAACCCTCAAGCGAAATTTCACCCAGAAATCAATTAACATACTGATTTTGAACTGTTCTGAAAATGTAAAATCTTTAGTAATTGCTAGTCAAGGTTATTGTATCAATAAAACAAGTCTTGTGACGTTATAATCATCGAAGCCTGAGATTGAATTTCAGAATTACTAATTGGCATTGTTTGTGCGATGCAAACCACTGGTCCTAGATCTTTAAGAAATATCGACTTCATTTGGGCTCAAACTTATTAAAACAGAATAAACTTTAATCGGTACAAGGATTTCAGGAGCCAAAAAGAGGCTTCTGTATGACGTGAAACGTAGGAATTGGAAAAGTCGTCTAATTTAGATTCTTCAGTAACATGAAATGTACTGTGCTACTGTGTTTGCTTTGGATGGCTTGGTATCTATTACAAGAACATCCAATTCTCGGATAACATCTAATTCCTGGGGAGCTAAAATACGTCAAAATTAAACATAATGTCGGCCAAAATTGAAAACAAGAAAAATTCAAGCATATACTATCAAGGAAATAAGTGAAATTTGACGCGGAAGTCTGGAATCATCATTACAGTTTGATATCTGAAGAAGAAGAATCTGTCACAGGCATGGAATATCTTGCCTGTGATATGATTTGAGGGTGGGTATCGTCACTTTTACGTAGATCATTCATGTGACTAGTTGATTCTTCCTTCGCAAGATTCCATGTGGATCGCACTAGAATTTCCTTAATAAATGGACAGAGGGTATCGCAGAAAAAAAAAGCCTTTGTTGAAACATTGGGTATTCTACACCACATCTGCGTTTCACTAGGATAAGATAATGATCCAACAGTTACATAGTTCCATCGCACTAAATATTAAAGCAGCGTAGTCAGCATAAATCATACGCAACTTGAAACGAAAACTAGCTTATACCAGTCTAAATCTGATCTGGTCCACATGGGGTCTTCAAGGAATCACTTGCTATCAACTACTATCAACTCTGTTTCAACTTGACAGCATACTTGGATATAAATCCATGTCGTGATAACCTACACAACTTTTCTCTCAACATATTCCTCAATACACGACATTTTGCATCTTCTCTAGAAAGTGGAAATTTTCACTTCTCTCCCAAATGTCCCTAGCTTCCATGTTAGAAATCAAATGTTTCTTGCCGATAACCCCTTCAACAAAACAATTCCACGTCTGTCACCACATATGGCCTTTGCTATAAGAGACTGGTCATGGCAAATGTCCGCACATACCAATCACCTTACCTAAAAACCAATAGAAACAAGAATTCAAATCCACGTTTCTTTTTTTTCTTTTTTTCTTTTTTACCAATGCTACAATATTTCTTATTGTTTTAGTCTTAGCTCAGCTTAACTAATATGTCATGGGATCTAAGTTCCTTATACCCCTTTTCAGAAAGATCATATTAACTTACTCTGATTAAAAATTAATGTGAGATGACAGGCGGTGATAGGAAGAGTGGAGGATGAAACTATCTGGGTTCAATGTGGACAGCAGGGCTGCACCAATAATCTGTTCTATATATAACATCATCAGGGCCCACACTCTAAAAGTTGTCATCTGAAATCAGTACAAGCCCACAATTTCTAGTGTGTCATTTGATTTCCTGTGCTCTTGTACCTCTTACTTTCTATTGATTTGATTTATTTCCTTCGACTTTCCACTCTTCCAGTGAAGGATTAATAATCAACTCTTTTAATGAACAAGCAAAAGATAACCCAAACGTTTAAACAAGATTTGGGATTGGATATCTTGAGTTAACATCTTTTTAATCTCCACGCCTCTAAAGATATTTTTCAAGGTTTACCCAAATGAAAAATATTCGCAACAATGAGATCATACAGCTGAAAAAACGCTGTCAATGGTTTTTCTGTGAGAGGTTATATTTTCAGCTACAAGGATGGAAGAGATAGGATACAGATCAGGACAAGACCGTGAAGGACACATGAGGGAAATGAAGCAAAGAAATTAAAAAGGCCAGAATCTCGAAGTACCTCAATTACATGAAATCCAAGTTCTTTTGCACATGCATAAATTGCAGCAGTCTTTCCGCACTGAAAAACAACAGGTCTTAAAGAAATTAAGAAAGTTCGCCAGACAATACACCTCAGATGAAATCAGGAAATGCATTAAGATGAAGGATATCAAAACCAGTAATCTCATTACATCAAAATCTTTGGAGCAACAAAGGTAAGGGCATAGGGGACATGATACAGACGAACCATAAAAGCCACTTTATCTTGAAAAGAAATAATAAACGCTCGTAAATTACAAGCATAGAACTAACTATGAAAAATTCAAAAAGGAAAATATTAAAATATTAGAGACCTAGATCTACAGACCTTTTGAAATTCGAAGATAGTTCGTCCTTAGTAACTTACACTAGCACTAACGTACTACCCAACAAATGAGTGCACACAGAACATCAAGTAAACACTCCAGCACTACAACAATTAACGAATATTTATCACTAGGTTATAAATTCCACTAATTTAAATAAATTTCTGGACGTGCCTTCCAAATGAAAGATTTCAGATGATGAGAAGAACATCCAATATATTGTACACTCATGTTGTCAAGAACCAGTTAACACATTTTTTTTTCTTTTAGAGTTAGTTAGGTGCCCTACGATTTTTCTCATTGTTCCATCTCTCCCACCATTTGCTGGTTCATCACATCACTCTGCACCAAATCAATGTCGCTATAAAGGCAAGTCACAAATGTAATTTGGACAAAAGCATTCGTAATTGTGAAGAAAGCTATCCAAAGCTTAATGACTATCTTTCATACATTAGTTTTCTAACTTACTTTCGACACCATAATGATTGATCATTTACTAAAGACAGGATTTTGTGGGTTGATAATGAACAAACGTCTATCTCCTCTAGACGGTAGGATATCCTCTTTAAAAAACAGTTTGGTTCCATCCGTTAAAGCTTGAAGAATTCCTAATGGTGTCACATGTCGCTCAAAGGGTTGAAGGGAGATAGTGCATCAAGCTGTTTGCAAGTGCCAACTTGATCCTCTTCCCCGGGTCGAAATATGGCTTTCATCTTACTGTGAACCAAAGACAAGTTGAAAGGCATTGCCATTAATACTCATTTTTTGTCCACAACTTTTGATGGCTAAGAACACAACGTATGAATGTATCACTTAACAACATTACATGAGTTTGATTTTTTTATAAAGGTACTCAAAAAGATAGTAAAGAAAAACAAGGCTCTCAAGTCTCAAAGCACTAAAGTGACCAAGGCAAGCACACTTTCAAGGCTAGTCATCTATGCGCCCATAACACTCACCCTCATTTAGTTAATTGTCTCCTATGTTTTAGTCAAGTCTCGCCATGAAAACTATCATATAACATATAGACACTATCCAGTCGAGTAAATTCTAAATTTTAAGGCAATCAAGAAGGTGATCACATCAGTGTCTAACTAACAACGCAAGGCACTAGGCAACACCGAGGTAAGGCTTAATTTTAATAAATAAAGCAATAAAACATAAACATGAAAAACATGAATATGAACATACATAGAAAACAATGCAAATGAAATATATCATATGTTATTTACATTTTCTGTCGCACCATAAGCCACATGAACATGGCACAGTAAATCCATCCATGAATTACTCATTTGTGCCAGGGCAAGCATTCTCTTGCCTAGGCAACCATCTTGCCAAGGTGTTGCTTAGGCGATGCCTTGAAAACTACAGTAAATTCCTCTTCAATTCATACGAGATCAAGTATCATATGTTTGACTTTCAAAATCAATTCTATGTTATTGTCAAAAACTTTATAAGATAGTTCTACAGCATCCTGGCTTAGGGAACTTGACTCTCTTACTCCTACCACCTACAGAAGCTACAAAGACAAACAACAATGCTTGTCTATCCTCTTGCGACTAAACTCACCTTTCAGATCACCCTGCCTACTAGAAAACTTTATGTTAGATCAAAATCATGAGATCACAAAAGATAAAACGATCCGAAAATGCCTAGACCCTAAGATTAAACACTGAACTGTGGTGAATCTAAAATATATCTGAGCTTATAAGAAATGTGCATGAGAAATACCAATTAAAGAAGAACATACCCCAACAGGCCCAGTAACTAGAAGAACATTCCTGCGTGAAGCTTCATCATTTTCAGAGTCAGAGTCGTTTTCATACAAGCTTTCATCGCTATCCTCGTCAATGCATATAGTCTTGCTCGTACGACCTTTAGCTTCTTGCAAACACCTCTCGTGCCATGATGCCAACCATTCAACAAGAAACTTAACAGCTTCATTGTTTCCACAGACCTGCAAAAATACTCATTATCAAAACGAATATACACATTACCACATATCAAATCAACCAAACCGATCCCATATGCTTAACGTGGATAGAAAGGAAAAATCAATAACCGGATACCTCTACACCTTTGCCAGGCTGGTATTTATTTGTCCACAAGCAACCGTCAGTCAAATGGTGTAACTGATAGGGTACCACACTAAACATAAAAAAACTTTTGAGTCATCTTTTCTGGTAAGGCCAGTAAAATTAACAAGAACGATAGTTGAGTGAGTAAATATACGATGATCATTAACTAGGATGAAACAGGCATAGCGAAAAATGTCACTACCAATAGAAGAACTCAAGTATACGCACCCAATATCTCAAATTAGGATATTCATAGCAAATAAGGCGTACAACAAAATTTCATTCGAAAGGAAACAAAAAAGATGCATCTGTAATAAGAGACGAAGTGCCTCTCAAATCAAACCCAATATCACAAAATGTATGTATAAAACACAGTCATACACTTAAAGAGATTTTAAGGTGTTCATGTTTTTGCAAACCTTTGAATCAACGTCTTGCGATTGAAAATTCAATCACAGATTTTTATTTTTTAAATGAAAAATATTGAAAGATAAATTTAATGTAAGTATTTGTTAGTCAGGCTGACCTCTTGATAAATTCAATGTAAGTATTGAAAGATTTTATGTACTGTAGCCTGGCCAACCTATTTACTAGCCTAAGTCGACCCATGTTGTGTATCTTCGTAAATGTGTACCAAAAAGGTAAACAAGTTAATTCACTTGCATCCCTCCGTCCCCAAACTTTTCATCACCTCATTTTTACTTCATCTCATGGCTTAGATCAAGAGGACTGCGGATCAGGCGACTATCTCTGAAGAAGTTTCATGAAGGACAATATATGAAACTTTTTAATGAAAATAATTCCAAAGAAACTAGAACAACTAGACAATCATGCACTCTACAAGTTTAATTGCCCGGATCATGACAGAAGGCTTCTTCCTCATCACTGTTAGTCCTGTAATTGGATCTTCTCTCGTACATCTCATTCCAGAAGGCAGAACGGCGTTGCATTCCGAACTCTTCTCTGATCATCACAATGCAGCCATCCCAAACTACAAACGTTGTTCTCCTGTCATCCAGCCCAGAATTTTGGTAGTGAGGTCTTCGCCACAAACTGATCATTTGTCCCTACTACCCTGTTATTATGAATCTGCTAGAATCTCTGTCGCAAATCAACACTGCTCCTGTTGATCTGCTGCTGATAATTTTCTATACTCTCATCTTTTTACATTTGTTGACGAGAAGATTGAAATGGCTTCATCATCAATGAATTCTATATCTCTGAGCGGTATAATCGTGAATTTGATTGGCAAGAATTACCTCATGTGAGCACATACCGGAGTGTGTTGGGGCTCCAGGCGAACCCTAACATCTCATAGGGTGGACGATATGAAGTGAAGAAATAGTAGAACATATCTCAGAAAGATAGACGGCTTTACACAGTAATCGTAAAGAAAGACAAAAGTACACCTTTGACTGAGGGTTCTGGTCGAGAAATTATCTCCACAAAATAAGAGGAATCTCTTCCTTGTCGACTGACATGCCTGTTGCATGAAAAGATTGTGTGCTAATATTAGTTATCGTTAAAGCATACCGTATTCATCTGAGAGCAATCGGGACATAAATCTAAGGTGTTTTCTGTCTATTTACTTCTTCATGACATGCCTTTGCCTACTCCTGACAGCTCTGTTCAAGATTTTCATCAGAGAGACAACACAATGGCCTACTCATGTGCCCACGGATTTACTAACGTTTGTTGGACACTCTCTTCCCTTGTCTCCTGTATCTCTTAGATCTTGATTTACCAAGTATTGTCCAAAAGATAGTCAGGCATGGACTAAAATAGTATCCCTTTTTTTTAGTTCATTCTTTCAGCGGTTTGTACTTTCCTTGTCATCTGTTTCAAAAAAACAGGCTGAGTTCTTCGCGGCCAAGGTATTTAGGAATTGTCTACGCGACCTACTAATGCTTCTGGCCTGCCAATGGTGGGTCTTTACTGTACACTATCAACCTGATGAATCTACCAACAGATTCAAAGCTCAATTAGTTGCAAAGGGCGAAATATCTTTGGCACTTTTTCTCAAGTGCCATGTGTCACCTCAATTAAATTGCTCTTGTGTGTTGTTGTTAATCAGCATTGGCTTTTAATTTCATGTCAAAAAACAAAATATTCTATGGTGAACTCAATGAGGCAGCATTAGAGGAGCAACCACCAGGATTTATAAATTAAGGAGAAACAGCATGTGTGTGCAAGCTTAAGAAAGCGATGTAGCCTTCGGTAGATGCTCAAGTGTAGCTCAAGATGTTCAGTCAAGCAATTTTGGCAGCAGATTTTTCAAAGAGTCCTCCTGATCACCCCGTGCACCTCCACTTTTATTGTAACTCACAATGTATACGCTGAAGATATTCTTCAAAATAAGTGATATTGTAGGCCAGAAGGAGACCAATCAACATCTTAAAAAGGACTGCTTCCCAGACTAGTCATGTTTAAAATAGTGTCCCAACTAGGTATTACCATTGTGTTGGAGAGATTAGATAATTTATAGGGATCCTACCCAATGTTACAGGGAAACATCTGTTGTTTAGGGTACTATTGCTTTTTCCAATTCAAGCTACGCAGGATCAAGAGTGAAAGACAAAGTAATTGTTTTTCTCGAAATCATAATTTTTTTCACTCCCAACAAATATGAAGAACAACCTGCAGGCTTGATTGTTAATCCCACGAGTCATCTTCCTTTACCTTTTTTATGCAACACACTAGATTTGCTTGATTCGTACGCCCCAGCTACTTCGATTCTATATTCGTCAAGTCCACAACTCTCTACGATGGTACACTCTTACCTCATATTTAAACACGTTAATTGACCTTCGCACACTATGATTATTGAACTTTGCAACATTAGCAATCTAACAATGTGGCATTCGTTATGTGACGCCCAACGATTGCAAAAAGGGCCCCCTTCCGTTATGGCAGATGAAGACAATAATAATGATGATCGCCCCCCCTGCATCCATCCTTGATACTCCACCCCTCCCTGTTGCCTAACCATCCACACTCCCGCAAGCCCCTCGCTTCAATCCTTGAGCCCAAAATGTAGTATTAGCTTCAGAAAGCAGTCATAAAGAAACATAATGCGATGGCTGATGGCTTTCATCAGCTTCCTTCTCGTAGCCTACTCTAAAAGCTCCCCACAATTCTCTCCCACTACTGGTTCACGTGCTGTTCATTCACCACAAGAACTGCATAGTCTGATAAACCATTTAGGCAGCTAGGCTCACCAAATTACATGTAAAATTAGTTTTTTTAGGGGAGCTACCCTACGCCCCACCACAAGTACAAACCATTTTCTCACAGTTTGCAGTAGCCTAGTCCGATTTGAATCGTCTTCTGCTCTTGACATCTTTTGTCGCCTAATTTGTTTTCTAATTGACAGCATTATTCGGTTTGATATGTCAACTTGTGTATCCTTACTTTGTCCTACACAAATGCACACCTTCAATAAAATCCCTAGCCAAGGCTGACCTAAATGATTTGGGCTTCCGGGTCACCTTATCAACCATCCAATCACTTGAAAACTACACTTTCAATATGATTCTAAAATAAGTTGTAATTAGAAAAAACAAGGAAGACTCTAAAACACAGATAGGAAAACATACTCTAGAAGAAGGAAACAAGATGAAGGCATAGTTCCGCCAATTATATAAGTTTCAGTATTTTTTGGCATTCTGCCTTTTTTCGAAGCATGGAAGAATTTAAGAGAATATATAGTGGCTAGACTTTATATTATACATAAATTGGCATGGACCATGATAGTAATCATTTCCAAAATTCAGAAATTCACACTGATCACATATATGATTATCAGTTCCTACAAGTACAAACTGAAAAGGAAAATATGTATCATATTCAACCAAAAAGTTTTCGAACAATCAGAGATTTTACAGTAACAAGTAATTTGACAAATATAATCTGACAGCATGGTTTTGAAAATAGATAACACCACCGTCCACAAGGCATTCAAAAATCATAGCAAATGTTTACATGATTACCAACCTTTCCTCAGATAGTCCATTTTTCTGTTCATTCTCTAAGTTATCCATAGAATTGGTAAATTGGAGGGAGAAATTTTCGTCCTTTTTCTCGAGGAACTACAAAAAATGTAAGAACGTTCATTTGCTCGTTAGTGAATGAGAATAAAAAGCGTCAAAATGTAAGGTCTTTTCAGGGGAAAATAACACGGAACAACCGAGAATATACCATTTTAAAGCTTAAGCCTTGCTGGCTATTTGTTTCTCGTCTATCAATCAATAAAGTGGAGGTACCTTCTGACCTTGCGAGAAGGTCTATTGCTTCTTCCGGTAATTGATCTGAATGCACGTTTCTATGACGAAGTATATCCCCACAAACATTTAAGAATGGGATGACGCCATCAAATGTTAATGGGGCATTAGAAACATCAGATACAGATAATAAATTGCTTTCTGGGGAAACATATTCAGATAGATTAAGTAATGATCTCTCATTAATTTCCCAACGTCCCCAGTCTAGTGGACTGATGTCATCCTGCAGTATCAATAACACATGTTGTAATTCAGAAAGCAAAATAACAACGAAAAATTGACAGGAAAGCCATAAGAGTTTCAAAAATTAGCCTCAAGCACCTGGAGCATCACAGAAACATGTATGGGGCGGCCACAAGCTACCAAGTCCTCTTCTGGTGCAGAGTTATAGCTCTTGTTCAATTTAGAAATGAGTGAAAATTCGGAGACTTTCTTTGTTTTCCAACGTGAGAAAAATGGATGAATCAGCCTCATCTCTTCAGGAGCGTTGTCATTTCCCTGCAACAAGACAGTTAAAAATTTGAGTTTCGTCCATAGATATAAGTAAACTGAGACTCATTTTATATTCCTCGTGAAACCCAGCCAACCCCGACTTCCCACCGCATATAAGGGAGAAGTCCCATGGAACTTTTAAGGATCACTTTACACAAGAGACCAAATAAGCTCATAAGCTCCAGTTGACTAACCCGAACCTTAAATTTGATTAATCATTGATTGTTTATGAACTTGAATAGAAAAATAATGAAGAAAAGCGACCATTTATTAGATAGATACTCTTGAAAAATGCCACCAAAATTACAATGCGCGGGACCGCTAACCCAAGTTAGACCTAAGCTCATACCTGCACCTAATCAAACAAGTGGGCCATAACTTTTCTAAGGAATACCCAAAATATAACTTTAGACAAAAAACCCTCAAATGAATCCTCTTTTATTATCTGACACTTGGAAAGAGATAATAGATCTTAGTAGCAACCATTCAGTAGGAAAAATTAAAATATAGTTACACAAGCAAGGAACTTAGCCTAATGGATAGTAATGGCAGGATAAGTAATACATCGTTATCAGTTACACAAGCTAGAACATAAAATTCCGGCATAAACTCTGACTAGGGCAGGGTACGCGCTAAGCCTCACACTCACTATAAAGCATAACATTGATCGAGCATTCCTCAAACTGAAGATTAGTCATTTAATAAGTCAGCTCTCCCCTCCAGTAGCAGGACAAAAAGTAAATTTTGATGCCCAATACTCTCTTTTCCAATGAAGCGCTCCATAAATTAATTAACAGCTAAGCCAAACTCGACATGAAGATTGTGAAACATTTTAATGTACAGCCGATATTTTCAAGTTATAGGATGTTGATGAAAATTCTGATAGGAAGAGGTTCTCTAATTAAAATTGGAAATCAGCCCCATACCATGGCTCATAGCCATGGACCCTTCTTCATGAAGCAGAGGACTATGTCACAGGTGATTTACTCTCCCCTGGGCTTACACATCACAGATGAGGTAACACTCCACATCAAGCAAAGGCCATCGTCGAAATTGCTGACAAGTAAATTATACCGAGAACACAACAATATTCTCTGACAAATCCATGTCATTTCCAAGGCACAAATTCTTGTTATTCTTTCAATTTCCCAAAATGGCTATCAAGAATGTAGTTCCCGGTAGGATATCGTGTGTAACAACACAATGGATATCTTCTTTGTTCAGCAGAGAATTGTCATAGCACGGAAATTCAAGTCCATAGCAGTCACAATCCAAACCATAAACAACATTACTGATCCACTGAAGAAAGAGGAAGAGGTATAAGCTGTCAGAACATAGCACAGTAAGTCAGTTACCACTGTGCACACAAGCACTCCTGAGAACAAATACAATTTCTCAAAAATTAACATACACTTAAAGTCTATTCATTCTCTGGTGTAGAATTCAGAGACGACAAACTTGATACTGAGCTTTTATTCCTCGTTAGCCTACGCTAAGATAGCTAAAAAGTTAAGTAGAGGGAAGCCCACATCAATGCAGAAATCTTGTCCAGCAACATGTGTGATAATTTCATGGGATTACAGAACAGTACCCTTCTCCTTTCAACTTCATGAGTATTCCACAAAAAATTCTGGACATCCAATGCTTTTAGGGCAACGACGTGAATCGACACAGTGGTCAAAACATTCTCAAAACATGACAAAATTATTTAAGATACTAATTATTTAAAATTAAAATGAAATAAAATATGAATAATACATTTCTTTAATATTAAATTTGTGTTTTAGTATTCAATTTTTAAATTAATTTACGTCAATTAGAGAAAATATGGACTAAAAATGGAATGTTGAGATTTGTTATGTTGTGCCCATCGGATACAACTGTGTTACAAACTCAAACCCCATTTAAGAACAGATCGGCGCTAGACATCAACAACCAACGACTCTTTCGTGATTCCCTCCTTTTGTTCACAACTTGCATAGTCACTCAGCGTAATGTCATAGTAGAGACCACAGAGATAAGCCTATGATTACGAAACTGAGTCTGCTCCATTAATTACCTATACACTTTAACAAAAAAATTATTTCTACACTCCCCAATTCTTGCAGTGCCACCCTCTACATCTTCACCACTTTATCTCAGAAAAGTCTTCTTTCAATTGGCTTTAATTTCATTGACAGTGTTTACAGGGTTCTAGATTTCCACCATAACGGAACTTATATTTCTTCCCACCAGCAACAATTTTCTGCAGTAAGTTCACAGAACCCTGAGATGAGCAGGTTTCTCATCTCACATGATTAATGGCAAAGCAGCAGGGTTAACCCCCCTCCTTTCAATGCTCATACACAAAACTAGTCAAAAACAAATCTAAGAATATCTAAGATTATTTACACGAACACGAATGACAGAGGGAAGAATATCTAAGATTGTTCGCAAGTAGAGACACACATTTAAATTATTTAACAAATAATAAATTTCTGAATTACAAAAGATGCATAGCAAAAGTGATGGATCAAAGTGTACCATCTCATTCCGTGAACGTGTGCAAAGATCCATACTTGACTTATGTTTGTCAAGTTCTTGGAACCCGGGATCCTTTGAACTTGTCTTCCCACTGTTTAGCCACCATCTAGTAAGTGATTCCTTTCGGTCGCTAGGCAACAGGCCTTTACATGGATGAAGATCTACCTTTTGCATCTCCATTTTTTCATAGCTCTTCTTACCTTCAGAAAATCAGAGTTTTATAGATTCAATGTCGTTTCTTCATATTCAATGAAAGGTAAGTGAAATGTTTAGGCTAGTTTACATTGGAATTTCATGTGAAAACAATAGAAGAAAACCGTCCATCATGAAATGTGTAAATCCAGAAAGCAATTTTATCTTCGAAATTCAGACAAAGCTATGATACTAACAACAGTACGTGATTCACATCTCACTAAACTATCTTCGTCCTTGCTTTATATTTATTTAAATGCCCCACTTAGTGAAAACTATTTAAATGATTATAGCGAAGCGCATCCATATCATCTGATAGAATCATTTCTTAGGGTTAAGAAGAGACAACCCAGGGAGTTAAATCCTTGCATAAGTGTACAATGTAGAGTATTCCCGGAGTTTTATACAAGGAGATTCTTTTGGCACTAGCAGATCCAGTTGAGAAACTTAAATCCAATGAGTAAAATAGTAAGCCCTCAGATAAACAAGCATGCGATAGATGTCCGCAGGATTACACAGTAATCCTGCGGAATCTAGAGTGCAATGTATGCTACAAAAAATCTGATGTATATACTTATGTTGGAAGAAGAGATAGAAACTCGATTTATATATGAACCTACCTCTACTAAGATAACTCACTTCTACATCCTAAAATGAGTTTTCACTGAAAGAAGGATAAATCCAAAAAGGCTCAGATACAATGTACATAGTATAAAATGCCTGGGAATTCTTAAATACTATTCTCACGAGGAAATTTCAGAAAATTGCATTGAAAATTAATCCATTCGATTTTATAAGAGGTAGTTTTCTCAACTAAGGTATTTTTAAGTTTATGGGTGCTTAGCTAACCTTAGAAATAACAAATTACATGAATAGACAGAAAGAAACAACCATAATTCTTGAAATAAATTTATTAATTGCATTATTTATAGCATTATGCGACACATACTACCATCTCCTGTTGTTTCCATGACATCTTCCTGCTCCATCTGATGCTTATGTTTCAGCTTTTTCTCTGAAACCTTCTGAAAGAAGTCAGATCCTACCAAGATGAAAAGGAAATGTCACCTAAATCATGTGCCAGAGAAAAAGGTCGGTATTTCATTCAGTTCAAACTTATGTCATCAAAATGCTCAGAAATCTGGAAGAATAGAGGAAAAACCCTAATGACAGTCCACTAGCCTAATTGACAGGTTAGGATGAAACCAGTTTTAACACCACAACTGACAAGGGTATGTGGCCGTAAAAAAATTTCAAAGAATTTGTTATGGTATTCGTGTCCAATACTTACCATTACCAACCATGGGTAACGATCTTTTGTTTCTGGTATTAAATCCAACAGAGCTTTTGCAGGTCACTGGAACCTACGAAAGAAATGAGATAAACTGTTCAGTAAGGATAAACAACCACGAGATACAAAGCATAGTACCATGAGAAGCAAGTGCATTCCCCATCGTAAGACGTAGACTAATCTAATACTGGATGGTTGTCTTCCTGCTCTATTGAAGCTTCTTTATAATTCACGGCAAAGATAGCCTACAATTTCCTTTGTAGGATCAGAAATTTTGCGCCTAGAAGAACATTCAAAAATAAACCAGATCAAAGTTGGAGAAAAATTGGCACTAATATATGTGCAGAGGTGAGCGTCACAAGAGCCCCAACAAATATGGTTCAGGCATGTCCTACTAGACTATATCCCCAGTAAGAATTGAGACTCGAAAATAATCAAATATATATGAAGGCTAAGGCCTATCAAATGATTAGTTTCAGTCTTACTTTACAGCTTGATGATATGCATCTCTCACTACGTAATATACCATTTATTTTTACCTAGTCTCCCTAGTTTTTTTCATTAATTTTACACAATTGTGTATCTTTACACAGATAGCACTCAAGATCGTGATTTTCTTGGGCGCCCGTTTTTATAAGAAATTCTCCATATGATTGAACACAAAATAGGCATACAAAGGCAAATCTCTACAATTATCTATAGATATGCAAAAGATGGTGTTAACAGTGGATGATTAAAAAGTATCAAAATGTTTGGTAGCTTGATATTCATTCTACTTTGGGACTTGAGTGGTGAAAGTAGCTACCATAATATTCACGGCCAAAGCTGGTTGGGAGAAATAAGTTGGACGCACACTCATTACTAATGTACCGAATTTGAGGATCTCTTAAGAAATGGTGCATGAAATCCAATTCAACAGAATAAACATAAATCGCAATTATCTTACAATCCACAGACACTACCAAGAAAAACACATTTTTTAAATAACAAATAGATGAGGAATTGATAAAAGTGCTGTTCACAGTAGTATACAATATTGGCTGTCAACCGATCTAAAACGGTTATTTTGGTAATAGATGATACCAAACAGATTTATTATAAACATTGGCGTAGCTTTACGTTGAAAAATGGGAAAAAAAATGGCCAGCTCAAATCACAGTCAGCCAAAGTATTCAAATTCTTTAATACTGCATTATATTCAAATTCTTTAATACTACAGTCAAATTCTTACATGGCTTTCTAAATATCAAGAAAATTCTTACTAATTGAATTATTATTTTGGGACTAAACGCATCATTACATTTTCTTCGGAGGTGTCACTGTATGGTTAACTCTACAAGTAAAAATCTCCATTCGTCCAGACAAATTAAATATCTAATCTCATCAGACAACCTAACGTCTTCATCACTCGTCACAATTGCATCCCATTAACTTCAGCACAAACGAGATCATGCTATCTACGTACACCTATTGTGTAGGCCCATCTTAGGGTTACTACTTCACACATTCTGCCTGAATTCTTGTAACGCCTTCAGCCACCCACGTTTTAGGATCAAAAACTAAAAGCAAAGCCAGCCTCTACATAGCATGCCCCTTCCAATACATGAGCGGCAATCTCCAGCTTCAATTTATGGATCAATTAAATGAAGAGGCACCGCCCTTCTCATCCATTAGTGGGGACTTCTCTCGTCAGTTTTTGCACTAGTTAAGTGGTTACGTGATTCAGCTTAGTTTTCTTACTTAATTTTCCTCCCACAAGCGATGTCATTACAATTTCCACAATCCCTCAGTTTGTGTCACCCATATCCCATATCATGGTTACTTCTTCCAGGCATTCTCCTTCAGGTTTTCAAACTCTTTAAATCTAGTGTCCTCAAAGTAGAGAACAAAGAAACTCAACTAACTCAAGATACTAACCCAAAACCACATCCTTGATCTCATCAGCTCATCTACAAGCCGACTACCAATCTCAGGCTTACCACCCCATTGTCACTCCAAATAAGATGGGGGTGGTCAAGACCCCACCAGGTGACCAAGCCTAAATGCCAGTCTACAACAACCCCTTATAAGAGGAACGTTGCCTTCTGTGGCATAAGAGAGAATGTCCAATTGTGAGTGTGCGAGAGTGCTACAGCTCCTGGTAATCGGCACTTTGCATCCCGTGGCATGAGTAAGTCCAAGTGCGAGTGCACTACAGCCACCGAGGGAACTCTCAACTGTCCTCTAAAGTGACCGTAGACTCTAGCGTCCCCTTGCGTGCTCATCCAACCCAATAAAAAGGTGTGCCAAATTCATTCATGATATCCAGGTCTACGTAACCATTTCATTTACTACGGAAGGAATCATTTTTTCCGAATTTGTAGCATGATAACTAATTCCTAAGGGCCGAGAAAATAAACTCAATGCCACAGCGACATTCAAATATGTAATTCACATAGTAACCCTTTAAATAATATTTTCAACGATACGAATCAAAAAAATATTGAACTGTAATGTCTGACGAAGTAGAATGAAATTACACGTCGATGAACATCGCTGAAATAAGTCCGGGAAGGCAATTCGAAAAAATCTACCTTGTTTGCTGTCCCGGACCGAACCTTCCTCCTAGGTTTCCTCTTCCCTTCATCTTCACTCCACGAAGATTCACCATCCTCCTCTTCCTCGTCCCCTCCACCATCGCACACACCCCCCCGTGTAGGCAAGTAAAAATTGATCTTCTTCTGCACGCATCCCCTGGATGTTCTCCTTGCCACCCGGTGAGGACCCCCGCCAGAGATCCCGACGATCTCCACCGCATCCGCCTCTTCGTCTCCCGCCTGGCGTTCCATCTCGCCAGATCCACGCATCTCTCATACGAAGAGACGCCAAAAATCTAGCAGAAAAGAGTGATCCTAGGGTTCGCCCGTCCCCCTGCCCGAGATACCCGGCACGAGGAGTAAGCATATGGCGAAAGGAGGATGAGAGAGAAAATCGAGGACGATGAACAAATTTGGCGCGAAAGAAGAAAAACAGAAACTGTGGTCGTCAACCACGAGTTTTTTCCCGCGCTACCGCCTCTCTCTCTCCTCTCTCCTCTCCCCTCTCTCCTCTCCCCTCTCTTCTCTGCTCTCTCTCTCTCTCTCTGGCTAGAAAACAGAAAGGAGTGGTCTCTGTCTCTCTCTCTCTCGCTAGAAGCGGATTTAGGTATCGGATTTGAGATAAAATCCGAACGCGGGATATTCTCAGGTTTTTCAGCCAGCTGTAACCCAACAGCGACCACTCCCCCAGCCGCTTTGGAAAAGAGAACGGCCGCTGCTATTCTTCTCCCCTTATTCGTCTTGTTCCACCCCATTTGTTCCCAATACAGGCGTCAGGGCGTCGCTCCGCTCGGTGACAAGATTGGGTTAAACGAGAAAAGACCGGCGTGAGAGTATCATACTGAAAATATTCTCTCTCCCATCAATACGAAGGCAGACCCAAAATCTACGCCTACTGCAAGGCAGCCAGTAGCTTTACAATACTACAACCAATTGAGGATTGCCACGTCTTAAAAAGGAGCATTCTTACCCTGCGGACGGGGTTCTTTACGCACCGCGGCGGAGAACGTTCTGGAAGAGGTCTTTCGTATCGCAAGCCGACAAAACTCTCCGCTCTGCTCTTTACCCTCTCTCTAGATTATCTCTCCTCCGGACCGTTGCCATGCCCCGTCCTCTCCCTCCAGAAAGCTGTCGAAGACGACGCCCGAAGTCCCAGAAGGTAAGGAGGGAGGAAGGAGAAGAAGCAGAGAGCAGGAAGAGGAAGGAAAAACCCTAGACAGCCGCGGATGGCCGTCTTCCTCTTCCTCTTTCTTTTCCTCCTGCTGTGCTCAGCTCCGCGGCTCGGGTTCTGCAAGTCGACCATTGAGCCCTGCAATGGCTCCGAGGCCTGCCAGGCGCTCGTCGGCTACACGCTCTACGCCGATCTCAAGGTCTCCGAGGTTGCCGCTCTCTTCCAGGTCGATTCCATCGCCCTCCTCGCCGCCAACGCCGTGGACGTCTCACTCTCCGACGTCGAGAACCGCATTCTCCCCGCAGGGATCTTCCTCCGCGTCCCCGTTGTCTGCGCCTGCGACGACGGCATCCGCAAGGTCATCTCCGTCCGCTACCGATCCCGTCCCGGCGACACGCTCGCCTCGATCGCCGGCGCCGTCTACTCGGGCCTCGTCACCGCCGACCAGATCCAGGAGGCCAACGGCATCTCCGACTCCGGCGCGGTGGACGCCGGCGAGAGCCTGCTGGTGCCGCTCCCTTGCTCGTGCTTCAACTCCAGCGACAACTCCCTCCCGGCCGTGTACATGTCCTATGTCGTGAGGGAGGGCGACACGGTGGCGGGGATCGCCGCCGCCTACTCCACCACCATCTCGGATATCATGAACGTCAACGCCATGGCCAGCCCCTCTGTGAAGCCTAGCGACATTCTCGCTATCCCTCTTCCCGGTAAGAGAAATGTTTCTTGCCGTTGCAATTAGGTTCAGTAAACATCAACGTGCGCCACGTGCTTCAAATATATTTCTTCTTCTCTCCGTCATTTATTCTCTCTCGCATGGAGCTCGGTGGCTGGATTTTCGATCTCCCGTTCAAGAAGACGTCCATCTATTGACTGATTCCCGTCTTGAAATCCGCAGCCTGCATCTCGTCATTCCCCAGGTTTTCCTCCGACTTCGGCCTGATCGTGGCCAACGGGAGCTACGCCATCACAGCGAGCCACTGCGTTCAATGCAGCTGTGGCCCCGGAAACCTAAAGTGATCAGCCTCCTTCTCTCTTCCTCTTCGCCTGGTTTTCCCCAGCTGACCGACTGGCCATCTTCTTTGGCATGTAGCCTGTACTGCACTCCATCGCCATTGGCCGTCTCCTGCTCGAGCATGCAGTGCAGGAACAGCAACCTCATGCTCGGAAATGTCACCTCCCAGCCTACCAGTGCTGGCTGCAACGTCACCTCCTGCACCTACGGCGGCCTCGTCAATGGATCCATCGTCACCTCGTGAGCTCTCTCTCTCTCTCTCTCTCTCTCTCTCTCTCTCTCTCTCTCTCTCTTCTGTGACGATGTTTTCGTTGTAAATGTTTTTTCAGGTTGACCACATCTCTACAACCACGATGCCCTGGTTAGCCTAGGGCTCGAGCGAGCTTAATTTCAATTATCTATTTATTTACTTAATTATTTATTTATCTTGGGGACGAACTGGTGCAGGGCCGCGTGAGTTTCCCGCGTTCATCCCTCTGCCCTCCGCGCTCCCCCACGGCTCCTTACTCGCCCCGTCCCCTTCGCCCCCCCATGCCGGCGCCGCCGACGTGATCGCGCCGCCCAAGTCGTCGGTGCCGGCGACGGTGGCCCTCCCCGGCGGCTCCCCCTCGAACAGCGGCCCTGCCGGAAGCATCTCCGGCGACCAAACGGCGGCGGCGCCGCCTCCCACGGCGGCGTCTTCGCCGCCGCTCCTCCTCCTCGCCATGCTATGCCTCGCCGTCGCCCCCAGAGCCTTCATTCCGTAGCCGGTGAGTCTTCTGTGCCTGATCCTCTTATGATTACCCCGTTTTTTGGGCGATTTTGTGGGCGGGGAGAATTAAACCAAATCAGCTATTCAGATTGTTCGAGGACTCCGTTGGTTGTCTCCTGCGAATTTGTTCTTGATTTACTACGCTGGTTCTAGAGAGAGAGAGAGAGAGAGATGGGGAGTGATTGGCTAGAGGCTTCCATAGGCTGAGCCTCTCCTAAATATACAAACTGAAAAGAGCGAGGAAAACAGCAAGCACCATGGAAGGAGAGATCGGTCGCGGCCGATCTGCGTCCTCTGGAAAACTCCATGGAGAACAGAAGAGAGAGAGAGAGAGAGAGAGAGAGAGAGAGAGAGAGGAGCAGAGAGGTTCAGCAAGAGTGGAGAGAAGAAGAAGAAGAAGAGCGAGGAGAATGGTGGTGGTGGTGGGAGTGGGACTCCTCCTTCTCGATGAGCCAGCGGAGGTGGAGGAATTCGTCCACGGAGCAGGGAAGGATGAGCGGCCCGGAGGAGGGGTAGCCGTAGAGCTCCTTAGCGGCCTGCAGCAGCCTCTCGAACTGTGGGTGGTAGAGGTAAGATATCGGCATGGTGAACCGCCTGAACCCTCCCTCCCCTTCCTCCCCCACCCTCACCGCCATCCACCCCTTCTTCACCTTCCCCTTGCCCTTGCCCTTCCCCTCCATGCCCCCCAAACCTTCCTATCAGAAGATGATAATGATGAGATTGTGCTGAAGAAGATCTCTTGTAGACTCCGCAGCTGTGACTGGGCCTCCTCCGCCAGTTATATATATATTAGCGGAAGAAGGGGAGAGCGGGGGGTGGTGGTGTGGAAAGGGAAGTTTGGAAATTCGGTTGTCCTCGCCGGCTACGGATTTCCGAACCCACCGGAATCGCTTTACAGGAAATTTATACAATCGGAGGCTTAAATTCATTTATTTTATTTGAACCCTGTTTAAATTTTAATTGGCTAACGTCGTGTGGTCTTCCCATTCGAAGGGCACCGAGTGTAAAAATGTTACGAATGGTATCACACGCTGAAATATCCAAAAAATATATGCTAAGATGCGCGCGCCTCCTTCCCGTTGGCCTTTCCTGTTAGCAGGATTCCCTTCCTCATCTCTGCTTTTGGTATTGCAGCTTTCTCTCTCTAGAATATCCTTCATCTTCTGAGACTCTCTCTCTCTCTCTATCTCTCTCTCTATCTCTCTCTCTCTCTAGCTAGATATTATTCTCCACACTCCGACTCTCATTTTTTAGTTTTTCCGCTATGTTTTCGTGATATACATCACTTTTCTTCCCCCTCGTTTATATGTTTTTATATTTCAGCCAGTAGACCCTCTCTAGATTCTCCCTCTATAACTCATGTCCTATAAATAAGATTTATATTTATCTCCCTATGCATATTTACATTTCCTCTCTCTCTCTCTCTCTAACATCTCCCTAAAATATCCTTCATCATCAGAGACTCTTTCTCTCTCTTCAGATTATTCTCCACTTTTTGACCCCTATATCTTACTTCTTCTATATTTCTGTGGTGGGCTTCTCTCTCTTTCCCCGCTCTCCGTTTATTTACATTTATACTTCTTCTAGTGTACCCTCTCTCTTTATTCTCTCTCCAGAATATAAATTTTCTACAAATAAGGTAAAACACTTTTAAACTCTCTCTCTCTCCTCCTGGGTGAGGGCGGATACGATGGAAACGTCCCTAACTTTCTCGTCACCTTTTCCCGCCTTGTGGCTCCTACGATGGGTGGGGATCCCCATAGGCGGTGACCATATCCGGAATGTATGTGACCCCGGTGGTACTCCCCCGGCCGGCCCTTTGGACGGTCGCTTTATGCCGCCCCTTCCTCCGAGATGCCGACACCGCCCGGTAACGAGAGGACCTCAATGCGCCGCGAGCATTGGACCAGGATGCCGTTAGGCGGTAGTGGAGCACTCCCCGCCTGTCCCAAGACTTTCCCAGGAGGGGTCGGCTAGGCTTGCTAAGTCCCATGGTACAAATTAGTGCAATAAAATGAATCAGATGCACTGGCAATGTGAACTTCTCCGATAATACTACGTAATTCGTGGTGGGCATCTCCATTGCACAAGCTCAAAGCCAATTTTTTTCAGGGCTTAGTCCTCAATATCATGCTCAAGATTGCTCTCTCTCTCTCTCTCTCTCTCTCTCTCTCTCTCCCTCTTCTTAAAATGGGCCACAGAGAAGGTTGGACTAGCATTCATAAGTGAGAATTTAATCGGGGACTAAAGCCTGATAGTGGGCCCACGGGCCACTTTGGGCCCAAATTGGGTGGGGGAAATCTGTTCAAAGAGTGATCATTGACTTTGTTGCGCATTAGGTAGAGACTGTGTGTAGTTTCCAGCTGTGATTTGAGACTTGAGAATTGAAAAGTGGGTTGAACCCACGTGTCCAAAGTCAACGGATTGATCAAGTATCTTCCAAATCCTGCAGGAGATTGAAGGAAGATGCAAAAAGAAAGCTCCAAGTTTAGATCTCTTTAAGATCTGGTGTTTGACCCAGCTTGGACCTATATATAGAACTGAATGGAGAGAGAGAGAGAGAGAGAGAGAGAGAGAGAGAGAGAGAGAGAGTAGCAGTTTGAAGAAAAATAGGGTTTTATTAGTTGAATTTACAATTTCTTATAAATGGTACCCATTTTTAAGGGTAGTCGTGATTATAAATAGTAATTTTTATTTTACATTGTCATGTGTTTATTAGAGAGATTGATTTTATTGAAGTCCTGTCACAGAAGACAATTCGCTAATATCGCAATTAAGGGCATAGTACTGAATACGGAAGATGTTGAGGGAGAAATGTAAATTCTCTCTCTCCTGCCGGCGGAATAGAACGGAAAGGATGCCCTTTCTAAAGTAATGGCCATGGTTTCGCTGGGGCCCGCAGTACACCTCCTCGAGTGGGCCCAATAACTTTGGCTCCGGCCCAATAATTCCACATTCCGCCGTGACGGCAGCATCCAGCCCACCAGTCCCCGCCGACCACGACAAACCTTTGGACCCAAAAAAGAGAAGCTCATAAAAATCTACCCAACGCATCTCTCTCCCTCTCTCTCTCTCTCTCTCTCTCTCTCTCTCTCTAGAGGGGGGCGCAGGTGAGGACTTCATGGTGGTCTACTGTTGACCCATCTTCACATCTTGACTCCACTAGGCCTGGGCTCACCTTCTAAAAGACCCTAATGAAGGTCCATCTGGTCCTATACGGACCATATAAGTTATTCTAGGAGAGAGAGAGAGAGAGAGAGAGAGCTGAAGAAAGTTGCCACATACAATTTATTCAAATTTTGGTACAATTACTCTGCATCTATTGACCCATGTATGAGCCCATCTCATTGCCATGTGTCAATTTCACGATGACCCATATGGCAGCTGACCTTTTCTCTATCTAAGATGTGTGCATAAAGGAGTTAAAGCAAGGACATCAAACACAAGGTCCATCTGAAACGCCATCACCCACATGTTTCTCTGGGACCAGCCTGACCGATTGACTCCACCTTTCCATTCCTTTCTGATTGTCAAACAGTCTCCTAAGCTCCCATGTGGCCCAATCAAAAGGCTTCTCCTTAGAAGGCCTCATAGATTGTACTGAAGAGTACAACCTCCTCTTGTTCATCATCATCCTTATCTTGTCAGCATATTCCATGGAATTGTACTCGTATCTATTACCAATGTGGGCCCATATCATATTTATTCATTTCTTTCTCCAACATAAATCACCAAGATTTCTAGCTCTCTTACTCATCAACACCATCCTAGGTCTCTCAGAACCTCCACTTGTTCATCATCCTTATCTCTTCAATGTATTCTATGAACTCTTATTCTTTGTCTACTATCAATGTGGGGCTCATATAACATTAATTCATTTATTGCTCCCAAAATAAATCATCCAGATTTCTAGGTCTTGTACTCCTCAACATCATGCTCTTCTTGTTCATCATCATCATCATCATCATCATCATCCTTATCTCTTTAATATATTCTATGAAATCATATTATCTATCTCATTTCAATGGCATGCTCATATTATATTTATTTATTTTCTGCTCCAAAATGAATTACCAAGATTTCTAGGTCTCTCTTACTCATCGACAACCTCCTAGGTCTCTCACAACCTCCTTTTGTTCATCATCATCATCCTTATCTCTTTAGTGTATGCTATGAAATCATATTCTTTGTCTTATTTTCAATGGTGAGCTCATATTATATTTATTTATTTATCCAACATAAATCATCAAGATTTTTTATTTATAGTTGCCGAAAAACCTCCTAAGTTCCTATGTGGGCCCTAATCTATACTATCCTCTTGAAAGCTAGAACCCTAAAAGGCTATTGAAGGGCTAATAGGTTGTACTAAGGAGTACTGATGGAATGTATGCCTTGTCCCATCCTCAACCCCAGTCTTTGTTGGGTCCTCATGTTCATCATCCTTATCTCATTAGTGTATTCAATGGTGGGATCATATTATATTTATTTATTTATTTGTTGTTATAATATAAATTATCAAGATTTCTAGGTCTTTTACTCCTTGTCAGGAAAACAATTTTATATGGGGAAATCGACGTGATCATCTTAAAAACCATTATTCTTTTTGAAGTATGATAAAAAATATATATATTTGAGAATTAGGAAGGACGCTTTTGGGCCAGATCACCTCAAAGCCCAGGAGATCTGGACCAACCCAGATGAAAAGTGAGACCCGTTCCATCCCATTCCACAAGATCGCCCTATCTATATATATATATATATATATATATATAGAGAGAGAGAGAGAGAGAGAGAGAGAGAGAGAGAGAGAGGGAGAGAGAGGGAGAGAGAGGGAGAGAGAGGGAGAGAGAGGGGGAGAGAGAGAGAGAGACACACACACACACACACATACAGACAGAGACAGGGGATACAAGAGAGAGAGAGGTGATACGTGCACGAAGCCCTCCACCACTCGTTCTTGTCCTGTCGTTTCCCTCAAGTTGGAGAAGGCTCATCATTCACATTTGTCCTGTCGTTTCCCTCAAGTTGACGGAAGGCTAGTCAAACCGACCGAAGGAAAAGAGATGCTGCAATGAATTAGCAGTTCCCATCCAGTGAAAATCTCTTACGACCGTCCGATGGACGAACCTTCTGTTCTCGCGGAGACTTTATAAAAAGGCCAGTCATCGTAGAAGGGTAGCACCATCATGTGGTGTCTACCGTCTTTTCAACCCACAGGAGTGTTGACCTTTGGGTGTTTTCCTGTTGCTGTCCCTCTCTCTCTCTCTCTCTCTCTCTCTCTCTCTCTCTCTCTCTCTCTCTATTGAAACCTCTCCATGTCTCTACATATGCCCCACTATTTGCCACATACCCTCTCTCTCTCAACAATGGCAACATAGAGACCACATCTTTGTCTTTCTCTCTCCTTCTTTCTTAGAGAGAGGGGGAGATAGAGAGAGAGGAAGGGAGGAAGAGAGAGATTAGAGAACAAAACTCGGGCCGTTTGGGGGATGGGCCTGGGCTCATTTGAGCCTATCTCGCGTAACAGGCCAAGAAGATTCGGGCCTATATATCTCGTCTGGTTTCTCTTCTCCGTTGCAGTTGTTGGGCTTTGATGGGCCGAGTGGGCCTGAAATCAGCAACATCCATGGCAAACCTGAAATTCCCGAGAGGATAGTTGACCATACTCCAAGTTGACGTCTTACCCCGCTGACTTTCGTACATACTGACGTCAAAACCCCGCAATAAATAATCGATTTTATTAAATCATGGAGAAAAAAGGGAAAAAAATAACGTGGTGCAATAACTATAACTTCCCCCGGCGTCGTAGCTGCGAGGGGAAGCGCTCACCTTCCTCTCCTCCTCCTTTTCCTTCTTCCTCCTCTCCTCTCTCTCTCTCTAACTCTCTCTCTCTCTCTCTCTCTCTCTCTCTCTCTCTCTCTCTCTCTCTCTCTCTCTCTCTCTCTCTCTCTCTCTCTCTCTCTCTCTCTCTCTAATTTTCTCTCTCTAGAAGACAGAGTGAGGATGATGAAGGGGGGGAAAGGAGTTGGGGATAGGAAGGTACCGGGGAAGAGGGTCGTCCTGGTCGGCTTCTCCTGCTTTCTCTTAGGGATATTATTCACTACCAGGTAATCCTCCTCCTCCCCTCCGCCGCCGTTCCTCCGCCGTGTTTGATTCCCGGCGTTCAGCCCCCGCCCCCCCTCTGCCTACCGTGACATAGCTTCTCGTCGGGTTCTCTCATATTGCTGAAATTTTCAACGAATACCGAAGAAAATAATGGAAAATTTTCTTCATTGGAAAATGAAGAAATTATATTATCTGTTTGTTTCTCCGTCTAAAATGGTTCAGTTCGATATTATTTAGTCTGAATCTGAATTTACTTTTTTTTTTTTTTTCTTTAAGAGGGTACAATTCAGGATGAGAATACAACCGCCATATTGCTGAAATTTTTAACTAATAATAGAAAAATAGCAAGAAATTAGATTTTTTATTTTGTGTTCCTTTAAAAGGCAAAAATTCATTCTTATTTTGTATGGTCTGATTATTATTTTTTACTTTAAGAGGGTACAATTTTAAATGAGATTATATCATCATTGTCCTGAAAATACCACCCCAGACTGCTGAAAAATTTACGAATAAGTAAAATTAACAATAATTTTAATTATTTATTTGTTTCCTCCTGTAATTCGGTATGGATCATAAATGAATAGAACTCGGGATGATATAATCTCATTACATTGATTATTTAACAATAATTTTAATTATTGATTTATTTTATTACTTAAAAAGGGTACAACTCGGGATGAGCTCTAAATAATGAATAGAACGACTAACAATTTACATTATGTATTTATTTATTCCTTATTTTTTGGGCTGGATCATATTTTATTTATCTATTTATTGCTTTATAAGGGTACAATTTAGGACGAGCTTATTCCTTTGTTTAACGGCCTGTACTTTGGAGTCTCCTCTAAAAACCCTGGGCCACCGTTGACCTGTGGGGATGGATGGGTGGCCGTGAATGGGGTAATAAGCGTCTTGCTGCCAGCTAGCAGCCTTTAAACCCGCGATGTGGTTGACCTGTCGCCCCTGGTTCACTTCCCCACGTGGAGGCGTCCTAAGGCTCCACCACCTCACCCAACTAGAAACTGTTCTGGTCCTGGTGGGCCGGGCTTTATGAGCTCGGGCCCACCATGCTACACGTGGGCCGTATTCTCTATCTAGGATGGGCCTGCATGCCTTAATGAGCCGGAATGGCCCTCAGGCCATTCAATACAAAATTAAGAGAGAGAGAGAGAGAGAGAGAGAGATTCCTCTCTCTACATCTTGGAGGCCATTCTTCACCGCTAGTTCTACTAAAAATTTTGGGCTTTGATCTTCAGGCCGGCCCAAGCCCGGCCCACTCTGAATTTAGTTCTAAAAAAAATGGAGGAACATACTATCGGCCAAAATTGTTAAATTTAGAAAGGATGCTATTTAAATATATTATTTAACAAATACTTATAAATATTTAACTACTGAAAAAGATGGACGATAAAACTTTGAAAATCCGATGGGTTCTTGTCGATCCCGCCACGAGCAGGTTCATCGGCTACGGGGGCGGCGGCGGCGGCGGGGAGGCGACTGGGCAGATCCTGCTGCAGCGGCGGCTGGAGCAGGAGAGAATCCAGATCATCCCGGAAGATTGCGGCCACAGTGAGGTGAGCCTGTAGAACGGACGATGCTGAATTTTGTTCCTTGCTGATGTTCGATTCTTCTGGTTCCTGCCGCCGTTTTTCCTCATGTTTCCTGGAATCAATTCTCGGCTGACGATATCAGAGGCGGTTGGAGGAGGAGGACGATGCGGCGGAGGCCCCCAAATCCGGCGAGAATGAACAGTGCGTGAGCGGCGGCGTACTTTGTAAGTGGTGTCCTGATCCATGGGCGGCGTTATCTGATGTGGAGTTGGGCCGGTGTCGCTGTTTCAGATCCGTGGACTCGGTGGAGTCTGCTGCTTCCCGGAGCTCGGCCCTGGCCCGGAATCTGACCTCCGGACCTCGGAAGAAGGCCTTCGTCGTTATCGGCATCAACACTGCATTCAGCAGCCGGAGGAGAAGGGATTCGATCAGACAAACCTGGATGCCGCAGGGTATCATTTCCTATCAGAACAGTCGATTTTCTTCCGCTCTTTGTCATATGCGATGATTTCAGAAAGTTCACATCTCTTAGGCCTCATTCACTGGATGTTTTGAATCCTTGATTACTGTCGCCAATTTTGGAACGCCATTCCATCCTTGGATCAACTGCGTCTCCGTACACCTCCAAACATTCCGATGATCATCATCCTTCTTAACGGCTTTCATCGATGACCACTCTGATTCAGCATCTATATACTGTTCTTCTGAGTTGGCTCTGGAAGTTGACCCTAGGATTCTGGAATAAGCAAGCGATCATACTACTTCTCTTAACAGATAAATATTTTTTCTAATTCTGATTTCAGGAGAAATACTTCAACAGCTTGAACGTCAGAAAGGCATTGTGATTAGATTCATGATTGGCCGCAGGTAAATTAATTAGTTTTTATGATTTCTCTTGGAACTATGACTCTTTGGAGATTTGGAGGCGTGCTGTTCCATACATGATCTTTCCTTCTTATAGATCCTTAGAATGATAGCGAACGAGTATTCTATAGAACCAGCTAATGGAAGCATGTTCTGGGTTCATGATTTTTCCACAGGAGGGCAAAAACATCTATGTTTCTCACGTAGGAGCTTTGATATTGATATATTTTTTTATACTATCTCCAAGCTAACATAAAGCTTTGAGACCGGTAGAGCCTTCTTGACTGCAAATTTAGGGTTCAAGCCTTGAGCTTCCTGAGTCCTTTTGGTTACGAACTTCTGTGTAAAAAAATTTAACTATCAAAGGACGTGGATTTTTATTTTGCATACGCGAAATTAGAGTCAGGTCTCTTGACATATAATAAGATTTATATCAGTTTTGGTAGATACAATAATATCAATGTTAACTCCTTCCCAAACCCGGTTTCCATGAAAAACGTTGAATTTTTTATATTCACGCTAGTTTTTTAGATCATGCCTGTGTTTTTAATAATGCCAAACAAAGAAACATCGATCAACTAAGTTGCCTCCATTTCTCAAATCATACGAATCGGCCATTCTATTGTAGCCTTTGAACGATAACGCTGTAAAGTTCAGTGAAGCCCTTTGAATACAGAAGCTTTTTAAAAAAAATACAGAAGCTTATCCCATCTGTCAGACACCAAGATGGGAGCCCTTTGATCATGTTAATGGTGGGTTCTTGGCGCAGTGTTTCTCGTAATGGTATTCTGGACCAAGCTATCGAGACAGAAGAGGCCTCCCATCACGACATCCTAAGGCTGGTGAGAGACAGCAGCAGCACCAGCTGTATGAAACCTTTTCCCCGTGGCCCCCTTACTGAATGAGCTGCTCCATGGCGCAGGACCACATCGAAGGTTACCACGAGCTCACTGCGAAGACGAAGGCGTTCTTCTCGACCGCGGTCCAGGAGTGGGACGCCGACTTCTACATGAAGGTGGACGACGACGTCCATGTGAATCTGGGTCAGTCGGATTCCTCCCCCCCTCAGGGAATCTTCTCCATCTTCGATCTGTTTCTGTGATGTGATGAACTCTACTTGCTATATATCCAGGTGCCCTCGCCTCAACTCTTGCCAATTATAGATCCAGGCCCAGAACCTACCTCGGGTGCATGAAATCCGGTCCCGTTCTCGCCACCAAGTAATGCATCTGATCGAGCACCTCCAAGATCAGGGCTTTCTCTCTCTCTCTCTTCCTCTGAGCGCCGACTGCCTAATCCGTGGCTGTGAAAGCAGGAAGTCGAAGTACTACGAGCCGGAGTTCTGGAAGTTTGGGAATCGGGGGAACCGATACTTCCGCCACGCCAGCGGGCAGATCTACGTGATCTCGCAGGATCTGGCCGCGTACATCTTCATCAATCGGTATGATCGGAGAGCTCTCTCGAATCGACTGCAGGTTATTTCCATGGATTGAGCCATTTTTTCTCTTGCTGCCAGCGACATCCTGCACAAGTACGCAAACGAGGACGTCTCGCTTGGCTCCTGGCTCATCGGCCTCGACGTTGACCACACCAACGACATGAGCCTCTGCTGCCGAACACTCCCTGGTATGATCCCCCCTGAGAAGTCGCCGCAGAACTAGGAGGAGATGTCAGAATCTGCCCTCTCTCTCTCTCACTCTCACACTCTCTCTCTTTCGCTCTGTGCAGAGACGTTGGAGACGTATGGCCTGCCACCGTTGTCAGATTGCGAGAAGAAGGCCCAGACGGGGGATCCCTGCGTGGCGTCGTTCGACTGGAGCTGCAGCGGCATCTGCAGGCCAGTGGAGAGGATGGCAAGCGTCCACGCCATGTGCGGCGAAGCAGATGGAACCATCTGGAGCACCTTTATCTGACCATGGGAAGAACGCGGAAGGTCGCCATCTCTCATGGGGAGCCATGGGAGCCTCTCTCTCTCTCTCTCTCTCTCTCTCTCTCTCTCTCTCCTGAAGAAGGGGAAAGACTGGATGTCCGCCCATCACCCTTGCACCCAGCGAGGTGGCGTCTGGTGGGCAGTTCTCGAGAGATCCGGACAGTGGTTCCGTAGATGGGATGGGTACTGTTTCCGCCTGCAGGAGAATTTATAGACGTATACAATTCCAGTGGCATGAAATATAGATATATACATGTATATTGATGCTGAACAGAACTGCATGAACTTACGTGGAAAATACCATTTGATTTCCACTATTAGCTTGTTCTTTATTATTTTCCGAATTAAAAATTATGATTTTTACATGTCATCCCACTTTTTGGTAATTATTTTTCTGTCCAGTTGTAAGTATAGTTCTCCCACATGCTGACTATTATTATTTTTAATTATTTTAATTACAAAGATCTTTGATACTTGCTATTAAGTAGGCAGTGCTGGGCCACCGTGAGCAAAATACCAACCAAGTACTGCTGGACGATCTTACTTGAGAGTCTTGTGGTCAATGTGGAGGTCTTCGGCTGGGTGTGTAAGTTGGAGGCTTCGTGAGGTGTCATATTTCACCAGGTCCATGCTCAGCCCTCTTCTCCTTCCAGCTCACTTCTTCTAATTGAAGAACTGCCTTATTTCTATGTCTGCCGTGGCTGAGACATGAAGTGGATGCTAATAAATCTATATTATAATTAGTTAATAGTTAGTTTAATGATATATTTTATACATTAACACATCATAAATAACTTTATATTTTCATTAAATTGAGAAAATTAGATCTTACATGGCTAATGCTAATTTGTGATTAATTATGTGATTTTATATGATTTTTATATTTATATTTTCAAGTTAAATTAAAATAAATTATAATAATTAGAAAATAGAGGGATTCTTCGAGTGGGTAACTCAGAATGAGAGAAATCGACAAACTAGGCTCAAGTAGTTCAAGGACCTGCGTAGAACATGTGTGTTACTCCTCTTTCACATCACTAGGGGGAACTAGTGTTTTGGATAAGGTATGATCTTGTCACAAATGTTGCGTGAGGGTGGACCATTTATTATTTCTTCTCTCAAGGTGGTCATAGCTATTTTGTTTATGAGAGAAGTCATATGCATAAGAAATCTTAGATTTATATAACTATAAAGTTTTCCAAAATAATCGATATGAGATTAAACTGTCAACTCTCGTCAGCTAAAATAATCTTGAAAATACCCTTATGTAAATAAGGTAAAGACTTCGTATTCTCACTATTTCAAGGTAAAGACGTCAGCTAATATTAGAAAACTATTTAACCTCTTTTACACAGCAAATCATATGGCGCCACATGATCACAAGTGCTTTGAAGATCACCAACACCAAAGTTTTTCTCTTATTTGACTCTAGAATTTTTTTGCAAGGAAACAATCAATGAAAAGAGTGAGGGAGACGATTGCTTGTTGATGGAAGCTCCATCAATGATAAACATGGATCTTAAACAATATCTTATGATAGATTTTGGGTTGAAAAATGAAAGCTTCTTAGAGGAAGCCTCATCTCTTGTTAGTTGACGAATGAGCTATCATTGAGAATAGAGAGATTCACTAAGATACTTGTTGCAGACTTAAGAATGAAGCTCCTTGTGTTTCACATCACCTCCACCAATCATCACTTCATTGGGTGATTGTCGTTGGAGACCCATCTTCATCAACCATTTCTTTGCCGAGTGATAGTCATTAGAGATCTACTTCACTAACATCTTAACTTCTAACTTTTAACCTTTACATGAAAATCCAAAGAGTGCACAAGTTGTGTATGTCTAAAGAGAGCCTTTGAGGCAGACCTTCAAAATACTTATAATTTTGGAGATCGCCATTGTAACTTTAGAACTCTATTTCATTGTTTAAAATCATTTAATCTTTAAATTAATGATAGTTGATAAGTCTTCATTATCATGAGTTAATAATTAATAAATAATATAGTTTTAAAAAATGTTTTAACTCATAATAAATAGACTTATATTTATGTTAAATTATGAAAAGTGATTTTTAATTAGTTAATGTGATTTTTAAAATAATTATGTGATATGTGAATTTATATAATTTTTATAATCTTATTTTTGAGATAAATAAAGAAAAATAAAATAAAATAAAAAGATAGAAAAAGGGAGAAATATGTTGACTAGTCAGGCTTGCAAGCAAGTTAGAAGTAGTCTGGTAGAGTTACGAGTAAAGGCTTGAGCAGTTAAGGGTGATCAATTAGGGGCACGTGTGTGTCACTCTCCTTCCACGTCACTAGTGGTCAGTCAGGCGTGAGGCAAAGAGTGATCATACATATGCGAAAAATGAACTTATTAATTTTCAAATCTCATATTACTATATATTTGTCTCAACATTCGGCATATAACCAATGTGGGACTAGATTGATGGTCACACCTTTTCCCAAACATTTTTGATGATTTTAATATCAAAAATATCTCTTATTTATAACAACGAGATACCATAATGATGTCACAATATAAGGGTATTCAAGTACTTATTTTACTTTTTCACATGCAAATAAGCGATTGGCACGAGTTTGGATCCTACTAGAGCTAAAACTCATCTTTTTTCTAATTAAATCAAGATTTTTCTATAGATCGCTAGTGAAAGATTAAATCATTAGAATCGTTCAATCAACAGCAAAAATCTCGTTAACGTGATTCGCAAAGAATCGTCACTAAATTTTTTGAACGATTCATGATAGAAAAAACGTAAATCTATCGAGTAAATCATTTCTGATTGATCAACGAATAAGCCGTCATTAGGAAAAAGATGATCCGTCGAGAGACAAGTCACCACATCCTGAGAGTGTACTAAATATGATGAAGAGCCTCCTCTTGTTGCACAGACTTGAGGATGAAGCTCCCTAACATACACCCCACCTCCATCTAGTTCATCTCCGTCGAATGACAGCTATCAGAAATAATTCAACGACTCATTTCATTAACCTCTAAACTTTGCAAAAAGATTTAGAGATTGTCCATGTCATTTTTGTCTAAGAAGATCTTTTGAGGCTATGGACACTGCATGACAATCTTCTCGAACACTTAAGATTTCAACACATCGTTGTTGTGACGTCATAACTCTATTTTACTATTTTTTAATTAGTTTAACTTTCATCATTATTTTTTAAACTTTGAAAGTAGATTCAACAAATGTCTACGTTATTTATGTCTAAAGAGAACCTTTGAGACCATAGACATCGTTTAATGATCTTTCTAAATATAAAATTCAAGAGATCACTATCACGAGACTAGAACTCTGTCTTTCTTACTTTCAACTTAATTTTTACTTTATTTAGTGATAATTTGTGTGATTTAAATTTATCAAACTATTATTTATTCAATTACGATTCTTTTAGCTTTTATAGATCTTAATTTAACTAATTAAATTATTTATAATTGCTTACGTAAGAATCACCAAGTAGAACTCTATTTTCGTCTGATTTGCATTCGTCGGGCACTAACGTCATCTTGACGTCCACACCCTTATTTCTCTTTTTCACAAATTTTAAATATATTTCTTTATTTCTTAATATTAAATTCAATTTTTTTTTGGGAGAAATTATATTCTTTGAGATTTTTTTTGAAATATTAATCAATATTATATTACATTCTTATGATTGACCTGAAATTTTTTATTATTTTTAGAACTTTTCTTAAATTATAATTGATATATTTTTTCAGAAATACTTATAAATATCTAAAAATTAGTGTTTTTTAGTTTTATAATAACCTATAATTAGATGCTACTAATCCCAAGATGGCTAGATATAAATGAAAATAAAATAAAAAATTATTATATTAATCAAATGAAAAATTAAAAATCAATCCAACACCCCTTGATTTATCTACTTATAGGTTGATGATGAAAGCAAATTAAGAAGTAATTGTGCATACTAGATTTTAGAGTGGTTTAGTCAAACTCATTTTCCCATCAGCTATTTTTGAATACTCTACCTTGGTTTCACTATTCCCTCACTAAAATACATCTAATTTTAATGAGATTAAAAATCCAATACATCATTGAAGTTTGCAAGCCTATGATCATTCAACTTATAACTTTAAGCAGAGTTCTAGATTTTCTCATTATAAGCATACTATACTTATGTCAATGACTTGTGACTACATTAATTACATACCACAAGTGTCTCAATCAATTCACACACTATAGATTAAAATACAAATAAATAATAATATAGAACAAAGTTATTGTAGCCTTCAAATGTGGTTTCAATGTACTAAAAGTTGATGGAGTAGAGAAGTATTAGGCTGTAGGAAGAATCACTTAAGACTTGGAATGCTATCTACTACTCTTGTAAACTGTTCACACTTTGTCAATGAATCTTGGAGAATTGAGAAGAGGTGATGTGATGAAGATGAGGAAAGCATGTTGAAATAGTTGTCACCATCTGAAAATCATGTTGTCTCTATGTTCTCATTTGGGTGCAATCCCTGTTTTATGAGGTATGTTAGCCCACCTCTTTTTTGTCCTTCTCAGTCAAATAGTCCAATTTGAACAAGGTTCAATAGATTGTGTTCTAGAAAATATGAAAAACTAACCATAAAGATTGAAAACATCATAACTCTCTTAATACTTCTAATTTTGGTGAGTGCTTTTCAGTTATGGATTCCTTTTTGGATCAACAACTTCCACTGATTGGTCCATACCCATTTATGTGAGATATTTTTAAATAAAAAATATTTTAGTTAGATAGATCTAGCTTTTAGACTATTTTACCCTTCTAAGAAAATACTACTTTAGTAATCTTATAAAATCAATAACTAATCAACACTTTGATAATTATTTCATTGTACTCCTCATTAAAAGACTTTTCTACTAGTTACTCATATACGTATATTGAGGAAGCAATTTGATATATGATTACTAGCATATTTGCTACTAGTATGCACATACATTTATAACATATTTACATCATATAGAATTTTTATTTTATTTATACCTGTACCATCTGATACTTATATCCTTAATAAAAATTTGAAATAATACATCATATTTCTTATGATCTAGATCACTAATAATACTTATAGACCTTCATTATTTTGCATAAATTTCTTTCATATATGTGTGACAGATCTATACTATTTATTCTCATCCAAGATATTAATCATTAATTAAATTTACATTTTATACCCATCAATGTTATTATTTCATATTTACCTAAATATCATCAAAGCAATATTGAGTTTATCCATAATTCAACAGATGCATCGGAGGAGCTAACCTTATAAGTGAACTCACTTCTTGCTCTCCCACCACTACAACTGCCACCGCCGCCCATCAGCAGGGAAGGGTATATGTCTACCTTCAAAGCTGCTTGAGATTCAAGAGTCAGATGATGTATGGAAACAATTATATATTGTGTGGGTAACTTTTTGTCATATAAATTTTTAAGGGACGACTGGTCTAATGTTGTGACAGGATTTACCTACTGGGAAGAGTAGTGGAGGCGGTTCTGAAAGAATCCCCCCAAATCCGCAGGAAGCCGAAGATGGCCGACATCGATGGCCATCATCGGCCGCCGGAATGGCCGGGGAGTGGCTATGCGGCGCCAAATTCTTCGCCGGCCAAGTCCTCGGGTGCCTCCCTGAGGGGCTGCTGCTGCTGCTTCTTCCTCCTCCTCGCATTCCTCGCCGTCGTGGTGGTGGCCGTCGTTCTGGCGGTGGCGCTGGCGGTGAAGCCGAAGAAGCCCCAGTTCGACCTGCAGCAGGTGGGAGTGAGCTACCTCCTCGTCACCGCCGGGGCTCCGGCGGCGTACCTGTCGCTGAACATCACGCTACTATTCACGGCGGAAAATCCGAACAAGGTGACGATCCGGTACGGGGCGGCCGCTTTCTCGGTGATGTACCGCGGAGTGCCGCTGGGGGTGGCGGAGCTGCCGGCTTTCGAGCAGCCGGCGCACTCGATCCGCCTGGTGCAGAGTAGAGTGGTGGTGGACCGCGTCGACGTCCTCCAGACCGACGCGGGGGAACTCGTCCGCGACGCCACACTCAACGATCGCGTGGAGCTCCGCGTCGCCGGTGACATAGGAGCCAAGATCCGCTTCCTCGGCGTCACCTCCCCGCGCGTCCAGGTAGGTAGTCGAGCATCTCTCCCCATAGCTTCCTTCCTTCTTTCCTCAATCACAGTCGAAGCAGGAAAAACCTCAGGAAATGGTGCTCACCAGAAATTCTCCGATCGAGGAAGAAGATTCGCCTCCTCGTCGCTTCCGCCTCTCGTTGTGTGATCTCCGATCACCGATCGAAGTGGAACTAAATCCTTGAAAATTTCACAGTACATTCCTATCAGAAACACAAACTCATAGCCGATCTGATCTGCTCCGAGCAGGTCTCGGTGGACTGCGCGATCGTCATCAGCCCGAAGCGGCAGTCGCTGACGTACAAGCAATGCGGCGTGGACGGATTGAACGTGTAGAGAGAGAGAGAGGGGGAGGGGGGCGGCGCCGCCAATGGACGCCTCTAGATCAGCTTCCGATCAGGCGAGGGAGGAGCTCTGAGAGGAAGATCGATCACCTTCCCCGTCATTGATCTTCCTTTTTTTCCTTTTCCTTCCCATTTTAATGCAATCCGTAATTCCTTCCCCACGAACCTACAGCGCGTGCTACTCTGCGCCGGACCCCGCAGTTTTCGCCCTGCCGGCACGAAAAGTATATCGCCGATTTTTGTGGTCAATGGTGAAAGGTCAACGCTGACTAAGAAGCGCAACCTTAATAACCTCAGTTTTCACATCCCATTTATATCTATAATGACTTATAGGTATGGCTGTCCGTGCTCTCTCTCTCTCTCTCTCTCTCTCTCTCTCTCTCTCTCTCTCTCTCTTATTCACTCTTTTGTGTTTTTGAAGGCTTGGATAAGGATTCATTTAATTATGAACTTCCCATCTGAATGGAACCACATCCCATCTGAAGACACGAGGAACCAAAATTACACCTTCCTCTTTCTTCCTCACACACCGCCGGAAGAGAGAAATAGAAGAGAGAGAAGAGAGAGAGAGAGAGAGAAAGAGAGAGAGAGAAAGAGAGATCAGTTTCCTTGGAGCATCCCCAAAGGACAGTACCCATTGACCTGGAGAGAGAGAGTCCTCCAATTAGGGGCAGGAAAACATCCCGGAGAAAAGCCCAGCGCACAGAGAGAGAGAGAGAGAGAGTGAGAGAGAGAGAGATGGGCTAGAGAGAGGAGAGGGTCATACATACCTCTTATTCTATCGAACCGATGATGGTGTGAGAGGGGGCAGGGAGTGCCGGCTCCTGCCGTGGGACGAAGAGTCGGAGCCCGAAGAATTTCGAAGCGAGCGCGTCACAAAGGGGTGTTCCAACAGCTCGGCGGCCGTCGGCCGATCCTCCGGGTTCTTCTGGATGCACTGCTGGATGAAGTCCCGGGCATCCCTCGACAGATTTTCAGGGATCTTCGGCTGCCCTCCCCGGCCCACGTGGAACAACACATGAGTCTGCAAAAAACACAATTAAAACCTTGAGCAAATTCTCCTTTCATCCTGCATTTATGGAATCGTTCATCTGTGGGCTAATTAGTATTTTCTCCAGGAAGAACATTTCGGTCCCTAAATCTATATATATTGCATAACTATCTGATCTCTCTCTCTCTCTCTCTCTCTCTCTCTCTCTCTCTCTAACAAGCATCGATTCTTACATGTATACATATACCATAAAGATCTAGATATATATGGGAAGGAAACGCATCCTGGGGATCGGCTCTCTGCTCTCTGCTCTCTCTCTCTAACAAATATCAAATTCGTAAATAACGAGAAGGTAAAGAGAAGCCTTTTTCTGGAATTCTTACCCATTCTTGGTTCGGGTAAGGAACTTGTCTAGTCAACATCTCCAAGACGGTGCATCCGAGACTCCATATATCAGCTGGAGCCCCATAGGAACCTTTAGGCCTCACCACCTGCGACAACATTAAAGGGAAGAGAGAGAGAGAGAGAGAGTAAGTTGACGTGGCCAAACCAGGGGATTCTTCAAGAGAGCATAAATAAATAAAAAATCTTCATTGAATAGCACCGACCTCTGGAGCCATCCAATATACACTTCCTTTGCAGGACTTAAGCTCATTGATTTTACTGGTCTGTTGTGAGAAAAAAAAATGATAATCGACATGAGAATAATAATAATAATTTCCCAGAGGAAAAAGTAATAACTCGAATGAGGAAACTAATAATAATTGGCGTGAGATAAAAGTAGCAATTGACATGAGAATGATAATAATAATGAATTTGATGAGAAAAAAGTAATAATTGGCATGAGATAAACCTGCTTGGCCAATCCGAAATCGGCAAGTTTCACTAATCCATGTGCATCAACCAGTATATTAGCACACTTGATGTCTCTACACCACATAGAAAAAATCATCTGTTAGAATAGTCCCATATATGAATTTACTCCAGAGATGTATTTCTCAGGACATTAATAAAATAATAGACCATCTCAGAACTTAGAACCATAATAATATCTAGGACATAAAAGTGGGTTTCTTGAAAATTTTCCATTCCAAGTCCTGGATCCGTTGATCCCTTTTTTCAAGTATTCGTGAGAAATATCCTCCAATTTTATTGTTAGTTGCAATGAAAAAAATATCGACAAGGCATACATACGCTTCTAGATTCAGAGACTAAATCTGATAGTTTTTACCATTTAATCAAAATTTATCGCATTTTTATATTCCACATAGGAATGAATATAGACCCAAAAAACAAGGGAAAATCGTTCTTTTAGTAAATATTACCTGTGCACAACGTTGCGCTCGTGAAGATATTTCAGACCATTCAAGATTTGCCTTGTATACGCAGAAACTTGGAGATCTCCCAACTTATAATTTTGATAAACAGTGACCAGAGAGCCCTGGGTGATAAGCTCAAGAAAAATGTACAGATTTGACTCTGCCTGGAAACATTTCAGGAGATTTAATAAGAGACAGTATCATAATTATTAAAATTATTCCAGAATATGAAATGAGAAATAGTATTACATTTCTTCAGGATACAAAATAAGAAACAATGTCATATTTCTTAACATTATTTCACGATATGAAATAAGAAACAATGTCATATTTCTTGAGCCCATTAAAGGAAACCTAAATAAGAAATAGCACGATCATACTGCCTATTTAAGTTCACACATGATTCACGAGCAGATGATTTGAAGATAGCGAACAGAGTAATTGGCAGAGATCCATAATTGGCAGAAGAAATCACCTTGTCTGTTCCATAATACTGGACAATGTTTTCGTGTTCAAATTGACTTAAGAGAGCAATCTCCTGCCGAGGTAAACCACAGAAAGCAAATAAATCAATTATATCAGCAGGTAAATATAAGTATTAAATAAAACAGACAAGAAAAGCATGCAAGACTTTAGATTATTTGACAAAACAATAACCACATAAAAGTCAGAAACATCCTGAATCTCACCTGCTCAAGTTGAGAAATGCATTGCTGCGCCTCAGCTCCTTGGTCGAGCAAAGAAACCTCTTTAATAGCAAAGAAAAAGCCATTGCTGGAAAAGAGAAGATGACGATTAAAATCAGGCATATGAAATCTACACCCTCTGTCGATTGAGTTATTTACAGATAATCAAACTGAACCCTAAACTATCCTTCTTTCATCGTCTGAAGTCCTCTTTCCACTTGTTGAAAGTACTCTTAGAACACCAATATCTTCACTTTTGCTTCATCTAAGATCCCTCAGCAAGTAATGAATAACCTATAGCACTATATGTACCGAAACCCCTAAACTGTAGTGAATGGTTATACTATTGCGGATTTCCTAGTCAGGAGTTCTCCCAGCCACCATTTATCCTGGCAGCCCATTTTGTTCTACCACCTCAAAATTGGATTTCTGCAGAAGGGTGGATGAAAATTTCCCCCCTGCACGCACTTCTCTGAGCTGTGACGTAAGATTGCCATTTTATTGGGTTGGATAATCGATTTTTCCTCCACCAAAAGAAGCTGATGAAAACAGGAAATTATAGTTTGACGCCATAACAGTTGTCAGCACCATAATCTTTAAATATCCTCGAGATTAACATTCATCTATGCCAAGAATCCGAGTTAGCAGAAAAAAGTGGATTATTCGGCGATGCTTCTGCAAGGAAAAGCACGGATACTTACTCACTGATGGCCTCATACACTGTTCCAAATGAGCCACTGCCAAGTCTTCGTCCCTTCTCCCAATATACCATGTTGCGCTTCAGCTTGCCGTAGGGTGAAATGGTGTACATCCCCTCCACGATTGCAGAGGGGGAGTCGTCATCCATGGAGTTTGAGGATGAGCATGAACCTGTACGATCAGCTGGTATCACAACCAGCCTCACCTCTTTTTCATCTTCCTGATCTGAATTTCCGGATTGATCATCTGCAGCGTTCACGTCTTGGGGCTCCTCTTCCTCAGAGTCAGAGGACTCGATCCCTCGTCCATTGGCTACAATCCCATTGGCACCGTCGGCAGGAGCCAGGGCGTTGAATAGGTCCCATGTAGAGCTCGTCTGGTCGTGGGAAGGCAGCGACATGGACGGAGGAGGGACGAGCATAGACGGGCGAGCGCCTTTGATCCCTCCACCGCCGCCTGCAGCGGCGGAACTGACGTTGTACTGAAGAAACCGTGACTCGCTGCCCAACTTATGTCGCACATCATCGCTAACCCTAACACTGCGATTGAATCTACCACGCAAAGCATCTTGACGATCCTCGTCCCGCCGATCCGGCAGCGACTCCTCCGCCGAGGGACGCAGACGACCTTCCACCTCTTTAGTAAAATCATCGACGACGTGGTCGGCGGTGGAGCGATCCATGCTGGCCGCCGCCCAGTCCGCGGGAGTGATGGCAAAGTCCTCCGGGCCAGATAGCCCCAGGCTTCGGCACAGGCTGTCGAACTCTCCCTCAACCTCCCCGCCGATGCGGAAGCTGGTCTGGCTGGCAAAGTACACCGGCGTCGGCGGCAACGTCGACGGCGACGACGGCGATATGTCGAGGGAACGAGTGCGGAAACCCCCGCCATCGCCGCCCCCCCAGCCGACGGAGTCCACGGAATTGCCACCACCGATTTCGTACTCGATGTTCTTCACCGCGTTCCGCCGATCCAGCTTCGGCGTCTTCTTCTCCCTCACCTGCCTCCCATCCATTCCCGCCGCCGCACCCCCCGCCCCCTGCTGCTTCCTCCTACTGTGCTGTAGGGAACGCACCAGATCCATCGCCAGAAGAGGTGGAAATCGAGGAAGAACCACAACCCCAACCAACAGCCGCGGCAGCAGAATCAAAGCAACGGAGACACCGCGGCGGACCGCTCCCCATCAGCAATTGAAGCGACACCTAGGGGTCCATGTCCGCGAGAAGAATAGCCAGCAGGAGAAGGCAACAACCGCTGAACAGGGTGCTCCTTTGCCCTCTTCTCTTCTCTCCGCCCTCTCCCTCTCCACCGTCGCCGTTTAGCGGAAGACGGAAGCCGGATATGGCTGCGGTGGCGGCGAGGTCGATGCAGGCGACCGCGTCTGCTTCGTCTTCTTCTACCTCCTCTCCTCCCGCCGGCGTCCGTACCGCTGTAAACCTGAGGAATAGGAGGACGAGACGGCACCGTTACATATCTGATATTCTTACCCCCATCATCTCCGTTACGACCCCTCAAACCACGCGCAAGACGCACTTCCCTACGAACTTGAAAGAGAGCGGAGTCCCATCATATGAGGGTAACACTAACACGCGGAGTTTTGACCGTCTGTGACCGTTGACGGGAAAGAAGGTGGGTAACGCCGCCGTGGGACCAACACTCGAGGGGCGGACTTTTGTGGTCGTCGACGGCACTGCGTCCGGATGGATTCGTTTTCAGACGACCAACCGGGGATTGGGTGGTTGATTGATGATATTCCGTGTTTTATTTATAACCTTCAATTATGACGTCATTTTATCATCTGAGCTTCTAAACATAAATTATTTTTTAATCATATAATAAACCCCATTATTTGTACTCTCAATACCTGAACCTCTACCCTCTAATTAATTTGAGGAGTACTTTTTTCTTGGACTGGTCTCCAATTTGTTTGATGAATCAAATGTCATAGTGTATCTCTATAAGTGGTATTTACATCATGAAAATATAAATAAAAGCACATATTTCCTAAAATGGTAATTTTAGAGCTATTTCATTAATATCCACACAGAAAAAATGGTTAGAAAAACCAAATCCCATTCTAAAAGGAATAAAGTTGACTTTGTGGAAAAGGTCAAAATGTGCACAAGTCCTTAACAACTCCAAAACGTACCTCAAAGGGACGACTTACTCTCATTCATTGACTTTTATGTTTACCAATTTTTTTATGAGACTTGTCAACTCGTTTCCAGGTCAAGTAGCTCTTGGTGAGAAGTCAACAATCTCATGTTGATCTGAAATTTAGAAGCCCATTTCTTTCACCCCTCATCTAAAAACAAATTGTAAATGTACTTTATAATTTAACATCTCAACGAATTAACAACCTTAGGCTTATAGCAAGTGGTTTACCAAGGGATGCCCACATTTTATATTTATTTCTATGCTTCATTGGGCTATGAAACTTGAATATAATTTTCAGTGGGCCCAACCAACTGTGGTCGGTGGTTGCAGATGAAGGGTGTTTGCATAATTTGATGATTCGTTAGGGGTTTAAAGCTAGGTATCCTTTAAAAATTAAACGAGATGAATCGAGTATATATGTTTCATAAGGGTTTATTGTAACTAATTTATTTAATGAGAATTGATATGCAAGTAACCGCATCCGGCGGTGTATCCAGTTGACCCATCCTTTTATCTTCTTCAAGACCCGAGAGAGAATCTAGCAACTCGAGATCCTGAGGAAAACCCCGGGAACTTCCGGGATTTTGTCTGGCGTTGGTGTGGAGCAATAATGGCTTCGCCGATGGCTCCTCATCCCGTTTCCGCCGGCAGGTAATTAGATACGATTCCTTCTCTCGGTTCTTTCAATCAGTTCTCGCTTGCACGCTACCCCATTCATTTCTTAGTGGCAGCTAAATACCTTGGGGTAGGTTGTCTTGTTTTGCCCAATAATCTTGGGATGTTTATGTTTTCAGAGTTTTTCCCGGGGGGAAAGAATGTCCGCGCGTGTGTGGCATTGTTTTGTGGACAGAAATAAAGCTGACGAAGTTTTTTTCCAATGATGAAATCCAAAATTATTCACTGCTAGGTTTATTTTTTCTATTATTACTGGTTATCCTCATCTTCGCGACGTGATTTTGATGTCGACGCCATTTTCTGCCACATAGAAGTCCTTTGAATAGGAAATCTGTGAGAACGGCCACTCCGTGGGTTTTCCCAAAATCTGTGAAGTTGCACGGAAATTCTTCGAAAACTATGTCTGTCTCTAGCACATCCTGTCTGAGTCTCAGAAACGAAGGATCTGGAGGAGTTAAATGTTTGGTTGGTGATAGAGATGGTGTTATCGTTGTTGATCACGGATCCAGACGCCAAGAATCAAATCTAATGCTAAGTAAGTAGAAAAAATTCAGTTCTCCGAGTGTGGACTTTTTATTTTGCCGCACTCAGTCCTTAGGTTTTGATGGTTTTGATTTCGACGTAGATTCTCTTCTCAAGCTTACAATTCACACAGATGACTGCGGGCGGCATAGTAATTTGTACTCTTCTTGCCACAGATGAGTTCGTGAAGATGTTTAGGAGTAGAACGGGGTATCAAATAGTGGAGCCTGCTCACATGGTGTGCATTTCAATTTCTCATTTGTTCTCAATTACCTCGTTCCTTTGTTACGGCTTTACATGTTCACGTAGTTGCTCCTTGATGGTCTTGAGGTTTTGTTCATTTCAATTTTTTTTACCTTTTATGTTTTCAATTAGCTTGTTCCTTCCTTCATCATGGTTTTGGAGTTCATTCTCCTTTTTTAGATCATATGAAATAAGAATATTTTTTATACGTATGGCTAATTATTACGTAGAGCCTCACATCAGTGGAAGATAGCTGCGGGAGATGGAATCCTCGTTTTTCTGAGCGGAGGCTGAAGAGATATTTTCTATTTGCGGCTGGCCTTACGCTCCCATATATCCATGAATAGTAGAAACACCATATTATCTCAGATGAAGTTTTTCTCTACTGAAGGACGTACAGTAAATATTTCTAATTGGAAAATCACTCGAGAATGGCAGAGTCAATTTAGAGGATGGCCATCGACCCCCAATCTTGGAGAAGACAAGAACCAAACAGTTTGAAACCAGTACAAGCTTCAATAGAATCTGGAATCATTATAACTGATCCCAATAAAGGGGAAGCAAGAAAAAATTGTGGCAGAGGATCTACGTGTTTGGGAACTAGTTTATTCTCATTACATTAGAACTAGGATTTTCAAGTTTCATGGAGTGAATAGGGATATGAAATGTAAGGCATTGGAAAATGGGGAGACATACGTTCCATATGATCAAAATTCAGTTAATTACTTTTTATAAAAATGATACACTGCCGAAGGAAAACACTCCCAGTTTCTATGATGAGAACTGTTATAATATCAATCAGTTTCCTCTTCTAGCCGTACAATACTTTGGCCCCATATATACAGACATGGAACGAACTGATAAAATCATTAAGGTCCCGAGGTAAGCCAGAGGCTGGAAAGATAGTCCAAGGAGAGCTTTAAGGGCTGAACATTAATATAAATTGAACATAAAATAAGACTCTACGAACAGAAAAGGAGGCGGATGAATTTTGTGCTTTTGATATTCCCCAGCCTCCTCCTTAACTCCCAGCTCTAACCTTCACCTCCAGGATGACTTCTGGTAGAGGCATCACAAGAGGAAACAAATACATGACGGACCACCAAATTATAAGGTCTATTAGAGGAAGTTAAAGATATTTTTCTCTGGGAAAGTAGCTAGATGCTTGAGGAGTAGACTAAGGAAACTGAAAAAAGGAGAATTTAAGCAGAGAGATGAACTCATGACAGCCCCATTTTGGTTGGTCTCACACTGGTCTGTTAGTCCACGATGAGACCCCTGGACTGAAGGGGATCTAGCTCCCTACGTGAAGAATATGCTCTTTAACTAAATACCCTTGTCCAAATCAGGTGTGGAAGTACACCAGTACTTCCCACAATTTTCTTTCTTTCCTTGCTTCGATCTGTATAAATTACATTAAGAGTTTTTTTTTCCTTTGAAATCCATTGGGAAACCAGTCAAATGGCTGCTTCAAGCTTTTTTTTCTTTCAGTACCTTTGGAAACTGATAAAATTCCCTCACTTACCTAGGAGCTGGCCGAACCGTCAATTGCAGACGCGTTTAGATTATGTGTGAATCAAGGTGCGAATCGAATTATCGTTAGCCCACTCTTTCTTTTCCCGGGACGGCACTGGAGTCAGGTGAGTCTATTTTACTCTGGGTCGATTTATGCTGTATTTATCGTACTTAAACGCCCCCAGCATTCAGAACCAAATGAGATTTTATGGGAACTTTTTTTCACTGCTGCCTGAAATAAATGATAGAATGCCTCACATTATGTAGGATATTCCATCCATAGCTGCTGAGGCAGCCAAGGAGCATCCGGGTATCTCTTATATTGTTTCCGCTCCTCTTGGGCTTCATGAGCTTCTTGTGGTAGGTCCTGCCTTCTTTCTTTGGTCGTATTGTTCATGCTCTGCACATTGAAGCTTTTTTCGATATGTTTGTGTTATACTTTGCTGCTCACATGGAGGTCCCAATGGCCCCGGTAAAGCCCAGAAGCCCGACCCAGTTGGGCTTGAAGTGTTTGAATCGAAAAACACTTATCAAAGCTTTTCAAAGCTGGGAGGGTTTGAAGTGTGGAAAATAGAAATCTTAACCCATCCGGCCCTAAAAAATTTTCATGGAAAAAGGCATGCAATAAAAAGAGAAAAATAGAACTATTAATCTAGTGATATTTCCTAGAAATGAAGTCCTCGCATGAATAAATAATCTATTTTTCTTCAAGGGCTTGATGGAATGAGCTTTGAAAGTACATGACATTCTCACAACTGTCCCCTTGTTGTTCCTCTCATCAGTCATCAGGAAACAACATACTGAATGATGACTGAACAAGGGAAAGCTCAGTAAATGGGCTTCAAGTAGACCGTCTTCTGTTGACTTGACCCTGGCCCAGTTGTTTCTCGTCCAATGCTCAGGCCCAGTCCAGAACTCATTAGCTGCCCAACCCCAGGCTCAGGCTCAGTTATTTATCTCACCTTGCTCATCGGAGTTGGGAAAACTGGAGCATTTTCTGCATCGTCCAGTGAGAAGAAGCCCATTAAATGGGCTTCAGCCGGGCTCTTCTGTAGCGTGGGCCTTGGCCCAGTTGTTTCCTCTGATGAGCTTTGACCTATCCACTCACTGGGCGGTATGGAAAGCTAAATGCCCCAAAAGCTACGAGAGGAACCATCAATAATAAGCCTCCATTTCTCTGCACCTCCCTTTTTAGAATCTTAAGAGCACCACGAAGAACAGGTGTTCTGCGATCGGGGGATATCATTATCACATGGAAAACTTTGTTCTTCCCAGAAAATCTTGCTCTTATTATCCACCTCAGGCTGATTTTTTTTAATATTAGTTTACTCCAGATACATGATATTACTTTACTCATGTCACTTAAACTCGAACGTTCTTATGAAAGGTTCAAATGTTAAATTGAGGGCTCCGTTCTTATGGCAAGTTTCGACTGAAATAACTTCTTGTTTTTGTGATCGATTATGTCGGATTTGCAGGATGTGATGAAAGAGAGGATCGACCATTGCCTGCTCCAAGCGTCTGGTGAAGCTTCAGAGTGTGCCATCTGTGCTGGGACCAATAAATGCCGATTCCGCTGAGAAGAGGGGGAGAGAGAGAGAGAGAGAGAGAGGGCGACCCTCGCTCACATTGGAAGAGGAATGCAAGAGCATAAGACTACGAGAAAAAATATTCCACTGCAGCAGCATGAGGAGCTCTTTCTACGTTCTATTATTGACGTGGTTCTAGATCGGGCTCCGCATGCTTCAGACTTTTGGGGGTGTTGAAAGGTCGTCAATTTTCGTAAGCTTAAACCCACCGAAGATTTGCATCTTGTGAAGGAGGTGACCCAAACGTCCCCAATGTTCTTAGAAAGGAATCGAAACAAGGCCCGAATGTTTATGTTTGGAATCCGTCTTTGTCTGGTCTAGAGAGAGAAGAAGAGGGCCATAGATGCTTTGTTCTCCGATCGCCGGCTCCGAATGGCATTTCCCACTGCCCTGGTGAGAGAAAATCCTCCTATTAGGAGCAGCAGAACATGGTCGAGAGAGAAGCCCGGCTTCCATACGCACACCCATCAGAAGAAAGGGATGGGCCAGCTACATAGGGAGAGAAAGATGGGCTAGAGAGAACCGGCGGCCGAAGAAGCCCGAAGAACCGGATACCTTTTTCTACGTGCGGCGGCTTTTGCCGTGGGAGGAAGAACCGGAGCCCGAAGAAACCCGGAGCGAACGCGTCACAAAGGGGTGGGCCAACAGCTCGGCGGCCGTTGGCCGGTCCTCCGGGTTCACCTGGGTGCAGCAGTCGATGAAGTCACGGGCGTCCCTCGACAGGTTTTCAGGGATCTCCCGCCGCCCACGTGGTAAAACACAGTTTGCTGTAAAAAAACATCGGCAACTTCAGATATGATGCAGCATTTATGGGTAATATTTTCTTCCAACTGTTAGAGACCCAAGCGGAAATTTTCGGTTATTATGTGCATATTTGCAGTACAAAAAGTATCCAGTTGTAGCAAGGAAACTCGTCTTGGTAAAATTAAAAAACTCGTTTTTTTTTTCTGAATGCTTACCCACTCTACCATGTTCGGGTAAGGAATTTGCCCAGTGAGCATCTCCAAGACGGTGCATCCGAGGCTCCATATATCAGCCGGAACCCCATAGGGGCGTTTAGCCTTGATTACCTGCCACAACATTAGACAGAAGGAGGGGGGGGGGGAGAAAGAGAGAGAGAGTAAGTTGACGTGGCCTAACCAAGGGATTCTTCAAGAGAGCATAAATAAGAAAATAAATCTCCATTAAATAATGCCGACCTCTGGAGCCATCCAACGTGCAGTTCCTTTGGAGGACTTTGTTCCATTGATTATACTAATCTATTGTTGTGACAAATAATAATAATAATTTTGAGAGAAATAAATAATAACTGGTGTGAGAAAACTAATAATAATCGGCATGTGAACAACAACAACAGTAGTAATAATAATGGTGAATTTGATGAGAAAAATAAATAACTATTGTGAGAAAATAATGATAACCATGATGGCAAAATAATAATTGCCACTAGGAAAAAATAATAACATGCAAGATAAAAAAAGTAATAACTGGCTTGAGATAACTAATAATAATTGGTGTGAGAACAACAACTGAATTTGATGGTAAAAATAAATAAATAAATATTGTGAGAAATCAGTGATGATTCACATGATTAATTAATAATAATATTTACCAGGAGGAAAATAATAATAACTTGTAAGATATAATTTTTTTAACTAGCAATAGTAGTAAAAATTGGTGTGAGAACCACAACAATGACACCAATAGTAGTAAAAATAATGATGATGAATTTGATGAGAAACAAAAAAGTAATAGTTGACATGATATACATTTGGGCTTATAAAGGAGGACAATAGTTAAAGGAGCGATGAACCTACTTTTCCAATCCAAAATCAGCAAGTTTTACTGTTCCACTTGCATCAATTAGTACATTGGCACATTTGATGTCTCTACATTAGAAAGGAGAGATCATCTGTTAGAATAGTCCCATATATGAATCTACTCCATAGATTTAATTTTCAGAATTTACAACTGTAATTTAATATCTCTACAAATCAGAAAAGTGGGTTTCCAAAAAAAATTCAATTCCAAGTCCTTACTCCTTCAATTCTCTTGTTTAGTATGCATGAGAAATATCTACGGATCACAATTTATTGACAAACATTCTACAGATCATAAATATCTTATTGTATGTTTCAATGGCCAAAACATTGAGATAACATATATATATATATATATATATATATATTCACTTGGGTTCTTCTACAAACCAGGCATATGTTATGGATATGGAGGGGAAAAATGAGAAAAAATCATAAATCTGGTAAATATTACATGTGCACAATGCTGCGCTCATGAAGATATTTCAAACCATTCAAGATCTGCCTTGTTATGCAGAAACTTGGAAATCTCCCAGCTTATAATTTTGATAATCAGTGACTAGAGAGCCTTGGGTGATAAGCTCAAGAAAAATGTACAGATTTGACTCTAGTTGGAAACATTTCAGGAGATTCAATAAGAGACAATATCATAATTATTAAAATTATTCTAGAAGATGAAATGAGAAATAGTATTATGACGATATATTGGCTGATGTAGCATATTCTTTAATTTCTAGCTATTAACTGAATTTTGAAATATATATTAAAATTATTATAGAAGATGAAATGAGAAATATTTTTAGGAAGCCAATATATGTTGGAGAAGCCTGAGGTAAATTTTTCCAAGGCTGATGCGTTCCGAATCAATCTAGCTTTTGTAGATTTGAATAGATAGAGGTATAGTGTTAACTTTGTATTATGATTCATTTGTGAGAGTTTTCCCCCCCCTTAATCGTCTTCTACATTGTTGAACTTTTGTTTCCCCCATTTTTGATGGCGAAAATTCTTCCTACTCTCATTGCCTCTCCTTTGAGTTCATTTGAATTAAAATCTATCAATCAAATTAAATAATAACTAAGGAACACTTGATTCTCCTTTCCTATGGATTGACCTCGAACTTACCATAGTACTTACCTATTTTAGTAATTTAATTTGATAAATTCGTGATTCTAAATATTTTTGGTCAACTGATTTTAGGGCTTTCAACGATCTTTAATTTTGTTCTATCATTCACCTATCAAGATGACAAGCTTACTCTCTCTTAGCGAAAATATGCTCTTAATATGTTTCAAGATATTAGGCTACTTAGGTGCAAGTTAGAGCTGTCACCTATAGTCACATCTATGTTTCAAGAATACGTTGTCTTTACTCCTAGAAGATGTTAATCAGTACAGATGGTTGTTAGAGAAGATGATCTACCTCACCGTCACTCGCTCCAACATTGTGTATATGGTTAATGTCCTTAGCTAGTTCATACATAAACCTCGACAAGTTCACTAGGAGGGAGCTTTACGAGTTCTAGCATACTTCAAAAGAACTATTGGGAGAAGGCTTATCTATCAAGTATATAGGCATCTTTAGATTAAGGCCTACTCAGATGTAAGATATGTTGGTGACAAGGGAGATCGTAAGTTTACCACTAATTATTATTCATATGTGGATGACAACTTTGTCAGGTGACACTCAAAGAAGTAGGTGGTATCTTGCTCTCATGTTGAGTCTGAGTATCGCACTATAGTCGAGACGACGAGAAAGATGGTGTGACTATGTTCACTCCTTGAAGAACTTAGAATCTCATCTCTTACACTAATACTTATGTACTATGATAATTAGATTGTCATCTTTATTACTAAAAATCCTACGTTTCATGAGCACATGAAGCACATCGAGATTGACTGTCATTAAATCTAGGATAACATAATGTCAAGTATTATCTGTACTTCACACGTTATCTTATTCATTAGCTTATGGATGTCTTCACTAAGAGTCTTGCGAAGATCTCTTACAATGTGACGTGCATCAAGTTAGGCATATTTGACTTGTATGCTTCAAGTTGAGGGAGAGTGTTAGAATAGGCTCACTCGGGTCACCATGCTCATTTTGGACTTACTTTTTTCATGTCTCTATTCTTCCTCCACGATTTCTACTTCTCCTTCTCTCTCTCTTTCTTCTTTTCTTTTATATAACCTCATATACTTTTTTTCTTTAATACATCAATTTTAGAGTTTTCTCTTTCTCTTGTCAACAATCTAAATATTTATTTGAATACTATCTCTAGTGAAAAAAATAAAAAATAAAAAATAAAAAATTTATATTTAAAAAATATTTAATAAATTTAACTTTGTAAGTCTTTTGCTTATTGCTAGGGACTAGCAAAATTCAACATTAGGGGTATTTTTTAAAGCTAGATTTTTTATATTTAAATAATTTTTTTTTTTTTTATATTTTAACTTACATAATAAATATAATAATAGATTGTTAATTTTGAAAGTATCAAGTTAAAGAATTTAGTGTAATTTTTTATTTTTAAAAATATAAGATAAAAAAAAAATCATTGCCCACTAGTAAGCCAGCACTCTCAATTGACCTAGAGGGTCACTATGCTTGAGTGAGTGGACTTGACTAGGGGAGCCACAAGTTAGGCTTGAGTGGCAAAGGACTTACTTTGCACACATGCGTCACTCCTTTGCCATGTCCTAGGGGCCAATCGGTCGTGGAGCAAAGGAATGTTTAGATGATGCCAACAATACTAGTATACAAAAGGACTATCTTCATAGTTTACTTGACAATAATCGACATCGGTGGATCACTCATCTTTGTTCAGCCCTTATTGATTCGTGGGGGTCATCGTGGAAGAATTAGGTTTGACTTCCATAGCCCTGATGTAGTGAAAAGGACGAATTCAATGAGATATGCCATGCCTGCATTAAGATTTAAAACTTGTCGTCTACATATATATATATATATATATATATATGGTTTTTATGAGGGTTTAATATAATTAATTTCCTTATTATATATGTGCGGATTGATGTGTTGCAAGGAACCGCCACTGCTGGGAACATCCGGAGAGAGATCCTAGGAACTCCAGATTCTGAGGAAAACGTTGCGGTGGAGCAATAATGGCTTCACATATGGGTCCTCATCCCGTTTCGGCTGGCTGGCAGGTAATATGACACGATTCCTTCTCTCGGTCCTTTAAATCAGTCTTTCTTGCCTGATACCCCGTCATTTCTTAGTTGCAGCTAAATATTTTTGGGTCATGTTATCTTGTTTTATTCAATAATCTTTGGATCAATAGTTTTTTATAATTTTCTCATGGGGAAAGAAAGTTCCTCTGTGTATGGGATTATTTTGTGAGGGGGAAATAAAAGCTTTATATGCTTCGTTTTAGATGATGAAATCCAGAATTTGTTATTGATAGCTTTATTGTTTGTGCTTTCATCACTGGTTATCCTCATCTTCGCGACGTGATTTTGATGTCGACACCATTTTCTGCCACATACAAGTCCTTTAAATAGGAAATCTCTGAGAACATCCACTTCGCAGGTTTGCACAAATCTATGAAGTTGCACACGGAAGTTCTTCGAAAACTATGTCTGTTTCTGGCGCATCCTCTCTGAGTCTCAGAAACGGAGGATCTGGAGGAGTTGAGTGTCTGATTGGTGCCAAAGATGGTGGGGTCAATAAATGCCGACTCCACAGAGAGAGAGAGAGAGAGAGAGAGAGAGAGAGAGAGAGAGAGAGAGAGAGAGAGAGAGAGAGAGTAAGTTGGCATGGCCTAACCAGGGGATTCTACAAGAGAGCATAAATAAAAATAAAAAATCCCAACCTCTGGAGCCATCCAATATGCACTTCCTTTCGAGGACTTTGACCCACTGATTTCACGCATCTGTTGTTGTGAAAATAATAATAACAGTTTTGAGAAAAAAAATTAATAACTGGTGTGAGAAAACTATGAATAATTGCCATGAGAAGAAGAAGAACAACAATCGTATTAAAAATGATGAATTTGATGAGAAAAAAAATAATTGTGGGAAAGTAATGATAATCAACAAATGATAACTTGCAAGATAAAAAAGTAATAACTAGTGTGAGACAACAAATAATTATTGACCTCAGAACACCAACAATGAGAATAATAAGTTAACTTGATGAGAAAAATAATCATATCCAACATGAGAAAATAATAATAACTTGCGAGAGAAAAAAATAATAATTGGCATGAGAAAACTAATAACAGTTGGTGTGAGAACAATAACAACAGCAATAGTAATAATAATAATGATGAATTTGATGAGAAAAAAAGTAATGATTGACATGATATAAATGTGGGCTTATAAAGGAGGACAAGAGTATAGAAGAAAGATAAGGGGGACGAGTGGTTGTTAAAGAAGAAATGAACCTGCTTTGCCAGTCCAAAATTGGCAAGTTTTACTGATCCGCTTGCATGAACTAGTATATCAGCACACTTTGACGTCTCTACATTGGAGAGGAGAAATCATCTATTAGAATAGTCCCATATATGAATCTGCTCCATAGATTTATTGTTCATAATCTATAACCATAATTTAGTATCTATCTAGGTGATAAAATTGGGTTTTCTAGAAAAATTTCCATTCACAAGACATATATGTAGATCACAATTTATTGCCTGATTTCCTCCAATATTATTGTAAGTTGCAACGACCAAATATTGGCAAGACAAGTACATATTCTTGCGGATTCCTCCACATCTCGCAACCCTTATATAATTATTCAATACCAAAAAAAAAATCTTCAGAAAAATAAAATCATATAAATGTTTTAAGTGAAGTAAACCCAATTCTGGAACTATTATCTGTTAAGTGATGGTACTTATGCAAATAACCGAGGCTCCGGTTTGGAATAATATGAAAAGATAAATATCACCTATGCACAATATCCCGCCCGCTCGTGAAGATATTTCAGACCGTTCATGATCTGCCTTGTATATACAGAAACATGGGAATCTCTTAACCTATAATTTTGATAAAGAGTCACCAGAGAGCCAGCCCTGGGGGACAAGCTCGAGGAAAACATGGGCTCTTTCTCCTTGGTCGAGCAGAGAAACCTCTTTGATTGCAAAGAAAGGGCAATTTCTGCAAGAGAGAAACTGATCAGGCAAATCAGGCGTTTGAAGTCTACACCCTCCGTCGATGGGACATTTACAGATTATCAAGCTGAAAGCCTAAACAATCCTTCTTTCCACTCATTCAAAGTCTTGTTAGAATACCAATATCTTCACTTATGCTTCCTCTAGGATACCTCAACGAGTGATGAAGGACTTTTAGCACAATATCTACCAAACCATAAACTCTAGTGGTTAAACTATTGGAGATCTCCTGGTCAAGAGCTCTCCCAACCACCATTTATCTTGGCAACACATTTTGTTTTATCCATGCTTCTCTGAACTGGGCGGGATTGATTTATTTCTTCTCCACCAAAGAAGCTGATGAAAACAGGAAATTTTAGCTTGAAGACATTCGTCAGTATTATATTCTTTGAAAAATTCTGAAGATTTAGCATCCATGCAAACCAAGAATCCGAGTTCCCAGAGAAAAGTGGATTACTCGGCGATTCGTCTGCAAGGAAAAGCACGGATACATACTAATTGATGGCTTCATACATTGTTCCGAATGATCCACTGCCAAGTCTTTTTCCCTTCATCCAATAAACCATGTTGCGCTTCAGCTTGACGTTGGGCGAAATGGTGTACATCCCCTCCGCGGAGGTTGAGGACGGGCAAACTGGCGTCACAGCCGGCGTCGCCTCCGTTTCATCTCCATGATCCGAATTTTGGGAGAGTTCGCTGAAGCCGGAGAGGGTGCGGGGTGCGGCAGCGAAGGAGATGGGGAGACAGAAGGAGAGGAATAACCTGGAGAAGTAGGCTGTATTATCTCCAGGAGAGTCCTCTGCACTGGATCATGGAAGAAAGTAGACAAGGTTTTTAGGATGAAATCCATTTCCGGCTAGGATGCTCATTCGTGTTCGTTACTCCGCCCTCCCCCTCTCCTCTGTCGCCGAGTGGCCGAAGACCGCCAACTGGTCTTGCGACGAGAAGAAAGCTAGCGGGAGAAGGCAACAACGGATGCTCAGGATGCTCCGTCGCCCTCCTCTCTCCGCCCTCTCCCTCTCCCTCTCCCGCTCCTCCGTCGCCTATGATCAAGGAAGATGCCCCTGACCGAGTCCGGCATTGAATTTTTCTCTCCTACATGAGCTCAATTCTTTCGACGATTAGATCATTCGAGAGTCCACGTCACATTGACTTTCAGCAACTCGGCAGGGGCTCCCCCCGTGGTTGTTTCCTCTGATGAGCTTTGACCTATCCACCCATCAGGCCGTACGGAAAATTAACTGCCCTAAAAGCTATGAGAGGAAGAATCGATACTAAGCCTCCATGTTTTAGAATCTTAAGAGCACCATGAAGAAGAGGTGTTGTGCGATGACATGGGAATCCTCGTTCTTCCCAGAAAATCATCTTGCTCTTAATATGACTTCCAACTCATGACGGGTAACTCATGTTACTTACAGTCGGGTGTGTTTATGAAAGGTTGAGATGCTGATCATGCGGCAAGCTTCTAACTCATCACATGTTTTGTGCTCGCTTTTGTTGGACCGGCAGGATCTAATGAAAGAGAGGATCAACCAGCTGGTCTGGGCAGCTGGCGAGCCAGCGGAGTGTGCCGTCTGTGGTGGGACCAGTAAAATGCCGACTCCGCTGAGAAGATGGGGAGAGAGAGTCGACAGAGAGGTGAGATTTTCCTAATTATGGTAAAAGGAAGGGGAGGGAAAACTCAAGTTCTATCCCTTCCTGGCGTCTCTTCTTCGTTGAAAAACAGCTCCTTTTGGGATGCAACGTTTGATGTTTCAAATTTACGTGCTTAGAAATAGTAACCATGCATGTCACTTTGTATGGATCACATATATCCTAAGACGCTCGTTGCTTGTTTTTTTCAATTAAAAAGCCTTTTGCCCCCCCTGGAGACACCTCAGTATTTTGGGAGAAGTCCCCATCCACAGAGAGAGAGAGAGAGAGAGAGAGAGAGAGAGAGAGAGAGAGAGAGAGAGAGAGCGAATGAAATGTGAAATGGATGCCAAGCATGCTTTCAGGTAATGGCTCCCATACGAAAAACAAAAGGATGGAAAAATGATTTCCAAGCCAAGCTCTTCACTTTTTCCTACCCAGACAAGAACCCACATTCCCCATTTGAAGGGTAGAGAGAGAAAGATGTAGGGGATAGAGAGAAGGGGGGCGGGGGGATGAGATGGACTCAAGAGCACGCTCTCATGTCATAGTTCCTCAAGTTAAACAAAAAGGAGGTAGGATGCTTCATAACAGATGGCAAAGAAGAAGAAGAAGAAAGATTGTGTACCTCAACTCTATGCCATATATATATATATATATATATATATATATCACCCTCCCTCCCACTCTTCTGGTTGGGAGGAAGAGGAGGGAAGGCGAGCCTGAAGAGCCACATCAGCCGCCAGCTGCCTTCCCACGAGACACGTCATACAGCCGTTTCATCCACATCTTCAGAGTGGCGCGGCGCCCTGTTGTCATTCATAGGTTCGCTTCCTCTTCAAGATGGTTGGGAGTATGATGATGGATCCGATGAGAAAGAGGACCACTAAGGTCTTGAAGTCATACAAGTCCCTGACTGAGCGGAGCTCCCCCAGTGCGAGGCCAGCCTAAAGAAGCATTAAAAGAATACGAAGATGATGATGATGATGATGAAGAAGAAGAAGAAGAAGCATTAAAAGAATAATAATAAGAAGAAGATAATGATGAAGAAGAAGAGCAGGATCCTTCGAGTGAAAGGTGGAAGCTAGAGAAGGAGATTGCTAGTTAAAAATGAGCGGGTAAAACAGGATCATTTACACTAAGAAAAAGAAAAGAAAAGGCTGTCATATTTTGAATATTTATATAAATATATTCGCCACTACCTCTCCCACGTATACTCAATCCAAGATTGAGAGTGATGATAGTGAACAATCCCAACTGGCTTCTGCTTCAAAAGGCTTAAGAAAACTGGTCTCAATATTCCTATTCTAGATATCAACGATTTATAATTAAGTTTACAAGGATTGTGCCTCATTGTGCCACTTTTTTCCCGTCTTTTGTTTCTGGTAACAGTTTTACTTCTTTTCACACAAGGTTATCATAATAAGGTTAGATAATGAGATTAAAGGAGGAAAAAAGTACAGACTGATAGAACTTTTAGTAGAAAAGGGTAGGAGGATGTAGTAACTTACTCTGACAGTGATATAAGAAGATGGAAAGAGACCAACCGAAGTGGCGAGGAAGAAAATATGAAATGGTATGTCAACTATCGGAGAGGCCAGATTTATGAAAGTGTTTGGCAAGCTTGGAGTTATCCTCAGAAAGAGCATGTAATTTAATAGCTTTTCTCTGCGCTTGGCGATCTGCAAGGAATAGCGAAAGAGTGAGTGATGATGGATTTCATTATTTTTCCTATTTTTATGGTTTTTTAATCTTAGCGCATCAACAACATAAATAATACCTCCGCTTGGAAGAATCTTAACTTTTCAGGCCATAACCAGGAAATTATGGGCCTACCAATTAACTTTGACAGCAAATAGCATGATGATGCACCTAGAGTTGCAGTAAAGACCACTAAGAGGACGCCTTTCACAACACCAAAAATTGATCCAGCCAGCAACGACAAAAAAATAGTGCCAGGAATCATAAACGTCTGCATAAAGATGTATATTGAACAGTAGCCTAACATAAACTTTGTTTGGTAATTGTTGGCAAAATCTGCCAGATGATCCCTGCAGAGAAAAAAAATAAAAAAATGAAGGGGGAACAGAAAGCATAAGGCAGGTGATACTGAATTTCCTGGGCCAAGAAGGCATGATATTTAAGGGAAATTAACATTGCCAAATTGTGGATAAGAGTAGCAGGGGAAGTCATTGCACAGACAGAATATTATGTAATGCTAGGAAATTAAAACCAGTAAAATGCCGACTTTCGACAGAGACAAGTCATTGAAGATAATGCTGTATTTTGTGCCAAATTTATATCAAAAACTAAAGAAAATATGTTTCATGTAAAATCATCAATCAAGATAGAAAGTTTGGTGTTTACCGACATCCTCAGCAGATAAAGAAAGGAACAAAAGTAGCTGTTGCAAATAATATTTAACGTAACAAGTAGAAGAGAAAATCCGTGTAAAACAGTCAAATTCGACTATACTTTGAAGGGCTAGGTCATTAGGGATCGATCATGGGGCATCGGCAGATTTTTATCCTTAACAGTCATCCAAATAAAAAAGCTAAGGGATCATGTAGAGATATTTAGAAAACTCCATCTAAGGATGAATCCGTAACTTGTGCAAAAGGGGTGAAACTATTCTGATAGTAGCATCTTCATGTATCCCCAAAAATCTTGTCATGCTCTGCAATCTGCGTGGTCCAATCTGCCAACCCACTGTTCTATTTTCAGTGTTCCCAAGACAGTAAAAAAGAAGCTAGAAGTTATTCGGCCCAGATTCTTTGTCATGGAGTGACAGAAGAATCTATGCTCAAAAGTTGTGTAGCTCTTTTCGATGGTACCATTCATCAGTATAAAATAAATTACCATCCATCTAGATCGGGATTGTTCCAGATCTATGCATGATCATAAATACTAGCCAAATCAGGCGTCTACCAATCGCCCCCCTCATCCGGTACCATTCTCCAGAAACATGAGAAGTGGAGAAGGAAAAGAAAACGTAAGATTGACTTACTTAAGGACCCGGATATCTGATATGGAACGAGGCAGTCGGAAGATGCCATACTCTTCCTCCGGCAGTGTGAGGTATATGGAGAAAAGTCCCATGGAGAATAGGATGAACACAGAGGAGGCGGCCGCGAGCTCCCATCTGGTCAGCGGGAATCGACCGTCAATCCTAGCCGGTTTCTTGGTAGTAGGCGAGTCCTCCTCCGTGCTGCATGCGACCCCACCCTCCTCGTCCCTCTGCCTAGATACACCCTCTCCAAGCAGATTCCTCGTCCAGCCCATCACGACCGGAACCCGAGAGACCGATGGAGGCAAAATCCACAGAACCAGGAGAGAACCGAGCAACTGAAAGAAGAGCCGGGGACCGATCCAGCGAACATTATACCCCGCGGCCACCCGCCAGTAACGTCGGACAGATCACCAATTCAGGCCCCAACGCTCCACGGGAATCCAGCTCAACAAAGCGGGATCAACCGATCGACCATCTTTTCCCCCACCAGACACCGGAAAGAAGCACGGAAATTCATGCAAAGAAAGCTGAACAAGATTGAATCTCCCGGAAGCAGCTAGGGCTGTTCTCGACTTCCCCCCTTCTTCGGCTCCTCCCCCTTTTGCGACCGCGGGATCGGAGGATGAAGACGGGGAAACCAGTCTTCGGTCGCAGTTGGGGAAGAAGCACGGTGGCTCTCTAGGGCTGACCACTTCAATTTGCGGTAACATTATTATACTAAAAGCCTTAAAAATTACGTGTTTCCATAATAATTCCCATATGAGATTTTTATATACGAAACGGACATATGTTTTTTTGACTACGTGGAGCACGGTTGTCTAGCACGGGACTATTATAAATAACTAATTTCAGGGGGGTGTTTCAAAAAATATGTATCATTATTATACTAAAATTCTTAAAAATTTTAGTTTTTTTCATAATTATTCCCATATTATTTTATATACAAAACGAGACCAAGTTTTTTGACTACGAGGGGCATGGTCGTCGTGGCACAGGACTGTTATAAAGGACTAATTTTGGTGGGGTTTTTCTCAAAATATTACCCCAAGGCTGTCGATTCAGCGTGCGACGCAGGGCACCACCTGAATTCGAGACGGACAAGAAAAGGAATTCTTTGAATGTGACGTGCACGATGGGCGTACGTCCGGGTGTCGTGTCCACACAATTCGAAACTAAGAGTGGTGATTCACCGCGGATAACGACGGAATGTACCGCCTCGACGTGTACCACAACGTAGCAACTATTACTCCTAAAGTGACGACAAAACAAAAAGGATTGCCCGATTTGGGTGTCGTGGCCATTTGCTAATGGTTATGTTCATTTTCCCGTACATCCCGAGGTTCTAATAAATTTCTAAAAATATATACATATTTTCAAATAAATCCAAAAAGAGAAAAAAATAGCTAGAATAGGCCAGATTTCCATAGAAGCTGCCCAAGAAGAAGACCAAGAAGACAAGAATCTCTCTTTCTGTCTCCCCCAATTATAGTATATCTATAAATATTATTAATATAGGGGCATAGATGGGATGTATTGAAAAGGATAGTCTAGATTGAAATATTTTTTAAAAGATATAATTAAAATGAATTATTATCACGTTATAATATAAATTATTATTAAATGACATTTTTATTATATTTCTATTTGCATTGAAATAAAAATAAAATGCGATAATTTGATGTCTTAAATTATTCCTTATTTGATTTTAATTAAAATAAAATAAAATACTCGTCTTTGTGCCCACTTTTATGTAAAATAGTTACGTTTGTGACCCCAATGAGGATGTTTGACTTATTTTAGTGAATACATAGTCATTTGGTAATATATTTTATTTTCTTGTGTCGAGGCGCAAACTTCAGAAATCCGAATCTGTCTCTGACGAAGTTTACGTAATTATCAGCCTTGACAGGTCATTTGACAAATAATTCGAAAGTGTGCGGCGGTTAGGCGGTGCCAAGACTTCTGGGTATGGTTACAGCATTGGCGTCGTGGAAGCATTTTTACCAAGCTGTCTTGTCGATTTGAGGACGCACGCCGGCTCCTAGAAGACTGGAAATATTTTCCCTATAAGCCAACTCTCCGACCAAGGGAACTCCCGGAAGCGGCAGCCCCATTGGCGGCGGCGAAGTCTTCTCCGACATTCCGGGTCCAATTTGTCTGTCTCTTTGATCGGTGGTGTGCTTCATGCTTGCTGTTCTTCCGTGTTCTTGATTGCTCCAGCTGAGTCCCTTTTCCCGTTGTCCGATTTTGCTTGTGCGTTGGTGTGGGCACAGAACGGTTTGATTGCTCCGGTCCTCCGGGGAGCGGAGACTGGTGAGGGAGGGGGAAAGTCGAGAAGGGAGGGAATTCTGCTCGGGACGGTGAGGGGAGGGGAGGAGCACCGATGGCGAGGGTACTGGATTCTCATTACTTGGCCATCACTGCTATTGTCACGGTAATCCTCTCCCTCTCCTTCTCTCTATGGCCGTACGTTTCATTCGACTCCCATTTCCTTGCCCTCACAGCTCTCATCACGGTAAATTCTCGCCCCTCCCTCTCCCGTTTCCCTATTAGACCGTCAGATGTTTGCTACGGTGGGTTTGACTTTGTTGAGTATTTTGCGCGTTTCAGGTCTTCTATCAGTTCATCTTCTTCGTTATCACTGCGCTTCTCAAGTTCGACAAGATCACGGATTTCGCGGGTGATCCATTCATTCCCGTCTTTTCGTCAGTTCTTCACTGGCTCTTGCCATCTGCTCAAGGGAACACTAGAATTGACATCTATATAGGCATCGAAATGGTGTAATGAGTCTAGAATGTGTATATAGTGGAAGCAACCCAATGGCCACTCGTTTGATATCATGACTGCCCCCTAAAGGGCTTGGGTGAAATGAGCTGGGTGAGAGCCTGGGAGAAGCAATTGATTCGAGAACAAAGGATGGCTGTAGGCTGTAGGTCCCCGGAAGAAAGATAGATAAGTAGAGAGTTATATCGTTTGGCCAGTCTTGAGGAGACTACTCTTATTATATTGATGATTTCACTAGATAAACAACATCAAAACGGAGCCAGGCATGTAGAAGGTTGAGGGGTAGAGTATTGATGGGGGAGAGTACCTGATGATGAGAGATGAATACAATAATATTTCACTTGAATTTCAAAAATTTACGGGACGTCATTGATTCGATGTTCATATTCGTAGTTCAGCAATCGAAATGAATGGAGATTGGGATAACCTTGAATCCACATTCTTTCACGTTGAAGCCTTTTTTTGAAAGTGGATAGTTACCATGTAAAATATTGCAAGTGGTGTCAATGTAGGATGACAATCATATCAAATAAAGCCCCTCTGTAACGACAACACTCTACACCTAGATTATATAGACCCTAATGTTACAGGGAGCATGAAAAATGATGGATTCGTACTCTTTTTCATTGTACTCAGTTCTTTTCTCACACCTTTTAAGTCTTTTCAAGCTTTGCTGCTTGAAAAAGCAATTCTTGTTTTTATTCCCTATGGGAAAGGATCATTTTAAGAATTAGTCGGCATACTTTGATGTCCCTGTAAGAATAAAGTCCTTTCTAGCTCGTATCTGTCTGTGGGGGACGCTAACTTATGCCTATTATTTCGACTTCGTTCTACCCAACCTCTTGTGAGAGAGTTATCCAACTCCTCTTCCCATATAGGTTGTGGGAAGTACTGAATTTACGGATAGAAGTTATCTGACGACATATAGGAAGTTGCACATATTAGATCGTTAGCTGCAACATCTTCCCTTTCAATGACGATGCATATCCCAGAACATGTGATACCATATGTTGCCCAGTGGCCACATTTTGGAGTCATGCGATTGTACTTGCGTCCCTTTCTCGCTATTGTATCTTCCTATATATGCCTTTGTCATGGGAAATGTGTTGGTCTGCAAGTAAGCTGAGTAGGTGTTGTAGTTATCAAATCTCACTACACCACAGTCAAAAGTGTATCTAATATTTGCTTTATTTGCTTCACTGAATAGAAGATGAAACTGCTCATTTAAAGTTAGGAATCAGCGTGTCCTATTTTCTTAAAAATGATGTCTATCTGTGTATATGTCTATGTTCTAATGTCGGCACCATGTTATCAACCATTAGCACATGCCAAGTCTCCAATATTTCTCACCTCACCCTCCTGACAGTACTCATTGCAGTAGGTTGTGTATCCCCGTAATCTTGCTATCGTTCAGTCCCACTTCATACCCACCAACGCTTGCCTAGACTGCCAAATTGATAAATTGATGTCCCTGATATTGACGATGCCTAGACTCTAATTACCTTTGTGTTTGCATATTCTTCTGTAGCAGACACCATGTCAGCTAGTTCCATGTATATAGTTTCTAGCCTCTTTGCCTGAGTACTTGGAATCCAAAATAGGAACAATCAACTTATAGCAATCTAAACAACAAAATACATAGTGATGGTTTGGTGTCACTGAAGAGAATATTTCCTTCCCTTTCTATCACTTGCCATGGAATATATCTGGAATCTTCATCCAATCCGTGGAGTGGACAATACTCTCAGTAATCAGCATCGTCCAATATGAGATACGAAAATCTCAAGTCCAAAAACATAGTGATGCTACTACTAATTTCCCTTCCATCATTGTCCAAGAATACTACTAATGTAGTTTTATAATTCACCTCAAGTCCAGTATTTTTAAAACAATTTTGAAATCAATCTAATTAGGTATATTTTTTTCTCTAATTAAGGCCATGCTTCTATCGTTCATACATTTGAGATATTTACTTTTAACCCTCGTAGTTATAGCCTAGATCCTGATAAGTTTTTTTGGGATCACTGCAAATAATGTGTTGTTAAGGTACTCCTAGGATATTTCTCGTCAGAAAAATACCTTTGTTGCTGTCATCATCTCTGTTGAACTTCTCTCCCATTTTGAGGATCAAACTATGACAGTTTTTTGTAGCTCCTTTCTCTATTTCAACTTCTCAATAAATGTGTTGAGAATTTTTTTGGGGATTTATTTTTTAATGTTTTCTTTTTATATTTCAATTACATCTAGTATATTCTTTTGTGTTTCGTGGTAATGGATGACCTCCACGATCAAATAATGACCTGAGAAGACTCAAATTACATGATTCAATGGAACGTCTTGTCCTTTCATGTTGGCTTTATCTTTGGCTCTTAACTGCGATCAGAAATCTTAGACCACATGATGCTTTTCAATGTCTCAAAAAGTCAATAAATTGCAATGGTATTTCACCCGGGAGTAATCCCTGAGTCCATTCGGATCTATTAGGTTGGGACTTTTAATCTGCATGGGGGTTGTAATGGTTTTATCGCCAACTTCGAGAATATGTATGCTTCTGTGCTATTCAATGATCTATTATTTATAGTTTCTTGGGTCAATTTTATTAGAAGTGTATAGTGACTGCGTCAGTATAGGTTTGCATTTTCTGATTTCAATATATGTTTAAGTGCACATAGTAGCATGATTTGAAAGGTGGACAACATTATGGTCATACTTCCCATGCCCATTATCTTTTGTTTTGTGAGTGGTTTCTTCACAGGCGTTGTTGTGAATTGATGTTGTTTTAAGGCATTAGGTAGACTCTGTGGTCCTCAGTTGCTGTCATTTATGCATGAATGTCTTCATGAAAATTGACACAGGCAGTAAAAAACCTTTCATTTTCTTGTAGGAAGCACAAACTTTGTTATAATAGCAGTGCTGACACTTATTTTGAAGGGAGAATGGTATTTCAGACAGGTACATTTCTCCCTCAGATTGTAGGCTATCCAATGCTTCTTTTTCAGTTACACGTGTGGTATACATATGATAAGATTGTATGATAGTATGTTTTTTTTTATAGCAGTTCATCTTCATGTGTGATTGATGGCTTATTCACAGCCTTCTGTTATGAGCCAGTACGACATTGAAAATGTTGGCTCCAGCAGTTTGACCGAAGTTTCAGTGCTTTATTTTCCATGTCTTGAACCTGTTTTTGGATCATTCTGTAACTAAAATGGTCATTCTATCAATTTGTGTAATGACCCGTGGCTACAGCGTTTTAGTAGAATATTAACCTTGATGTTTCACGAAAGTTTGGAGTTCCATTCTTGGCTACACTATATGTGGATTTTCTAGAATAATTTAAGCTTCTCGACTAATTGATATATTCTACACATCTTTTAGGAATAATTAAGGTTTTTTTTATTAATATATTTTTTAAATAGTTGTGATTTGCATTGGGTAAGTCTTACAAATATTAGTCATTCGTTTGACCTACTGGGCATTCAACTGATTCTGCGAGTCATGGTCGATTCTAGTCATAAGGGTGAGTTGAGGGCGAGGTAAAGAGTTACGGACTCGGCTCTTGGATGTCCAGAAATTTTGTTAAATTCTCTGGCGGTCACCTGCCAAAGCTACTGAGGCCAAGGTCGCAATAATAGTGTGGCTTGCTGGGCTAGAAGCCTTGAAACGAAGAGTAGATGTAATGTGGTAGAAAGTAAAGAATTAGCTAATCTGATGTTTTACTCGAAGAATCCTGCTACAGCTGCTAGGTTTGGTTACTTTTTAACGATTAATCAGAAGTCTTGCCCTTATTAGAGGTATTGAACGAAGTCTGCAATGGTTTTGCCTTATATGGGACAGATACTCGGTAGAAACTTTATGTTTCTCGGATGCTCCAGGATGGATAAAAAATTGTTTGGTAATTGTAACATCTTGGTGATAGTTTTTATGCTGTCTGCTATTGGGTGCTTTTCTGAACATATGGGAGAGTTTAACCAAGGTTATCGTGCTTGGAGGCTGCACCTGGTTATAAAGAAGATAGAAAATAGACGACAGTTGCAGAATAAGGAATGATTGTATTCTCCTGTTGTCGTTCATATAATGACTACCTAGATTTAGTATGGTTAATTTCTTCATTTGTAAGTCCAGATATTATCTTTAATTCGTTGTTGCTTAGATTTGGATAAGTTCAGTTCTAAAGCCTTTTCCTCTAATAGCTATACTCCCAACAATTATAGTTTTTCATTGGGCGCTATGAGTAGTTCTTACAATTGGGGGTACAAAATATTTGCTTGCATCATTTTGAATCACTGTCACTGCCTATGGGAGCTATTGCTTCCAATCATAGGACAATTGCCTTTCTTATTATTGAAGAAATTCAGATAGAAAGTGAGGGGAAGGAAAAGAAGAGGAAGAACCACAAAACGCTTGGTTGGGATGTGGACTGTGGAGAGAAGCCTTTCTTACACATTGACCCAAAGCTAGGTCCAATGTTTATGCTATTGTGCCTGAAGACGTACATAAGTGGGCCTGAGATAGTTAGCCTATTTCATAATGAAAAGGACAACTCAGAGACAATCAATGACACTTCTCAGTATCACTTCCATTATTGTTTTAGTTATTTAGAATTCTACGATCAATTATTCTATGTTCTGCTCCTTATAGAACATTTACGTGCATGTGTTGGAAGTTCTAGGTCGTAGGGAAATAGTGTAATTAGTTGAGGATGTTTTTGGAAAAGTTGTGTATTGTTACTCCCTATATAATGGGGGTTAGAGTTGAATGAATCTTGAGGCGGTTTCCGCCATTCTCCCCTCTGTCCTTCGTGACGAGGTTTTTTTTCTCCATTTTCAACAATCTGAAGTCATTATTGTTGTAGAAATGGCTACCACTTGGTGATAGCAAGCATCCAATTATGTTTCTGTTGTATATACTGTCATCGAATGTAATCTTCAGTAGAGTTTACGGAGAATGAGAGGCTTTCTGTAAATAATGTAGACATTACCACCATTTCACTTAATTAACTGACAGTTGCTTGAATGATATACACGTCATAGTACTGTATTTTATTTATAAACATGTTCAAATCTTCCTCACCTACACAGTGGTAAAGAGTTGTACTGAAGCCAAAATGCTGCTATGAATATTGTCTATTGCAATTTTCCAAAATATGATTCTCCTTACTAATGGTTATATTCTGTTTCCAGGTCGTGTTGACGCTCCTAATTGTCATCTGGGGCCTTCGGCTGGGAATCTTTTTATTAATGAGGTACGCTGGGAAGACATTTCAGATCAAGGTCAACTTTTTTACATTGTTAGAAAGTCGGGGGTCCCTTGTAAAGAGGAGATTTTGTGTGGCATTTAGGTGTTGGTGGGAGAATCAGTTTGGAGCGGTATGTGGATTCTGTGAGTGGATGCCATCACAAAATTACGTACAACAGTCCATTAGATACAATGGCAATCAATTTACTGTCTTTTTAGAGTTATTTGACCATCCAAAGTGGCTTTTATAACCACTGGTTTATTTCTATAATAACTAATTTGGGGCTACTCTTAACGCATCGGTCTCTCCTCTATTCCCTAATTTATTGACTGCGACATTAGGCTTAAGATTTAAATGGCAGCGCAGAGGGTAGGTGTTATATGGCAGAACACGAGTTTATGCACATCGTGTACATAGGCATGTGTTTTATCATTATAAGTGGACATGAAACAATGGCAGTCTTGTTTGAAAAAGATAGTATTTGCACCTGATTTCTCACCGTGTTAGATATGCGTTTGTACCATAACTGAATATTGAAAAGATAACTCCAATAAGTGGGATTTTGATGTGATGAACTGCTGGATAGAGAGATGAAAAGAACCCTATCAGTATCAAGTATGTAGCCTGCCTTATGATCAGTTTGTTAGACGATTCTTTGTTCTGTTTCAATTTTAAGGATCCTTTCCTGTTCCATTACAATTGCAGGTTCTCTGGATGTGGTATCCTGATGTGGTCTATTTTGCCTAAAGTGTGATATACGTTGCTTGCATTGACAGGATCTTGCAGTGGGGAGAAGACAGGCGTTTTGATGAAATGCGCAGCAACCTTGCTAAATTAGCCGTCTTCTGGATATTTCAGGTTTCTTATTTTCTACGTGTATTGGCTACAAATGGTGATAAAATTCCGTCACTTTATCTGATTATTGATTCTGAAAAACTATGGTTTTAACAGGCTGTTTGGGTCTGGACGGTGAGCTTGCCTGTCACGATTGTCAATGCCAGCAATAGGAACCCATCGGTCAAACCCCAAGATGTCATTGGATGGCTCATGTGGCTTGTAGGTCTCTTAGTCGAGGCAGGTGCCGATCAGCAGAAGCTCTCATTCAAGAACTTGGCATCCAGCAGGGGGAAGTGGTGCAACATTGGTCTTTGGAAATATTCACGGCACCCAAATTACTTTGGCGAGGTGAGCCCAGTAATTTCTTCTTCCTGGTATTCCCCTTGATCTTCATCTTCTTGATGCACAGAAAAATATTGAATGAATCACCTCCTTGACGCTGAATATTTTTTTTTGCTGTATATCATTTCCCACTTAAATTCGCAACACAGTCACCAGGGTTTTAGTCGTTCTTACTCTCCACTACTGCTTCTGCCCAAATTATCCATCTTACACAGATTTTCCGGGTATATTTTAATTTGATTTCTGATGATTGGCAATAATATGATTTCTTGTATGTATTGCTGTACTAATTTATTAATATATGAATTACTAACTAAAATGCATCAAATGCTTTTTTATTAATTGCGGGTGTTTATTAGTTGACAATTTGATTCCCCTTGATCATCTTCTTGTGCCCCCACGAAGTTCCATTAATTATTTGCCAAACTGCTCCATCTCCTTCAGATCTTCCTCTGGTGGGGAGTCTTCCTGGCTTCCACCCCTGTTCTGGAAGGCGCCGAGTGGCTAGTAATCTTCGGCCCAGTCTTCCTCACTCTCCTGCTCCTCTTCGTCAGTGGGATCCCCCTTCTTGAGGTTCTCCCCCCCGTCTTTCCTTCCACCATTCCCAATCAGATACATTCCAAATCTTCATCATTCTAACATTCTCCTTTCTGATGGTTTCCTTAATTAGCAATCGGCCGACAAGAAGTACGGCAGCAATGAAGAGTATCAGGCCTACAAAAACACCACGAGGTGGGTCTCCATGGAAGAATTATCTCATGATATTAAATTAACTTGTATGATATTAACTTATATATTTTTATTTATATCTTTGTAGCCCTCTCATTCCATTGCCCCCTGTGGTGTATGGAGCATTGCCCAAATGGTTCAAAGCTGCTGTGCTCTTTGAGTTTCCCCTCTACAACAAGAATTTTCGACCTGAGGGGAGCTTGACATAATGGTAAGAGAATCATATCCGCCTGTGATCTGGAGCGCACTGCTTTCTATCTCATCTCTTTATGTATCTCCCCTCTTCTGTATCTGGTTTCTGTGGTCACACCCTCACCCGGCTTATCCTTTTTCTCCCAGCTTCCCATGATGTTTTTAAATGGCGTTTCTTTCCTCTTCTGGGGTAATTTCTGCAATAGTGAGGTCCCTCTTCGGGGTCCAGTTGTTTTCATCTGTGGAGAAGAGTTGAGGCTACTTCAATGCCTTACGATGAACCCTAGACATGACTTTGAAGGCGCTGTGTGGCTATATATTTTTTGCAGAAATTTTCTCTAATCAAGTTAATTCCACAACGAATAAATAATTATTTATCTCATGGAATATGATTAATAAATGAGGAAAAAAAGGAAAATAAACTGGGAAATTTCTGGGCACATGTTCTTTATCTACTCTTCGTTTTACTGGCAGAGGACCCACCCTTTTATCTACTGCTGATTGGGTTCATCCTCTTTCTGGGCACTGCTTAAGAGTGGTAACATACATTAGATCGATGCCAAAAATTAACCAGTTAGAAGCATGTGATTATCACAATATGCCGTGTTAGTTTCCTGAAATCGTGGAATGGGTCCAGCAAAAATGTTCAAATGGTGTAGGGTCAACCCCCAAGAGTAGTCAATCTAAAAGTGGTAAGAGGGGGAGACTTGATATGGTTGACTGCATAGAGTTGTGAATCTATGAGGATATATTAGTCATACTTCTCTTGAAATCATGGATTGGGTCTAACAAAAATGTTCAAATGGAGTAGGGTCAACCCCCAAGATTAGTCAATCCAGAAGTTGTAAGCGGGCAGGACATATGATTGGCTCCATAGAGTCATGAATCTATGCGGAAATATCAGTCATACTACTTTGGTCCACAAAAGCCATAAATATAGTGGAGAACTGAATTAACTAATGCATCTATGATCATATGTCGAATAAGTAGATGGTACTAAAACCAATATTTATTTTTGAAAATTATTTTATTCCAACCTATTATGTTTTCAATATTTATAAAAATACCAAATTCAGTCTCCTTTTGGTTCTTGCCTTGGCATTCTTGAGCCACACCAGCTTCATGTAGATTTGTGACATTGAACAGAAAATATAATTGATAATTATTTTTTCAGCAATAAATTAGGACAAAAAAAATTAAAGGTTAGTGCCAGATTCATTATGACGTTGAAGATGGGGTGTTAGACCATTGTGATGATGGGATACTTGTATTTATGTAAATATTATAAGGGTAGAAGAGTTATTTCATCTAAGACAAATATATTATAACCTGCTACTTGGTCCACAAATATTATCCGTATCATTTAATATATTAGAAAAAAATATTTTGAAAAATGTAATTTTTAATTTAATTTTCGAGTTGGCATAAGACTCAATTATTTTTCAATGAATTCAAAGGTTACCTTCGAAAAGCAATATTTTTCTGTGTTTAGTCATTCCAAAATATGAAAAAAGGGGAGGAAATAGTTCCATATATATACAGAGAATAGAGCTGAACTAGTAGTGGGTCTCTCTCTCTCTCTCTCTATCTCTTCCTGAATCATCCCTCTTTTGTTGCCTCATATCTCAAGGATAATATGGTCTTTTTTTAGGGATAAAAAAGGCCAGTTTTTAATTATTATTAAGGTTACTTACTTGAAATGAAGATCAGTGGAAATTTGTGTGCATTATAACCCACCCTTTTAATATATATTTCTCCTAGTACTTGGATTTTGCATAAAAACCCTTTCTTTGGGGGGTGACGGAGTCGTTGAAGGGTTCGTTTGAAAAAATGCTATTAGACATAAAAATAAGACGTTGACCGTTAAGCGAAGAATCCTCAGTTGGGATGCTCTTGTCTAGTTGGACCGTTCTACTGACCGTTAAGCCCAGTAGAACGGTCCAGTTTCGATATTTTTATTGGGCCAGGAGTAGCCCAATAACGGGTTCGCCGGTGAGCAGCTGGTGGTGGGTACGCCGGTGAGTCCCCCTCACTTTCTCTCTCTAGATCTCCACCCTGGTGCTGCTTCTGCTGACGGGTTCTGCAGGAAGGATCGGGATGGCGGGGTGGATCTCCTCGAAGCTGAAGGTCGCCGAGAACCTTCTACATCAGGCAAGTAGAAACCAGTCCCTTGCTCCCTGGTTTCGATGGTCATGGAATTTTTCCGGTGATGGTTCTGCTGTGGATGTCGTTTTTGTCTTTTGTTCGAATGGGAATTGGTCCAGATCGATCAGCAGGCGGCTGAATCCTTGGGTAAGGGTGAGCGGCCCCAGTCGCCGCTTCTGTTGGATGAAGGGGAGGAGGACGAGGCGCAGAGGAAGAAGGCGGAACCGGTGCCGGTGAAGCTACAGCTCCCGAAGAAGCCGCCTGAGAGAGGGCGATCTCAGGATTCCGGCAATCGACCGGCGAGGGTGTTCAATTCGGCAGATGTATCCAGGACCTCCTCTCCCTCGACGCCGCCGTTGGCGAGCCCCGGCTTGGCGACATCCTCCGTGGCGTCCATGGATGGTGACTGGACCAAACTGCTCAGTTCGCCCAATTCCGTCAGTACCGGGGGCAGCACCTCCAGTGTCTCATTCCCATCTCCCAGGAGCACAAGAAAGCATGTTTTTCCGAATCGGAGGAGCTCTGGCAAACCTGGAAGGCATGCAGAAGCTGCACTAGCAGGAGAAAATGTGCAGCACCCCCACACAGCTCGTGATGGAACTACTACCGATTCTTACGTTGGAAGTGACGCTCGTCGGACCATTGTTCTACCGGAAGCTGCCGGGGCTGCACCAGACCCATTGAACGATCGGCTCTCTCTGGAGTCTCGTGGGGATATTGGGGCTGCTGTTTCAAAAACTAGTATAGACAAAAAATTGATCGAGAAAGCTCATACTGGAATCCCTGCGGTGGCTGCTTGGGGTAAAGCGAGAGACGTTGACTCTTCAGTCTCTAAAGAGGATGAAGGTATCATGGTGCAACCGGTGACTGATTTGAAGGGGCAGGCTGGCGCAGGTAGAAGTGAAACCGGTAGTGTAGAGGATGTGCAGGAATCTGCTGTGACTCTGCATGGTTCCCCAGACATGTTGTCAAGAATTACTCCAAAAAGCAGTGGAAGTTCTGAGTCAGATTCAGACTCGGCTTCTTCATCTGATTCTGAATATGAGAGTGAGAGAAAAATGGAGAGAAGAAAGAGAAAGGAAAGGGTTCTTGCAGAGAAAGCAGCTGCCCTGGCTGCAGAAGCCATTAAAGAACGAGAGAACCTTGTTGCCAGGTTAGAGGGAGAGAAACAGAGTCTGGAGAAAGTCGTTGAAGAGCGTCAGAAACAACAAGCACAAGAGGTAAGATTTTGTCCTGATAATCAGCTTCCTTTCTAATCAATTCGACAGATGGAAACATAGTGGTCATAATTTCCCCTTTGGACACAATAAGAGTTCTGAGAAGTCTTCCATAATGTAATGTATTGCATTCCGCTGGGGAGCGGTCAATAGTTTCAGTGTAAATTCAACTAAGGTGTTATGTCTTTGACCAAATAATTAGTCCTACTCTATACATGTCAAGAAACTCAAACCCACCATCCACATAGCTACACAGTATATAATTGAGATTTCACTGAGGACCATCCTTTAGCCATTCACTTCCTCTGTTATCCTCTGCATCTTCATTATGTGAGTCTGGACTAAAAGTTGGTGGAATTATATGAATCTAAATTTTTTGCTTCTGTACTACTAAACGAAAAACAGCGTTTTCCTAACTTTGTCGTTATATAATGAATAGTTCTTCCCTTATCTCTGGATAATTTATACACAATGGAATTTGCATGAAGGTATCTCTCATCCGTACAACTGATGTTCCCATAATCTAAGTTTAATCCTTGTGCAAGCCTAGAATTTGAGAAAGAAGACATTTTCTTTAGGAATATCTGTGGGTGTGACATGCTGATGCTCATTAGAGACATTGATCAGTTGTCCAGACAAACACCAAGCCCCCCTCTCTGTCCTTGAGAAAAAGAAAGTGTTGACAGTAAAAAGCATGCAGATGCGGATGCAAGAATAAGCTTCTTGCTTCGTTTGGACGCAAGCTATTATATTTTCTTCCAACCAGACTACCAGGTTTGTAGCAATGGGTATGGTGATATCTTGAGGGCACATATCTGGTATGATAATCTATGTAGCAGAGCTGGTTGGTATTAGGAGAAAATTCTGTAGTTGCATTTTACCATATATGAACGCTAAAAGTGACACATATATATATGCTCGCTTCTGCAACCGTCTCCCTCCATTCCTTACACATATTTTGCGAGATAGTTAAACAAATGTTAGATGATTATTTGGAATTTTTTTAGCTACTTATCAGGTTAGATTTGGAAGGCACTTCGTACTATTTGTCGCTTCCCACATAGGAACATAAGATCTTGTCGTTTTTGGGATTATATATGCTCACTTCTGTACTCTCTTTTTGTCACTAACCCGTCTTTTTAATCCCAAGCCTGGTCTTGTTTACTGTTGATCATGCTGTATGGAAAGAATCGTTAATGTTTTAACTGGATAGAGTTTGCTTAGAGATTTACCATTGACCACTTTTATATTTCCAGGCATCACAGTTGCAGTCTAGTATGATGGAAGCAATGGAGGCTGTGGAACGTGAGAAGCAGAAACACAATAGCACTAGAATGGAGGCCCTTGCTCTCTTGGCTGAACTTGAGGTGCAATGCCTTGAGATGTTGAGTTTTTCTATTTCATTAATTGTAATAAAAAAAAATATATTTTTTAAACCCTGACCATGGGGGTATTGCAATTTTTTCGGTTAGTTATTAGGAGATTCAGTGCCTGAAGATTTTAAAATGGTCATTGCTGAAATTTGAATGGTACTGCAGACTAGAAATGCTGAACTTGCCAGATCTTTGGCGACCACTCAGTGGGATCTTCAAGTTGAGGTATGATATGGTTCTCATTTATTTAAACTCGTCTTCATTAAAATATCGATTTTAATCATTTTCTTTATACAGAGGAATTCAATGTTGTTATGGATCCAAATAAAAAGAATATAGTCGAATATTTTATAGCACAAGCTTAACGTTAAATTTTGAAGAATCATTTACTGTAAAATTTATAATATATTAAAAGGTTTATTTATTTCAATGATATCGTGCCTTAGAAATTTGATGAAAAGATAATTGGTTAAGAAGAAGTGTATGGTTTATGCATTCATAAAATATCGAAGGTAGAAAATTTGATGAAAATAACTGCAATGCGTGATGGGAAATCCAATGTAGCGTCACACATAATTTCTTGGTTGATTCAGTGCTTAAAGTGCAATGAGAGCATTGAACAGCTTAAAGGATGATTTAGCTATTCTATATTTAGTATTGTTACAGAGATATTAACTGCACAGTTGATGTTTGGATGGTCATAATTGTACATATGTTGTGTCCGGTGAACAACAATGTTTTTTGGAAAACTTGAGCTAATTATTTCAATGGGAAATTTGTCATTTGATTAGCAATGAATCTACCACAGCTCTCGTATTTTTTCCATTGGGTAAAGTAGGAAGTGATAGCGGGCAAGGAGAAATGAAAATTAAATTGACGTCGTTCTCTTCTGGCATATCTTTTCTTTTTACAAGCATTTAACCGACTTCTCTTATTCACAATGCATTAGGTGAATCGTGTAATGGAACTGCGTGAAATGGTTGAATCAAAGGAACTGGCACAAGAAGGTGTCAATTTTTACTTATAAAGCATTGGAAATTCACAAGATATTTTGTTCTATCCGTCACCTTTTAACTGTTCTTGTTTCTTTTCTGTTTTTTGTGGGTTTGGCTTCCATTGCTGTTTTTCGTTGTCAACTTTGAACATCTTTCGTAGTTTCCAAGTGCAGTATAACATCCTTTCAGTATTTTGCACTCAGAAACCAAAGAAATTCTTCTTGGTATTTTAACATTTTTTTCACAGAGTTTGGACCACAATCTTCCAAGTGCATTTTGATGGAAGATTGTGGGGATCTTTTGGAAATTAGTTTACGATTTTCCTGGAGAAGTTAGAAACTGAAGAATACATTTCTTTCTGAAGGCATGGTATGGGCTGAATAACTGATTCCTGTGATTCTTATCTAATGTATGCCTTCCATCGTTGTTCCGAGATAAATTATTTGAGATTTTATCTCCTCGTCGAATTTGGTATTGTTTGGAATAATGTAGTTGGCTTACGCTTGATACAAATTAGCATTTGATTATTTCCGTTTTGTGGTGCAGAGCTTAGAAGGAGAATGTCAGATATTCGTCCGAATGCTTCTTCAGACCATGTCAGCTAGTTCTCCTATTCATCTTGACTTTTTCTTTTGTTCATTGCCTTACAACTGAACTAGTAATAATGTTGACTACAGAACTCTTTACCTTTCCCATCCAGGGTTAGTTTTATAGTATGCTTTATCAATGCTTTAACTCGATTCCTTTCCTAATGGGGTCTGTACTAATATTTTCCAGAAAGAAGCAAAAAGAAATGAATATGAGCGTGAAGCACTCGAGGCAGAGTACTATTTCATATGTGATAAGATTGGCCAAATGAAAGAAAAGGTTGGTTGTGCGTTTACGTTTTCTTGAAATAAACCGCTAGAATTTTATTTTTTTTCTTAGTCTTGTGCAGATTTTTCTGATAGCTTTGGGCGTCACAATTTTCTTTTTCCATCAACGAAATAAGAGTTCACTTAGAGACTTTGTTGTCGCATAAGCTGTTCATCGACATCAAAAGTTAACGCTTTGTTTCTCAAGCAAGCATTCGAGCCATAAAACCGGATGTTGACATTTTATCATTGGTAAAATCCAAAGGATGGGTTTTATTCAGCTGAATGTATACATATTTATCATCATAGATGCTGATATTCTGACCCTGTTCTTCTTGGCTGCAACTTTGCCTGCTTATTTGACTTCTCTGTCTCCCCCTTGGTTGGGGCCAGTGATGATACAATAAGAGCCTATTTTCATCATCTTGCATGCTTTTTATTTTCTTGATGTTGCACCTCTTCCTCGAAATAAATTGCTGAAGTATCCCAATTCTTTCCCAAAAAGATTTTTTTTTAAAAAAAGGGCTTACATGTTATTGAGAGACGATTTACTTTAATTGTCTGATTTGTTTGTTGGCCGCATTTGCCTCTTGAAGGTGGGGAGTCTGGAAAGGAATATTCAGTCGACAGAGGGATTATTGCACCCAACCGAGGTGGAGATCGAGCTGAAGAAAAGGCTGGAGCAGTTCACAGATCATCTTATACAGAAGCAAGCCCAGGTGCCGTCACTATTTCTTTAATCTTTAGATCTATCTCTGATTTAATTAATTTAGATCACCAGTGCCTGGAGAACCATTTTTTTTTATCTATTATAGAAAATAACGTGCGATCATGACTATATTTCAGTTTTATGGTTGATATAAGAATGGTTTCACATTTATTAATATAGAAATGAAGCGTTGACTTCAGAGATGGGATGAGTTGGTCTGCCCAAGAACTGTTGACAATTTTCCAAAGGCTATGTGAATTTATTTGGTTGATCTAAGATTGATTCCACATTCATTAATATAGAAATAAAACGTTGACTTTAGAGATGGGTAGAATCAGTTTTCCCAAGAACTGTTGACAATTTTCCAAAGGCTATGTGAATTTATTTGGTTTAAGAATGATTCCACATTTATTAATATAGAAATATAACGTTGACTTTAGAGAGCGCAGAGTTAGTCTGCCCGAAAACTATTTGACAATTTTCCAAAGGCGGTAAAGCCTGTGAGATGATTCCATCATCAGTGAAGTCCTCGCGAAACTAAAGGCTAAGACCCTAAAATCGTCGTTTGAAAATATTTTTTTCCCGGATCTAGCATTATTACTTTGACTGAACATTCTTGGCGCTGACCCAGATTTCCCTCTGACCTTTTTCATCAGGTCGAGTCTCTCTCCTCAGAGAAAGCTACCTTGCTGTTCAGAATAGAGGTATGTGGCCCCCACCATCCATTTCCTTGTCTATATCCATGAATATTTTCCTTTCCCTCTTCGTTCTGAATGCTCACGATTCCCAGAATAAATAAAATTATTACCTGGAAGATTATTCTTCCTATGAAACCAGAAACTTTTTGCATTCCCAGCCTTTTTGAACAATCGTAGATATAATTTTATTTTATTAACCATAAATGGACATTGAAATCCATCATATGTGGATTCCTTCTAAACAACAAAAACCCCGTTGACCCCACAGTGATGGGTCAACTCATTAAGGCGGCGGAAAACCGACACATCCCCGTTGACTTCATGATTTTTCCCATTTCCCATTTTAGTTGGAAGCTTCTTCTAACTGGGCTATCTCTGTCCGAGTTGCAGACGATATCCAGGTTGCTTGAAGAAGAGGGGAAGAACTCGCCGGAGGGTTCGGCGAGGGTTGACATCGAGGCCGGCGGTAGGGTCAACCGGCCGGCGGCGTTGTATTCCACACTGCGGCCGCTGATCAGGGCGAAGATTGACTCCGGCGAGCGGCAGCTGGGGTCGTTCGTTCGGCAGGTCGACGACGTCTTCGCCGCCGGCGCCGTCTTTCTGAGGAAGAATCCGGCGGCGAAGGTGGCGGCGTGGGCGTATCTGGTCTGCCTCCACCTGTGGGTGGCGTATATTCTGACCTCCGATTCCTCGCCGGCGGCGATGGCCGGTTCATCGTCGGAGAGGATCAACAAGACCTCAGTCTCTTGATGGGTTGGTTCACAGCTTCAAATCAAGACTCTCTCTCTCTCTCGCTCTCTCTAGTAATGGGTGCATTACTGAAGTGGAGAGGGTCTGTGTGGACAATTTGGTCTTCTTACAGCGCAGACTAGGCAGAATCGAGTCAGAGAGAGAGAGGCAGGGTTTAATGTCTAGAAAGAAGCTCTACATAGTTTTAGGGAGAGAGAGAGAATGAGAGAGAGAGAGAGGCAGGGTTTATTGGTAAGAAAAGAAGCTCACGTACTAAATTTTAGAGAGATTCTGTTTAGACCTCGGTCTCTTAATGGGTTCACAGCTTCCTTAAATCAATTCTCTCTCTAGCAATGCGTGCATTACTAAATAGAGGGTCTGTTTAGACGATTTTGTCGTCTTACAGCGAAGGCTAGGGAGAATCTAGTGAGGGAGGAGAGAGGCACTTAGTAAATTTTAGAGAGAGAGTGAGAGCTGGGAGAGTCGGAAGAGGCTCCAGAAGCCTCCAATTTCCTTCTTCCCGACGACGGGTAGAGTGGAAATTCTAACTTTCTGGGGGGCAAAGAGTCAAAAAACTACAACATGGGAATCCACCGGCTGACACCTATCAATCTCCCACGTGTCCCCATCCCACACACTCACCGAAGGCTTCCCAGTTCTTATAAGAACTCTCTATCGTCTCTCTCTCTCTCTCTCCTCCATTAATTAAGAGGAGTACAAGTAACCCAGGTACGCTGCCACTCTCTCTCTCTCTCTCTCTACTCTTTATCGTTTCCTCTTCGACGAAGACAGCGAGGAAACCTCTCTCTACGAGCAAGCACATCGAGATCGGAGGGATGCTAACAAAAATAACAGCAAGAATCCAGGGAACATCGAGATCGGAGCAAAAGGAGCCGCCCGTCGCTGTCGTCTTCAACTCCTCCTAACCCCCCTTTCCCCCCACCCAACTGGGCTGGAGAGGCAGAGCAAGAGAGAGAAGAGGAAGGAAAGAGTGAGAACGCTAGAACTGATGACAGCAAACCACTCGAAGGGAAGGAAGAGGGTGCTCAGGAGCGGGGGCAGAAGGTTAGGACGTAGCTCGCGGCAGAGCAGGTGATGATGCTCGTTGGGTCGTCGTACGCGTACGAGTACGCCCGCGGGCACGCCTCCTTGAACAGCCTCGAATATGCCGTCGGCTTGCACTGCTGCGGCCCGCCGAAGCTCCCCGTGCAGCAGAACCTGTCAGACCGGAACGCATAGCACGCGCTCTTGCAACCCACCACGCGCCCGTCCTTGCCGGACTTCACCGCCAGCCCTGCCGGGCACACGCCGTTCAGGTCGCTCGCGCACCCCGCGGCCGCGCACCGCCCGCCGCGCCCGCGCACGGGAGCCAGCGCCATGCCAAGGTTGTACCCGTCGACAAGGCTCACGTCGTAGAAGTCTTGCTCTCCACCGAGGGTGATCTCCGCCAGCGTCGCGGGCGGGGCGCCGCCGGCCCCCTCGCAGTAGAGGCCCGCGCCGCAGTCGCCGGTGGCGCAGCGGCCCCTGCCGGCGCCATCGAAGGCGCAGTCTTGGCGGCCCCAGAGGCGGCCAGACCAACCCGCCGGCAGGCGCAGGGTGTAGGCCTGGTTGGGGAGGAGCCCGAAGCCGCCACGGGCAAGGATCGGCTTGCCGGCACTCGGCTGGATGCCTGGCCACACCGGGTGCGAGCACCGGTTGTAGATCGCCATCGTCGCCGCCTCCGCTGCGCCGCCGGTGAGAACTAGCGCCGCCACCGCCGCTGCTGCAAAATGCGCCACACTCGTCAATGAAAGAAAGCAAGAGGGAGAGAGAGAGAGGGAGATGGGGGCTCTGGGGGTACCATGGAAGAGGAGAAGCAGCTGGGTGAGCTCCATTCTGCAATGTGGGTGTTAGGGAGGGGACGTGGGGGAGGAGGAAGATAAAGGCAGCGGAGGGAGTGGGGTGGGAGCTCAGTGGACGGCCATGGTGGCCTCGAGAGGCGTGAAAGCAGTGAGGGTTGGTCGAGCGCTGACAGGTCGCTGGTAGAGAGATAGAGAGATGTAGAACAGGGAGAGGGGGGGGGGGGGGATATTTACCAATAATGTATGGGGGGGTAAGTAAACTAGGCTACTGGGCCGAGGTATTAGACAACGGGTTATCAATTTTCTGACACAGAGTGACTGCCGCAGTAGTTCCACACAGAGAGAGAGAGAGAGAGAGAGAGAGATGGGATGGAGGGGTTAGAGAGAGAAAGTGCCAGAAGAGAGAGAAAATATTCCGCCGCGGTCACATGCGTAGCCGCATTCAAGGCCTTTGTTCCAGCCAGAAGGCTGTTAGGGAGGGCCCACCGCTTCCGCACGTGCGATCCTCAGCGTGCGAGGGCCGTCTTAGTTTTTGGTCCCTTTAAAAGAAAATATTTTCATAATACCCGTAGATAATTATTATTAAAGCATAGACACCAAGAGACTACCTGCCACCTTCAATAGACGAGCCTAAACCACGAGGATCAAATCACAGTATTTTATAGGGAGGGTTTCAATAAAAAGATAGCTTTTCTCGGTTTAAAACCCTAGAAAACGGCGAAAAGTTTACCCTTTGACCGATCGATTCTTGTTCAAACCCTCGAAATGAAGGGCGATTATTGAATAGTCGTCAGTGCATTTTAGGGTTTTGGGGCGTGGCAGGTCAACTCCAGTTCTTAGAATGGAGTTGACTCGTGTCTCGTAAATTTGACTCGAATAACTGATCCGTACAGTTATGACATCAACGAAGAGGGGTTTCTTCGTCATTGGACGGCTCTTGCGGGTACAATCGTAATTTTCATGTGTCAGGAGAACCAAATCTTTAGATTATTTATACGTCAACCATGAATTTGAACTTATAATGTGACGTCAGCTGATGAAAAGGAAATATGGCGAGGGGTAAAAGTACAAACACTGTAAATGCATTGAACCCGCTGACAAGAAAAAATCCTGTGCATCGTCTGTTCTTCCCAAGGAGAGATGTAGAGAGATGTAGAGAGAGCTAGATAGAGATGGAGAGAGAGGAAATGATTCTCGCAGGGGAAGGCTGTCGTCAGCCTGAGGGACACAGCATTAAATGCGGGCGTCCATATCAGGAGAGCGAAGCGGCGAGGGAGAAGGAGCCCTATTGTACGTACGTAGCAGTCAAGAAATCGACCGATTTTTACAGTAATACCCCCTTAAACTTACAGAGCTTAGCTTCACACCTCGTCGCCAGAAGGCCGGGCCCTTCTTCTGGACGAGAGAAAGCGTGAGAACTGCTCCTATTTCCTTGACGGCTATGGGTCTAGATATCAGGAGAGATTGCAGTAAAAATCTTACATAAAGACCAAACTTCGTTCGCTTGAAAACACAGATGGGTTTCATCCTCATCTAAATGTGCTTCCTTGGGTTATATGGTAAGGTGGAAAGTATATAAATGGCAACCATTAACAATAAGCATATATAACTGTGGTACGTTAATATGAGGAAAAGGAAACCCTGGGCAGATAGAACTCACGATTTAAATCGTTTTCCCTATGTTCCCTGCCCAACCCCCCCCACTTCCAACTGTGGAAATTATTTGTTCAAGTTGTGGAGTCGGTTGTTTCAAAGATATTGGAAGGGTAGCCATGAGAGGGTAAGAAAATTGACCTGAATCGGATAAGTTGACTCAACCATGGAGAATTTCAGCTGCTCCTCAATCAGTTTTCGGCTTTTGGTGGGCTGAAACACGGGAGACATTGTACGAATATCGGAAATCAATGAGGAATAATGGACAGAAGAGGTTTCTTGTCTACATGATTTCCTTCTTTAGATGATGATCTTTTATTTGCTGATGGGCGGGTTGCACAATAAAGAACGCCAAGGAAGAATTCCGAAGACGAAGCGGGTACCTTGAGGAAGAAGACGAGGTTTCCTGTACATGACAGGAGTGAGATGCCATTTCATAAATTAAAAATAATAGCGTGAAACAATATCATCAGGCTCTATATATATGAATCAAATTGACCTGCGTATATATTAGCAAGAATTAATTTTTATCACTTGTTTTTTTTTTCATATATTGAGACCAAATCCATGAAGCTCAAAGATGCTGCGTGCTTGCAAGTCTCTTTTAGTAGTTATGGAAAAGGTCTTGTACAATAATGTTCCTTTTTTTGCAAGGAAGTCACTTTGCTAGGCAAATAATAATAAATCACTAGAGGTTATTTTCCTATTTCTGGGATGTCTCATTGGGGCCTTGGGTAACCGCTTAAAAAATATTTACCTCGAGGGATTTCACTATGTTTACTAGATATCAAAGCATAATATGAGTGTTTATTATCAACATGTCTCCTCAAGTGCATTAGAAGCTCCAAAGGAGCAAGCATGTGCTCTAACCATTAATTCTCACCAAGATTAATCTTCAGGCACTAGTGTATAGAACTTCATCACAAACTGGTTATATCAAACTATTTTCAACACCAAGTCTAGATGAAGCAATTGAATTTTAATTTTATGGATTCTTGGAAAAAATAAACATGTTCTTTTAGGGTTTCAATTTAGTTCATATTTTTTATGTTAAATTATAAATTACCTGTGGAAGTGAGACATGTAAATATTCTTTTACATTAATTAATACATTATCTAATATACCTTTAAAATCTTATATAGAAAACATAATGCAAATATCTAGTTGAATGTTAGCTAGAAAAATGAAAGATATAATCACTCTTTTATTCTATTTATGGTTTTATCAGTTTTTTTAATTATCTTTTGAAATGTAGCTTACGATGGTTGTCCATATATATATATATATATGTATTGGATTTAAATTCTCAACGAAACAAATCAAACTAAAAAGGTGAAGATAGCAAGCCAATTATTCTCTCCTCGTAGAATTCAAGGCACAAAAAAGGTAGAAATAAAACTTACATTTTTTACGCACAAAATACATCAATAAATTACAAACTCTAGTCTATAAACCTTAGACATGATGTGTTGTTAATCAAAAATAATTTTCAAGGAACAATTAGTATTCATAAACTGCCTCATAATCTTTCAGAAATACCAAAACCATAAGCAATCAAGGGTGGACTGTGTCTTGGAATTTGATTAGAAGTTCTATCAAATGTCTGATTGTGAGATAAAACTTGAGGTTTTTAATATTTATTCTTAGTTTAGACAATATTCTATTTCATAATCTATGATGTTCTATATATATTTTTCATTGATATTTTATTTAATTATAATATCATTAAAATATTTATTCAGCATATATTTGATCAATGGTTTGAAAATTTTACACTAAGAAAATGTAAGAAAAATAAAATATTATCCAAGTTATGCATATGACCATAGTCTTCTTCAACATCAGTTCCACTACCTTGAATATGTTCATGTGCATTTAATCCTACATTATTTTTAATACCTTTAGATTAATTTAAGAACTATTTTTAAGCACTCCTCTCAAATTGGGTTTTCTTTTTTAGGAACTTATTTTATTAAGTCTGGTATCTTAAAGCTAAATTTATCAACTTAGGTTGAATATTAGAATTAAATGAGTTGAATTAACATTTCTCTTAAACATGATTTGACACTTATTTTTTCATGAATTTATTATTAGTATAACTTTTGAATGCTTTTTTTATTTCTTTTACTAACTTCTAGTTTGTGAGTAATTTTGTGCTAGTTTCAAGCTCATGGTAGGGTTTACTCTTTAATGGTATGTAAGAATTTTATCTTAATTGTGAAATATTAAAATTTTAAACCATTAATATTTTCTCAAAATTTAAAAGATGATTATCATTAAAAGCTAAATGAATCCATTTTCATTGATTAAAGTGCTTCTTTAATATATTTTATAAACTTTAAAGCCACCAACATCTCCTATATGGAAGAATTCTATCTTTTTAGGAAGCACATTTTTTAGACGAACCATCCTTATATCAATAGAAAAACAAATAGTTTGGCTTTCTTATGTAGTGTTGATTTTGGGGAATATACATGTTGACCTTTTGCTGGTGTCGACCACTCTCATGCATCAAGAAATGATCCTTCAGATATAGCTATTTAATGCCTTGTTTATGCTGGCAATTCATATTTTGACCTTAGTATGGAACCTTGAGCATTGGGTTGACTTCTTTGATTCTCTTCTCATCTTTAGCTCTTAACACTTTTTTCCTAGGTGACAAAACAATAAAAGGATTGACCATCACATATAGTAAACCATATTTCACATTTTCTATGTTCTAACATTCAGGTTTCATCTCTTATTATATAAGTGGCATTTCATGGTAGTTTTGCCATTTTTTAATTTCATTTTAAAAAAAATTATGTACCACCATATATACAATTTTTTTTATTTAGATGAAAAAGTTAATACAAACAACTCTAACTGGTACAGTAGTAGATACATTGTTCTTCCATTCCTAAAAATAATCACATTTACTTTCTTCTAATGCATTGATGATATATGAAATTCGGTAAATTTGATGGTTACATGGTTTCATCATGCTGTCATATATAAACATTAGATTCATGTCTGCACAAAAAAGGTAATTGAGACATAAAAGTTTCAAATTTTCTGTATATAATTTTTTATTATAAATATTATATACGTTGATTCAAAATTTTATTTTTAATGAATATGATTTATTCAATTCAATAGTGTTAAATTTGATTCCATTAAATTATATTTTCATGGGTCAGCTTTTGCTGGATATAGACTCCATTCTTTTTACCTCTTATAAAATTGTTTATTTTTCAAACCAGACTTTTTTTCCTTAGTCTAATGAGTCTTCTTGAGGTTTTCTACAACCATCTAGTTCTTTAAACCATTGTATTCATTTTTATAGCATATGATTGTCTTTGTTGTTAGTTTATTTGATTCTTTACTTTGATAAGTAATA